CCGCAGTTGTCTAACCAGCTGAAGCCTGACACACACAAAATCTACTCACCCACAGAGCCTTTATCTTGCTGGGATTCAAGCTCAGCTTATTTGCCTTCATCTAGACACCAGTCCAAGACCTGCAGGGACTCTCCTCCTTCAGATGTCATGGAGGAAGAGACCCAAATACCCTAATGAGTACTTGCACATTATCCTGGGCCCAAGTTGCTAAGGGCCTTGTACATTACTACAAGAACTTTGAACCTGGATAGCTAGTACAACCTTTTATTAATTTTTTTATAAGATATTTATTAAGCTTTTTTAAAGTATTACAATAAAAATGAAAAAAATAACAAAAATACAAAATAAAAATAGTTAAAAACACACAGATTTTCCATTGCTTGTTTTCCTTTAGCTTGTTTCCCGGACCTCCTCATACCTCCCTTTTCGTATTCCAGTTCAATTTGTTGGTTCAGCAAATCCTTACCCTCTTTATTTATCCTAATCTTTAGTCTTAAAATAGTAACGTTAAATTTTTACCTATTAACAACCCATTTTTCATAATCCCTTAAAGCATTACAGCTGGAAACCACTTAATTTCTATCCAACATCATTCTAACATTCATTAATTTTACAATAATTCTGTAGATAGTCTTTAAATTTCTTCCAATCTTCTTCCACCGACTCTTCTCCCTGGTCTCGGATTCTGCCAGTCATTTCTGCCAGTTCCATATAGTCCATCAGCTTCATCTGCCATTCTTCCAGAGTGGGTAGATCTTGTGTCTTCCAGTACTTTGCAATGAGTATTCTTGCTGCTGTTGTGGCATACATAAAAAAGGTTCTATCCTTCTTTGGCACCAATTGGCCGACTATGCCCAGGAGAAAGGCCTCTGGTTTCTTCAAGAAGGTATATTTAAATACCTTTTCAGTTCATTATATATCATTTCCCAGAAAGCCTTAATCCTTGGGCACGTCCACCAAAGGTGAAAGAATGTACCTTCAGTTTCTTTACATTTCCAACATTTGTTATCGGGCAAATGATAAATTTTTGCAAGCTTGACTGGGGTCATGTACCACCTGTATATCATTTTCATAATATTCTCTCTTAAATCATTACATGCCGTAAACTTCATACCTGTGGTCCACAACCGTTCCCAGTCAGCAAACATAATGTTATGTCCAAAATCTTGTGCCCATTTAATCATAGCAGATTTCACCGTTTCATCCTGAGTATTCCATTTCAACAGCAAGTTATACATCTTTGACAAAATCTTAGTTTTGGGTTCTAACAGTTCTGTTTCTAATTTTGATTTTTCCACCTGAAAGCCAATTTTCTTGTCCAAATTATATGCCTAGCTAGTACAACCTTTTAAGCACTGGTGTGCTGTGCTGGTGGTAGTCTGACCCCATCAATAGTCCGACCACAGCATTTTGCACCAGGTGGAGCTTCCAGACCAGGTGGAAGGGGAGACCCACATTGAGGCAACGTAATAACCAAGTGGGTGCATGAGTTCCCAGCCGCTGCCACCCATCTTAATTTATCAGGGGGAGCTATACAGATAAATTAGGGTATTTATATGCAATGTAACATAACAAAACACTTGCACCATGGGCACGTGTCCCAGACCCTTAGAGTACGTAGCAATGCCCCCAACTGCTGCATATAATAAAGCCTTTATTATTTCTTTTTTGAAAAATGTAAGAACACTGTACATATCTTAAAAATATAACTGCCCTCCTCCCTCAAAAAAACCCACAAAACCAAAATCTGAAAGCACATTGCACATTAAGGCTGCAGTCCTATATGTGCACTTATTAGGAGTAAGCCTCACTGAACTCAATGGGGCTTCATAGTTGTTGTTGTTTTAAAAAGATAAATAGGATTTGCCTGTAAAATTACCGAAGTAATAGTTAACGAATTAGCCCTACTGAAAAATGGAACACTGCTTGCAATTTTCATCACTATTGTATCACAGATCTTGTTTAGATAAAGGCCACTGACCAGCTCTACTGATGTGCAACTAGTCACACACATCATCTCTAGTTGCCTGAATCAGGATAAACATTCAAATTAGATGGCTTTAAGAGGGATCAGACCAAGCTTCCTCAACCTCGGCCCTCCAGATGTTTTGAGACTACAAATCCCATCACCACTGGTCCTGCTAGCTAGGGATCATGGGAGTTGTAGGCCAAAAACATCTGGAGGGCTGAGGTTGAGGAAGCCTGGATTAGACAAAATCATGAGGGATGAATCTATCAGCAGCTACTAACTCTGATGTGTGTGTTCTACCACCATAGTCAGAGGCAGCATGCCTCTAAATACCATTTGCTGAATACCATTTTAGGTTTGATGAGGTCCTAAGCTACTAAAGGTAATGGGGCCCTTTATATGTCCAGCTGTCCTTTGTCAACAACAAATTGTTGCTGTTTCTTTGTGTTGAATACAGTGGTACCTCGGGTTAAGTACTTAATCTGTTCCGGAGGTCCATACCTAACCTGAAACTGTTCTTAACCTGAAGCACCACTTTAGCTAATGGTCCCTCCTGCTGCTTCCGTGCCGCCAGAGCACGATTTCTGTTCTCATCCTGAAGCAAAGTTCTTAACCTGAAGCACTATTTCTGGTTTAGCGGAGTCTGTAACCTGAAGCATATGTAACCTGAAGCGTATGTAACCCAAGGTACCACTGTATATGCTACATGGTAATTTATGGACCTAATAGGTATCTAAAGCCATTTGCACATGTTGCCATGCAACCAGTCCATGCAGAATGTAGGCACCATATATATAGAATCGAGCAAACCAGTGATATTTTAGGGAGCAGGCTGGCAGGCGGGGCCCATTACTTACATCATAGGAGCCTACACAATACACAACACTGTTGCTGTATGTAGGTTTTATTTGTTTTTTAACTTATATTTTGGAAATGTACATCGGGGGTTTTTTGCTTTGAATTTTTTGAGGGCCCCCAAGAGAGAGGGGCCCTAAGCTAAAGCTTGTTTAGCTTATACGTAAATCCGGCACTGGCCACTGTGAGAACTAGATGTGCCATTGGCCTGATCATCAGACATTTCATTCATAACCCTATTAAGCAGCTAGTTATATCACTGAGTGAGTTGGATTATAGTAGATATCCATAATTTCTGGGGCCTCTATGTAATTCCCCAATGTACACATTCCCCCTCCTGTATTATATAAACTTGCCAATTGAGGACTATGCAACTGATGTAGTAGTCCATGAAAACTTATGCCATAATAAAATTGAAAAGGTGCCGCACAATTCTTTGTTGTTTTTACAGACGAACATGGCTATGCTTCTGTATGTTCCCAATAGCTTCCCCCCTTTTCTCTGTAAATAAAGACCTCAACCATTCCCTAAATCAAATGCAACCCCACAACTTTCCAAAGCGTTTAGCGCGTGGATCAAACATTAAGAACAGCTATTTCAGAATGGCACAAACAACGTAATAAAACACATGAATTCCAGAACTAGACTTTTCTTTTTCTTTTTCATTTTGAAGGCTGTTTAAATGTTTCCCCCAGAATCATAGCCCATAAATTTCCGAAATGAGTCTTTGGTAACAAAGTGCACATCATAATTAAAGAAAATAATTCCTAATTTTCTGCTGCAGCATTCCCAATACACTCGAAAGCCCAAGCTAATGAATCAATCCAATCTGAGAACTATTTGTTCTGTACATATGTTCTGCTAGTCAAGGAAAAATTGATTCCAAATGCATATAATATAAATGCCCTGGCTATTTTTCCATTGCATTCCATGGATCAGCATTTTATTCAGATCATGCTTTCTTCCAAGTAATCCGTATGTTTACATATGAGAGAATTTCCTTCTTTCTGTCTTTTAATTTGGAAGGCTAATGTTGCAATAATTACTTTATGCTGGCGTATGCCAGCACAACACTGTCATGGCATGTAACTCTCTAACAGCAGAGTAATCTCACAGGTCCTTAGGAACTATCCAGAGAGAGAGAGAGAGAGAGAGAGAGAGAGAGAGGCAGTCTCTGATTCCTTAACATCGAGGAAGGTATACAAATTTGGCACATCCTACTGGAAGCCTGTTAAGTGTTGGCAACAACAGAGTTCATCACAGGAAAAGCCTAGTATATCTGTCATGATAGCCCTTGTGGAACATGACAAATTCCCTGGGAGGGGTGGATAATAACAGCGCCTTCTGTGGGAAATAAATCACTACTTGCCCTTCATAAACAATAGATGGTTACCAAAAAAAAAGTTTTCAAAATGGAAAATGTGCTTCTTTCTGGTAAAGGAAATTGCATTAATAATAAAAAAAAACAGACAGATTTTATGGGCAAACCTTTGCAATGCCAATAAAAGTCCCTCCCCCCCCATTTCCCCCTCTTATTTTCTTTTGAAGTCCAAGGCGTGATTTGGTAAGTTGAGTCATGTTAGCAATTAGAAATTGGCTCATTTAAGGGGGGCTTATTTCACGGTGAGTTGGGGAGTGATAAATCTTGAGACGCTCAAAAGGAAGAGTAAGCTTTAAAAGTGCAGTCCCCCCTTTTTTGTTTCAGCAACGGAAGCCAGAAATCATTGATTCGTTAAAATAAATGGGAGAGGGAGTAAGAGAGAAAGAAAGAAAGAAAAAGAGAGAGCGGGAGCGCGCTGGAGACCTCCAGGGAAGTTAGCAGGAGGGGAAGCAAAGGGAGCTAATTATGGATATCTGTATTTCCCTCGGACCAGCTTATAAACTGCTTTCTTAGAATTTGTCTGCACTTATATCCTTTCTTCCAGATCTTACCCACACGGCCTCCTTTCTTTATAGAAGGGGTGCTTGGGGCGGGAGGAGGGAGAGAGAGTCCGTCAGCAAAGCAACAAGCACCAGGTGGCTCTCAACTACACACTGCCAAAAAAATAAAATAAAAATCCTTCTCTAGAAAACAAGTTTTAAAAAGAGGGGGAGAAGGAGGAGGGCTCCCTAGAGGGGATTGGCTGAGAGGGGAAGACAGGAAAATTAGTAAAGCATGAGTCTCTCAAGCCATGCTGGTGGCCAGAAGGACTGCTTGAGGAGCAATTAGCTGAAGGCTGCTGCTTGCTGCTGCTGCTGCTATAGGAGAAGAAGCAAAAAAGAAAAAAAGAAAGGAAAAGGGAAAGGGAAAAGGGCAGATTCTGTTGGAGTCTCTCTCTCTCTCTCCCGCTCCCAGTAGGCGCTTGCTCATTGCAACTTGCAAAAGGGTTTCAGATGTCCCAGCACCGCTGCTTGACCCCCTGCAAATAAAACTTGACCACCAGAGGCACGTCCCACCTCTCTCCTTCCTAATCTCTAGCATTTAGGATACAGCTTCCAACCTGTTGGCAACCCTACGGAGAGAGAGGGGGAAAGGACTTGTTTTGCAATCTTTTTTTCTTTTTCTTTTTTCAGGAAATATATATATACAGATATTTGAGATACAGATATCTATCTATTTCTGGAAGATTCAAGAGAGGGGGGTGCAAGCCCCTGTTTTCTGCTTCTGAGAAGGACTGCGTTTCTGGGCTTCGGTGAGAGGAAGGTGCAGAAGTTGTTCAGGGTGGGGGGGCGCTGACCCCCCTCCCGTTTCGTTTTTGCTTTCTCCCGGATTTTTTTCCCCCTTGTCCACCACCAGCTCCGCTGCAAGTGTCGTCGCTCACCCGCCTTGTCATCTCTCTCTCTCTCTGCAGACTTTCCCTCCTTGCCTCTGCGAGAGATGGTGCACAGGGCGAAATAGCCTCGCGCGCTCGCAGCAGCAACAGCAGCAGCAGCAGCGGCAAAGCGGCAAACCAGCCCCCAGGAGTTTGGTGATGGGGGGTTGAAAGGCCTGGGGGAAGAGAAAGAAAGAAGGAGGGAGAAAGAAAAAGAAAAAGATCGCCAAGAAAATCTGCAAGCCAAACAACCGCCTGAGCTCGCCCAGAAAACTGTAAGGCAACTTTGTGTGTGTGCGTGTGCGCGCTTGTGCGTTTTTGGAAAGGACTCGAAGGATTAATAAAAGGAGGGCGAAGGAAACCGAACCAAGGAGAGCGCGTGGAAGTGGGGGAACCCAAAGTGGAGCGAAGGCACCGTTTCCTGCGGAGCGCTTGGCCCCCTGAGGCATGGAAGTCGGCGCCCTCCCTCCAGGCCAGATCAGCGCGCCGAGGTCTGTGAGCAGGAGGGCTCCCCATCAGCTGTCCCCTCGCCTCTCCCCGGGGTTCCCCCTTCCAGTATGTTTCTTTTCATGAGGCATCTCCCCGCGCCTAGAGCTTCAGTACAATGTGCAAATGGAGACTGATACAGGGTGCCTCAGCCTTCGCCCACCTGCCTTCCTCCTCCTCTTCTTCCTCCTCCTCCTCCTCCCGCCGCCGCCGCAGCTTCGTCTTCCTGCTGCTGCTCTGGATGTCGTCGTCCCTGGCTGCCCCCTGCCATGAGCACGGCCAAGACATGCTGCTCCTCAAGGCCACCAACTCTTCGTCGTCGTCGTCGCCATCCTCCTCCTCTTCCTCCTCCTCGCCCGCCAGCGCGGGGAGACACGTGCGAAGCTACAACCACCTCCGAGGAGACGTGCGCTGGAGGAAGCTCTACTCTTACAACAAGTTCTTCCTCCGGATTGAGAAGAACGGCAACGTCAGCGGCACCAAGAGGGAGAACTGCCCTTATAGTAAGTCTCTCTTTTCTTTTTTTCCTCCTCTTCGCCTTTCCCTCGAAACGCGGGGATGGTGGGGCGGGGAGGGTGGCGTCGCGCAAGGAAGGTTGGCGCTCTGCGCGCGCTCAGAGGCGCCCTCGCCCTTCTGAGGGGTTTGGAACCGAGCGCGCGAGAGGAATTGCGGAATTGCGCCCTGGTTTTATGTGTGTGAGCGAAGTTCTCTTCACAAACCACTTCCCAGGCATTGTTGAAATGGCTTAGAGCGTTACCGTTACCGTCCTTTCCATCTCTCTCAGAGGTGGAATCACTGTGGGGAAGAGAGAGAGAAGCTTTCATCGTGAAGCTTTCTCTCTCTCTCTCTCTCTCTTCCCCCCCCCCCCGCCTCTCTCAGCATCCCTTCAGGTCCGCGCTGTCTCTCCCTCGTCACTGGAATAACCAGCCGGCCCTTTGCTGCGCCTCAGCCGGGGCAGGAAAGTGTGAGGTCTTCGGGAAAGGCGGCAAGAGCCAGGAAAGTTCCGGGCACAACTTAGAAAGTGTCAAAAATGAATTAATAAAACCGTTGCGCGCTAGTGTGTCTGCTCACACTCAGACTCGGCAGATCAAAAGGCTCGACGAAGTGAAGGAAGGGGCTGGGGCGGAGGGAGCTCTGGCGGTATCCTGACACGAAGCAAATGCTCTCTTTTGACAGTGCTTTTTAAATTGAGGGGCGATCTCTTCAAAGGGAGGGGAGGGCAACTGGCAGATAAAACGAGCAAGATTTCTTTTATATGGCCAGTGGGTGCTTGAGGGTTCCCCTTCACTTCTCAATTTCCCCCTAAATTTCATTAGCTGGAAAAGCTGCTACCCTATGGAGTTTATACCGTGACACTCATGGGTTTTGTGTGTGTGTGTTTTGTGTTGTCAAATTCTATGTGTGGCTTGGTGGCGTCCTGTCAGTCCTTTCTTTCTCCCCCTCGCCCTGCTTTAAACGGTCTCAAGTTGCATCCCTGAGAGAGCCTTGTAAACATCTGGGGCTGCATCAAGTCATCCAGACCTCACACACATCTCGCTGTCATTTTTTTTTTCTTTTAAAAAAAGAAGTCATTCTCACATATATATCTCTTTCCAGACTGAAGTGGATATAAGTAGTTATTTTTTTAGTTGTTTCTCACAGCCTGTTTCAGGGTAGTTTTAAACGACTCTGTCCTGGTGGGTAGATAAATAAGTAAATAACTGCCAAGACAAATGTCTCTAGATAAGCCGATTTTAAAAATAATAATTAAAAATTGCCTCTTGATATTGGTTGGGAATCCAGCGAATTCATTTTATTCAATGTTTTGTTCAGGCATGGCCCTTTCTCACTCATCTCAGGTTTATCCTCACAACAACCTTGCAAAGTAGATTAGACCTAATGATGACATGGTGAATGTGAGCAGGTTGATCCGGTTTGTTTCAGGGAGTGTGTGAAGGTGTGAATACTGTTCTTTCCTGGCCAAATCAGTCTACCACACTAGCCTCAGGAGACAGTCAAGGGAGAAACAGGTACACTTCTTTTCTTTTTAAGTACACTGCTCTACATACACACACACACGACCTATAAATAGTGTGTGATTAACTCTGTGCCTCACAGCTATATCTGGACAGAGCAGTGCCAATTTAATCCAAACAAGAAGCATAGCTAATGGGGGACTTCTTTAAACAGAAGGCAATGTGCAGTTTTGAGAAGTGTGGACAATGTTGCCTCTTGCAGAAGATAACTACCGTATAACTCTCACCAACCCATTTATTTGTGCTTAGTTGGTTAAAGCAGCTGTGCTTTTAACAACTCATGCATTCCTCTGCTGTGGCCCCTGCTGGCTGGCTACACTTGACTTTCTGTCTGCTTTCACAGGCTTGTGTTATTTATTATCACATGTGTCAATGTGTGCAGCGGGAAATGCTTGCTCCATTGAAGAACCACTGTATATGCCAGAGACATTGTTTAGTTCAGGCTTTGTGAAACAGTAATGCCAGAAAGCAATCATATGACACAGAGTATTCTGGGATGTCTGAGGACTGCTTCATGAGTTCCAGGAGAAGCAGGTACATATTAAATATTGTACAGTGCAGCATATTGTATTGGTGCGGTGATAAACTGGGAGTTCAGACAATGGAGATCTGGGTCCAAATGACTAGAGCAGTCATCTTCGCTCTGCTTCACCTACTTTGCAGAGCTGTTGTGACACAGAAATTGGACAACCACCGTGAGATCCATGGAAATGATATTATTAATATTGTTTGTTTTCAAATATATAATAATAATATCCAACAGGCTCAAAGCATTAGGAGTGGTGACAGCTTAAGTGGTTATGCTTGTGACAAAGGTGCAGCAAGCAAACTCAGTTTTCTAATATTGCCTCTGACCAGAGCTGTCCAGACAACAAACCTGTTTTCATGTGTTCAGTGAATGTGCAAATGTTAGAATGGGATTGGCCAGGGTTCCTGCTCAGAGCCTTGCATTCACAGTCATGCCAAACAAACATGGACTGTCAGTAGCTGGTGGCATGAACCCCTTTCACAGATCTGTATGAACAGCCAGCCAAACCTTCTTGAGAGCTTTGTGCACAGTGAGAATGCAGTATGGTTGAGGCCACGAGCCTCTATTCTCTAAAGACAGCCTTAGCTCTGCATATTCGTCTTGCTGTGTTCGTGAAAGCACATTGCAGGGCACCAGAGTTGCTCCCCAGGTGTGTGCTGGGTATGCCATTTGAGGAACTGAGCACATACAGTTGCCCCTGTTTTATGTGTTGGTAGTATTAAATTCTGCATGCTAAATATTTACTGTGTACTTGTGTCAAGCCGGCGTTGACATATGAAGCAGACCTTTGTTTTCGACTGGCTGTTATCTTTATTCATGTAGGCATCTCCTCTTACAGAGCTGGCTCATTGTGTTTACGGAAAGTGCAGTTCTTAGGGCTTGTGCTTTTCTTTTTTCTTTTTTCGCCTTTGCAGGATTTTCTCTAGGGTATATTAGTTTTATCCTAGATATGTTGCCATCTGTCGTCACCTTATGTTAGAAGTAGGCTGCATGTATTCTGATCAGAAGTTCCCCTCTGCTCCTTCTCTGTCTCACAACCCTAGAATTAAGATTTACCAAATGAAGCTGACAGGGCAGCCCTTTTCAAGGCAGGCTTCTTTGCGTAACTTGCAGAATTCAACCGCTGCAAGATATAGTGATGGCTGACAGCTTAAACAGCTTTGAAAAGGATTATTAGACTCGTGGAGGTCTGTCAACAGCTATTAGCCATGATAGCTTAATGGAACCTCCACAAACAAGTAGAGTATACCCCTTAGTACCAGGTGCTGGACAAACATGCTAGAGAAGGCTATTGGTTTCATGCCCTGCCTGTTAGCTTCTCATAGCCATCTGGATAGTGTTTGGGTCAGATCCAACAGGGCAATTCTCATTCTTTCCCATTCTGAATTTGCTGCCCTCTCAGTCACAGTGCATTCTGTCTTCCTTTGCATTTTGCTTTTGGAAATATAATTTTGTTTGGTCATAATTCTGACCTTGGAAAATAACATGGTGATATGGTTGCCACCTGGCTCTCTGCCTCTGCAGCTTTTTAACACGATCCACAACTTGACACAGAGGTGTGTAGGGTGGTAGTACTGCCGTTGCAACCCACCTTAGATCCGGCTGTGGTGAAGGAGTGGGTCCCGACTCATGAGTTGATGACCAATGTGGATGCAAATGGTCTGAATGCACCATTAGTCTATGCTTCTCATAGGAAGATATCTGTTAGATACATCTCCCATTAAAATTAACTTGTGACTTTATGTTAACAGGAGATGTATCTAACAGAGAACCCTGCAGGCTATTTCTCAGTGTGGCCACAGAAGAAGACCTCTGAACAGATATTCACAAAAATAAAACCCACATTTTGTTTTCAGCCCTTTGGGACACATTCTCTTTTGTTTTGGGATTCATTTTGGATGTTCTTCAGGTTTTTGAGTTTTTGTATTTCTTGCAAGTAGCATTCACGAGGAACGGTTGCCACATGGGTAAGCTGGGATGCAGAGGACTTCAGGCGACAGATAATGGCTGCACCTAATGGCAGCAAATTGCCAGTTGTCCATTTGTTTGCAATCTGAGCTTTCTACTGCAGGTGCCATTATCTTGGGCAGATGCTGGGGATGAACATAATGACAGCAGTTTAAAGATGGGTGCTTGGGAGCAAAATTCAGAGTGATGTGGGTGAACAAGGAGGACATAACTTGGAGCCTTATTTAAACTGATTTTCAGCAGAGTTCAGGGCAGGCTGCTATATCAGTTGCTGCTTTTGCACACATAGTGGGTAAGTATCTGTTTTGACAAGGCATGGGGCATGTGCAATGCCACCTGGGCTAATTCTTCGTGCCAATTCTGGAGTCATGCATTTAAATGGGTCCTGACTTCACTGGGCCTGATTTCCTAGGTTATGCTTAGGGTTTCAGAGGGGGTGGGGTGGGGAGAATAAACAGAAAGTTGGGGAGAGTAACCAGCACCCGCTGATTAAAGTAGCTTCAACAAGATTCATTTCCATAGCAGGTTTGCTCTATAAATACTGTATATTAAGCACTAAATAAAGGTTTACTTTGGCAGATGTTTTCCAACTTGATTACACAGAGCTATTACCTCAGCCTTTTCTATACCTTTAGGATAATGGGAATTGGGGGTGAATTATGGTGGTTCTGTCAAAAGTCTGGGACAGCTTGCATAATTTAGCATTGCTGGAGTATATCTGTCACTAGATACGCGTAGGATGGCTTGGGTTTTGTTTTATTTTCTTTGCAGTTAGAGCTTTGCCCTGAAACTTGACCACTCAGCACTCCTTCTTACCTCAGTATTGCAGCTGCAAAGGTCCCCCTGAAAAGCTGCTCTTGAGAAGCTGATTTCCAGGAGTGAACAAAGCAGCTGTAAGTCTCTCTCTGATGATGATGACTTATAACATGTGTGAAATAATAGTTAGGAGTAAGCACTCCAACTTCACCCCAGAGACGGCCCATGAAAAGTTTGAGGATTGGGTGGGTCTCTCTCATCTGTAGTAGATTGCAAAATAGAGGACCAAATTTTGGGATGTTTGCAATTCTGTCCTAAACATGATTACTCAGAATTAAGCCCTAAAGAGTTTAATCTGTCTTACTTTCATTCTGGATAAGTTTGTATAGGATTGCAACCCCAGTATTGGTCTAAAGATGGGAAATGTAGACCCATGTGAATTTCACAGTGATAAGCTACTGATGGGGGGGGGATAGGTGCTTGTTTTTGTAGTTGCAATCTTGGGGTTGCATTAGGAATATGTTCTGCTGATCTTTCAAGCATTAGTTTTGGGGGCTTCAGGCTCTGAATAATAAAAGTTGTCAAAAGCAATTTGAAACTGGGGAGCAAAATGAGTCAATAGCCTAAGGATGCATTACCTATAAACCTTGATAGCTGCTTTTTCCTAGGGAAAAGCCAATTTTGTAGGGGACAGTTTCGAGCAGACAAGTGCAGGCGAGGGGTGTGTAAGCCAATCTCCTCCTGCCGCTCTTCTTCAGTGATTTTTCCTCTTGCCACTTTTGTACTGCTGCTATCCTTTCCCAAGCAGATACATACACCCAGCCTTGTGAGTTCCAGTTAAATTGTAACCCCTAGGAAGAAAAGCATCAAGGGGAGAGGGAGCTGCAGTGGGAGAAATGACAGCCACCTAAAAGGTTAAACACACACATGCACACATTATGGATTCACCAGTGTTAACAAGGTTCTTTAAGACCAGGATCCAAATCCTCACTCAGCCATGCATCTCATGGGGAAATGTGGAACATAAACACAATATTAAATAATTTCACAAAAAGGAGGTTGCATATTCACAGGGGTATGGGCTATTGAACAGCATAGCTGTCAACCTTTCCCTTTTTTAAAGGGAAATTCCCTTATTCTGAATAGGATTCCTCGCAAGAAAAGGGAAAAGTTAACAGCTATGTTGAACAGCGGTTTCCAAACTTCTCCTTAAAAAATCACTTTCAACTTCAGCTTGTTTACTGAAGAGACGCTTCCCGCCTGCCGTGGAAGCCCTCTGTTTACTTGCAGAGGATTCTGGGACATATTGTAGGCTAGGGCTAAGAAACCTGCGGCCCTCCAGGTGTTGCGGTACTGCACTTCCCATCATCCCTTGGCCATTGGCCATGCTGGTTGGGACTGATGGGAATTGGAAGTCCCACCTCATCTGGAGAGCCACCGGTTCCTCATCCCTGTTCTTCTGCTTTGAACAAAGTTGGCTTCTGTTGCACCTACGCCCTAGAACATACCCATTGTTCTCCACATGGCTGCACAAACTGTCTTTCTCGGAAGTTTGTCTGCCATTGCTCTTGTCATTGACAAAGTCTGATGGGTTCCTGAAGATCCCTAGTATTTAGTTTGAAAGCTACTGCTATGTAGCATAATTCCTGTCACAGGGAGTTTATTCCCAACATAGCCTGAGTCCAGCTCCTCAGTTTTAAAACCATCAAACAATAGTATGGCCAGTTTGCACTTGCTGAAGAGGCTTTGCAGTGTCTGGTTACATAAAAACGCTGGTTCCTCTTGAGTCTTTGCTGGCCATTATATTAACTTGAAGGACTGTTGGAAAGGTTAAAATGGAAATAAGAATGTGACGAACAACAGGTGACCATGAGAAGGAATGAATCTTTTGGATTAGGCAGCGGTTCTTGGATGCTTTATAGGAGAAGGATAAGTGGACAGGTCAATCCACTTGCTGAAATACTGTTGCAGTGCTTCCTACACCAGAGTAGCATTCTGTTCCTGGATTCGTTGTGAAGGTTATTACACACCACTGAAGCAGGGATGCATCATTTAGGGTTGACCCGAGTTAACATTCTCTAAGCAATAAATGTTAAATGCAGCCTGAATGCAATAAATTAGGCATTTATTTGTTTTTTAATAGTACGCATGTCCAATTCAATATCCTTCTGTCTTCCAATCCACTTTCCATTTGCGTTGCATCTTTTGATTGTAATCCTGAGGCCAGGGACCATCTTTTCCTTTATTGGTCTTTAAGCTGCTCTGGGAGACTTCTTCGGATGAAGAAAGGGATAAAATTATTAAATAAATAACTGTTACTCGAGTCTTCCTTCAAATTAGGACTCCTATATTATTTATAACTGGTGTTTGGATGTTCCCCTGACTACAGCATTATTAGTGATGCAGTTATATATCTCATTCTAACTATGTAACTTAGAAATCACTGATTGCTGCAGATCGTGTCCCAGCTTGGGATAAGGCAGGCATAGGCAAACTTGGCCCTCCAGATGTTTTGGGACTACAACTCCCATCACCCCTAGCTAACAGGACCAGTGGTCAGGTCCACTGTAGTTCCAAAACATCGAGTTTGCCTATGCCTGGGATAAGGCTTCGTTGTAGTAACATGAGATTTTGAATGGAAATGCAGCAATTGGTTTTCATTGTACTAAAAGCATTTCACAAATATGCTGCTTTCTTTTTTCAAATATGTCCTATAAAATACAAATGGGATCAATTTCTCTGCCATCAACACTGCTCGTCTTATTTTGAGATTGGATCTAATCTGTAAATTTGTCCATGTTGGCAACCTTGAGTATCAGTTTCTAGTCTTGCTCTGATTGTTTTGAAATTTAATGGGGAACTGCTTACTTTCTTTCATTTTGGGGGAGGACTTCATGTGTATATATATATATATATATATATATATATATATATATATGATGATGATGTTTTGAAAAATGTATGTGGCAAAACTGCTATTTGGTTATTTTCTTTCAGTAGTTTCCACATTAAGAGACAGATCTTACTTGCTGTCAAGAGTAATTAAATCATTTCAACAATTTTATAAAATAAGTGAGATAACGGCACGTTAAATTCAGAGCTAAAACCTTAAACAGAATAAAAGCAGAATTAGCAATGTGTGCTGTTTTATACTGAATGAAAATGCTTCTGTAAAATCACATTTAATGTTCCTTCAAAGTCTTGTCTTGCATGTTAAACAAGTAAATTGGTTTTTCTTAGAAATAAGTCTTCACAATATTACTGTTTTTCACTTTCTAATAAAGGTTAGTTCATGTTGCTGATAGATAAAACAAGCAAACAAACAAACATGACATCCAGAAAATAGAAAATTATATACGGCCTTCTAATAGATACTGCTGTTTCCTGGGTAGGGAAGTTGTTGCTTTTTATTATACCAACTGCTTTCTCATTTAAGCCTGGACCCAGGTTACATAATTTATAACCAGTGACTTACAACTGTGGGCATTTAGGATTTATGAATGCGGAAGGGATTGTATTCTTTAGTGTCTACATGACACTCTCCTGTTACCTTTACCACATTCCCATAGGGTAGACCCTCCACACACATCACCAAAGCTTTATCATAAATCTATTAAAAATATACAGTTGCAAGGAGCCTTTGTCTTCATAAATCTGATTTATAGCCACCTGCTAAAGATGACTATGAAAACATTTGGTAGGAATCACCCTGACAACCTGAGAGGAGTACAACACAAAGGCCAAAGGAGCTTGAGTGTCCCACGCTATTTCAACAGGGCTAATCTTACGGCCTTACATAAGCAAAAAACACATGCTCTGGTGGGGATTTTGCACAGGGAGATGGAGCATCACATAGGAACATAAAGTAGGGGAAATGGGTCATGGCCCCACCAACCTCAATCTGTCCTCAGCCAGCACCAGTACCACCCCTTACCTGCTGTCAGAAACTGGTTGGATGCAAAGGAATGCTGGAGGAACCAGCTGGGGAACCCCCAAGGGAAGCAGGCTCAGTGCCCAGGGAGAGGTGGTGGGATGATGATGAGTAGTCAGAGGGAGAAGACTGGGAGGAGCAGGAGGAGGTATCAGAAGCTGAAGAGGTTACAGGGCTTAGTGAGAGGAGAAGGTAGTTTCATGCGGCCACAGTCTCAGATTGCTTTGGGAAAACCTTGGAGAGAGGGGGACTTAAGCAGCTGTGGAGAGGCAGGGACCTTCAGTCTTAGCAACTGCTTCATAGGGGAAAGACTTACCAAAGATGACTTGCTGTGCCCATTAGGCCTGACACTCCTGTGCAGATCCTGTTTTTGCTAACTCCACTTGCTTGGTGCAATTTACTGCAGGTTTGCTCCTGTCACCTGCCTTCATACTTACAACCAGCTTGGTGGGTGACACTGCCTGTCAGCTTCCCCCTCCTTAATCTCATCGTCACCGTGTTGGAACAAGTTCTCAACCTCAAGAAAACTGATTATAAAAAGTGGAGAACTACAAACTGACAATTGCAGCTGGTCTAAGAGCTCTGGCAAAGGTTTAAAAATGGTGCCACCTGCTCAGTGATAAAGGGCCTCTCCACAGGTGGTTTAGGTGGACCCTCGGTGATACTGTGATGATCAGGGATGGTTAATACATCTTCAACATTTCGTGAAGATCTGCATATCTGAGTCATCAGATATTAAATTGCCATCAGGTAAAACTTTCATATTCAGCCACTGAACTTCAAGTCACCCATTCAGCCACTGAAGGGTTGAGAAGCCAAGTGTACACGTGTCTCTCTCTTTGTGTGTATCGGTCTTACGTTGCACCTTTAGCTTAGAAATAAATATTTTTGTATGCAAAGCACTCACATCTAAAGTACTCCCACTAGAGACTTGTTTAAGCCTTTGGGAGTTAATACGTTAGGGAATTGCATTTTTTAAACCTTTGAAACAACAAGTTTAACAAGCTCTGCAAATACTGTGTAGTTTTCCATTGGCTTCAGTGAAAAGTTTGATGGGGACCATAGTCTACCTTCACTCTTGTACTTAAGGCACAACAGTCTACAGTAGAGCTGGGTGATGAGAGCTTGTACACGTACCCCACTGTAATATGAATAACATAATTATTAACCCCCCAAAATGTGTGTGGATTCACACATGTGCATGAACTGGACACCCACCCACCCCTGCTTCTCAATCTATGGTGAAATGGATAGGGCAGCTTTGGATTACTTCAGTTTTGGGATCTAATTTGTTTAGGGATAGCTTTTACTACAAAATCTTAAAATCATAAACCTTTTTGCACTTACTCCCCCCCCCTTTTTTTTTACTTATCATGCTCCAATCTTCTTTGGAATAAATCAGGATACATTCTAAAGCACACACAAAAAGAAAGTACAAACCATTTCTCAGAATTCTGTATTCTCCTTCTCCAGTGGATTGGTTATTAAAGCAAGGTTAATTATATTTGTCCAGATTTTTATTTTTATTTTTACTCAAATGTGATCTAGGAGATATGAGGACCTTTAAAATGTGACTTGGGTCACACATTTAAATAACAGCTTTACAGGCATTCTTTGCTTTTAAATTAGGTCACTGGTGTTCTTTCTTTGAACACTCTGTTCTAATTGGAACAATAAATCATTGACAATATGCAGAATAGATTCCCTTCTAAGGTGGACAACTGGACTGTGCCTTATTACTGCTCCTAACATGTGCAGTGCATTCTGTTATTGCCTGTTAAGAGACATGGTGTCAGTATGAAAGCATTGCCTTGTTTCATTGTTCAGCTAAAGCCAATCTCCTCCTGCATTTACTTGACGTTAATTAATGAATTGAGGCATACCTTCTACATGCCTTTTGCTGGAAGAAGAGCTTAGGGTGCCCTAAGATATGTTAAATCAGGGTCATAGATGACATAAGAGATATCACACTTGCAGATAAGCATTTGTGTTCTCAAGCTTAGATATTTGTGAAAGCAAAAACAAAAAACAGTAGCAAATAGATTTTTCCCTTATCCCTTTGCATAGGTCATGACTTACCCATCCCATACATACCTGCAAAGGATTCTCTTTATTCCACTTCCATTGATTGATCACTGTATCATTCTGGGTTTCTTGTTCAGAAAATGTATTTCCTTTTGGTATATCACAGTCCTATGATTATTTACCTGGGAAGAATTCTCACTGAACTCAGTGGGGCTTATGACTGAGTAGGCATGAATAGGACTAGACTGTTAAATGTAGTTTATTAATTCTATCTCAATTTTCTCCAGCTTTTCAGTTCTCCCAACCCAGCCAGGGGAAAAAAAAATTTCAGCTAAGCGAATTGCAAATTTGTAATACAGCCAAATTCTTCACATCCTCCTGGTTATTACTCTAATATACGAACATGACATATGCAAATGGTGCAGAAGCTAGCTATATCTAACATGTCCATACCTCAGAGTTTTGCATTCAGGCCAAGGCAGAGTGCGTTCATCAACTGGGTTTGCTTTATAGGCAAATCACACTGGTGGAAAGTAATAGCCTTTGATTGTTCTTCTTCTAGCCATTTGAATCTATGACATTCAAGTCCATTTATTTTCAGTTTGTAGTGTTGATTCCTACCCTTTTATTGCCTCAATCCATGAGATTATTCAAATCCTCTTAATCTAGTGTACATCTATTTAGGAGTAGGTTACATCGAAGTCAACTTGCATTACTTCTGACTGAATTCTGCATTGGATTTGACTGTACACATCTGGACAGAGAAATGAGTGTTTGTTCTGTCCCCCACCCCAAGTGGAAACAGCTCCAGATTGCACCTGGAAAAGCTGTGTTTTCCATAATCAGAGTTGAAAGCTTGTTAAATATGGGCAATTCTTATTGGTAGCTGCACACCCTAGTTGGACTTGATGGTTCTTCTCCCTATACAACTACTGGAGCTAGCGTACGTAGCTTGGTTAGAAAACTAGCTTTGATCAAGTAACACAACTGCAGGAGGGGAGGGGTAAATTTACTGACTCCTGTGTGCATACACATTTAGATCAGGCTGCTCAAATGGCTTCTGAAATGCGAGCAGATTTGTCCTCACATGTCAGATGTTGTGGTGCAAGACCCAGAGGTGGACTTAGCCTATAAAAGAAAACAGGCTTTTAGTGCTGGAGGTGCAGCTCTCTGGAATTATTTACCTGACAAAATCAGGCAGGCACCTAGCATGTTGCTGTTTTGGCGCCTACTGAAGACATTTCTGCTTAGGAAGGCTTTAATGGAAGATATTAATGTCATTAATGGAAGATAAATTTTATAGCTAGTGAGATGGTGTTGTTGCTTTTAAAGGTTGTGTGGATGGGTTTATCCTTTTTAGTGTTGGATTGATATTATTGTTTTTAGGGCTTGTGTTTTTTATTTTCTATATTGTACACTGCCTTGATGTTTTTATGCTATGAAGCGGTTTATAAGTGTGTTTAATAGGTAATGAATAAATATTTGTCTACCCTGGTGTAAAATCAATACATGTTTGCTGCATAGCCTTGCATGGCTTTCCAAGCCCTGTTCATGCAGCAGCAAATAGAAACGTTTCTGTTTACCACTCTGTTGGGTGGTAAATCAGAAACAAAAGCATGGGACAATGGATTAGGATAGGGTCACTGAGTAGCTATAGGCCAAGAAAACTACATGTTGTAGCCATGGTGTTTGTGTTAAGAAGCCTATTTTCACATCCCCGCCTCTCAGATGTTCTGATGATAAGTGTTGGCAGAACATTGTCATGGTATAAATCTGTGAATTCCTTCGGAGTTGTTGTGGATATTTAGGTAATCTACAGTGATTAGTATATTGGAAAGCTTCTTTTTGGACTTAATTTTTGTCATAGGAAAGAGAAGTTCTGTTCACATGCTGAGATCTTAGATGCATCAGGTTTCTGGTGAAAATATCATTGTTTCCTCTTCGCTTCACTTTCTAATCTATCTTCTCTTCTTCAGCCTATCCAGAATTCTCTTTCTGAGGTTTCCTGGTATTTACTCTTGGCTGATGATTGGCAGTCATTATTTCATCCTTTTAAGGGGACCACATAATTAGACTGTTAACAGTCACTTACTTGTCTCAATAGAAGTTTCTATAGGGATTGGGGAATTTTCAGCACCTCTTCAAACTTTATTTCCCAGGATCCTTGGGCCATGACAGTTTAAGTAACAGAAGCCTATGAACACTTTGGATATAGATAAATGCTCAATTTTGAGAAATCATTTTAGAGCTAATCACAATCCTTTTTTTAAAAAAACCAAACCAAACCATTCTGAATAACTGAGTGTTACCATCAATCATCACCACCCCACTGATGCAGGCATCTTCAACCTTTTCAGACCCAGGACACACTTTTTACCCAAACATGCACTTGGGGATCCATTTCTTAACCATTTACTATATATTTGCATGGTGCTCGTGCTCCTCTTGTGACCTACATTGGATCAGACCACAGCCCACTAGTGGGCCCTGACCCACAAGTTGAAAACCAGTGCTCTAATGAATTTGTTATGAATTGCATTTTTCACATTCAAATGCTACATTTTTAGGTGTACGCATGTGTGAAGAGTGGGAATGAGGAAGAATTTTGATTCAGCATTTAAAGGCGAACCTAACACAAGTCACACTCTTCACAGCAATATGCAAACTTCACACTTCTCCAAATTTTGCAGTGCAGAATTTATCCAGACAAGCAATATGTACCGAAATGCATGTAATAGGTTAAAGTGAGCACATAAAGGTATATATTAATGAAACTAACATATTAAAAATGCATTATATTCAGGAAAATGGCTTTACAAACCTATCTGTGTTAGGCAAAAACGTGTCTATAAGGAGAAACATGCAGTAAAATGCTGGTTAATTTTCATGAGGACTAAAAAATACCACATAATTTCATTTCCCAAGGTTAGAAAAATGAAAAACTTAGAGAAATCAAAATTGTCAGATCCACCCATCCCCAGTGAAGAAGACTACAATTCATAGCCATTTTAAATGGCTGAGAAGAACCTTGGAATGTGTTGCTACTTCTGGTTAAATTGTCCAAATTGGCCTTGCAACTTGAAATATATACTCTGTGAATGTGTTAAGTTAGCTTTTAAAAAATGGTGAGACTTTGTAACAGGGCTGGGGAACCTGTGACCCCGCTGAAGTTGCTAGACTAGGCTTTCTTCATCCCTGACAACTGGCCATGCTTGTAGCTGGAGTTGAAGAACATCTGGAACTCTAAGGCTCACTACCTTTGCTTTCTAGAAACGAATTAAGTAAAGCAAACGAAAGAAATGTTATGATAATTCAGCATGTTATATGCTTCCCTGAGCTACCCTGCAATTAAACTCAGACATTTCAAATACTGAGGTGAAATATTACCTTATGCCTTTTAGTTAATATTAAGATATTATATACACTCGTTCAAAAGTAGTATCCACAACTTTTGTGTTGTGCATAGAAATTGGCAAGTTGAGAGAGAGAAACTTCAGTGTCTCCTGCCAAACACAGAAGCCTGCGAGATGCCAAAATAACAATGTTTGACATAGCCTTGTCCAGTTCTGGCACTAAGTGATGATATTTCAGCATGGCGTAGGTTGGAATTGGTCTGGAAACTGTGCTGAGGGGAAAGGCAGGCACAGTTCAGCCCCCAGCTAAATCCTTTCTTAGGCAGCATGCTAGGGGAAGTCGCGCAGGCTTAAAATCTGTTGGCCTACTTATTTTATTGGCTCTCAATACAGCTTACAAAAATTAAAGTAAAACATAAAGGCACAACTGAAGATATCAGGAATGCCTTCAATTTAAGTTACAACTTTTAACACAGAGAGAGAGAGTGTGTGTGCTGGTGCACAAATGCATTTCTCCCTTTACTTGATTCTTCAGTACCCGATGACTCTCGGTTAATGTGTGAATTGTCTCAACTGAAAAGTATTGTTTGAGATGAGATTCAAGTACAGTGGTACCTCTGGCTACATACTTAATTCGTTCCGGAGGTCCGTTCTTAACATTCTGAAGGAGAATCTCCACCCCCATCGTTCAGCCTGGACACTGAGATCCAGCGCCGAGGGCCTTCTGGCGGTTCCCTCATTGCGAGAAGTGAGGTTACAGGGAACCAGACAGAGGGCCTTCTCGGTAGTGGCGCCCGCCCCGTGGAACACCCTCCCTTCAGATGTGAAGGAAATAAGCAGCTATCTTCTCTTTAAAAGACTTCTGAAGGCAGCCCTGTTTAGGGAAGTTTTTAATATTTGATGCTGTATTGTTTTTTCTGGCTGGGGAAACTCAGCCAGATGGGCGGGGTATAAATAATAAATTATTATTATTATTATTATTATTAACCTGAAATTGTTCTTAACCTGAAGCACGACTTTAACTAATGGGGCCTCCCGCTGCTGTTGCGCCGCCGCCGCACAATTTCTGTTCTCATCCTGAAGCAAAGTTTTTAATCTGAGGTACTATTTCTGGGTTAGCAGAGTCTGTAACCTGAAGCGTCTGTAACCTGAAGCGTATGTAATTTCAGGTACCACTGTATAAAAAATAGGGAAAAACAGATTGCAGTCTGCTCCAATGACCAGCAATTTCTGTGTCCCTTCCATGGAGAACTGTCATATAGACAAAGCCTCCACTACTGGGCTAAACAATCTGACAAAGGTGCCTGAATAACTTTACAATCCCCACCCCAACCCCCTTTTCAAATGTCCGTAGAAGTGAAGTGCTGCCCTTTAAGATACCTATTTCACATGAGTTTTTGGTTCAAAAATGTGTGGTATGCAAGAAAAGGAATGAATTAATAACATCTTCCTGGTAGTTACCTTCCCTTGGGCAGCTGTTGTTTTCTCTTTATGCTTTCCAGAGAGAATATTGCAAAGTCATGTTGTGTCATCAGAAAGAAATAAAATAAAATTCAGTTCTGCCCAGTATATTTTTTGGCTGTGGCGTGAAAGCATCTTTCTAGGCACGTACGCATGCATTTAGCCAAATGTTTTTGGAGGTTTGGCAGCCACTGGCATACGTGCATTCATCTGGAGAGCCAGTCATCTGTGGCCATGTCATATGGTGGACTTGATCCTATCACAACCTTTTCTGATCGGGTTCTGATCAGCGGCGTGTATGTGGTAGAAATTGTTTTGCCATGCAGCCAGATGAAACTTATTGGACCAGATGCCAAGTAGTATAGGCTTCCTGTTAACCACAGTTAAAAGACTGCGAGTGCACTGTAGCAGTGCACCAATCTGATCATGCAGTGCCTTATCTTCTTGGGAGTAATGTGTAACCCACCTGCACACCTGTATGCCACCATCAAGGTATTGGGTACTAAGGAGGAGGAGGAGTTGTTTGGACTTGATATCCTGCCTTTCATTCCCCTTAAGGAGTCTCAAAGCAGCTAACAATCTCCTTTCCCTTCCTCCCCCACAACAAACACTCTGTGAGGTGAGTGAGACTGAGAGACTTCAGAGAAGTGTAACTAGCCCAAGGTCACCCAGCAGCTGCATGTGGAGGAGTGGGGAAGTGAACCCAGTTCACCAGATTATGAGTCCACCACTCTTAATTTCTACACCACGCTGGCTCTCTTTATGCAACATTTCATTGTCAAAATTAGGCAGCCCTTGAAGCACTGAGAATCTATGCCTCTTATGGATGGATTTGTCTCTTTGTAAAGGTAAAGGTAAAGGTAAAGGACCCCTGACAGTTAAGTCCAGTCGCAGATGACTCTGGGGTTGCGGCGCTCATCTCGCTTTACAGGCCGAGGGAGCTGGCATTTGTCTGCAGACAGTTTTTCCAGGTCATGTGGCCGGCATGACTAAGGCACTTCTGGCACAACGGAACACCGAAACCAGAGCAGTGCACAGAAATGCCGTTTACGTTCCCGCCAGATTTATCCCACCTATTTATCTACTTGCACTTTTTGGCATGCTTTAGAACTGCTAGGTTGACATGATCTGGGACCAAGCAACGGGAGCTCACCCCGTTGTGGGGATTCGAACCACTGACCTTCTGATTGGCAAGCCCAAGAGGCACAGTGGTTTAGACCACAGCACAACCCACATCATTTTTGTACTCCATTTTAATTTTACCATATGTTGATTCATAAATCCATTCTGCCCCATTTCTGCATAAATCTGCATTTAAAAAAAAAAAACCAACCATGAAAAGTAATATTTAGATACACACCTCAATAATATTGAAATAAGTATATTATCTTAATGTATGCATTTCTTTGAGCTGAAAACTCTGTTGCAAAATTCAGATAAGTGTGAAATCTGAAGGAGAATAGCATCCTCATCTATGCATTAGACTGGGACTTGTGAATTTGGTTACTTCCTTAAAAACATGGACTGAAAGAAATTCACCTCCATGCTTAAAGCATCTTAGTTACTATCTGTATCACACACAAATCAATAACTGTAGCACAAAACTAAAAGATCCCAATATACTCTGGCACAATGCAGGAAAATCAATCATTTCGTAGTAAAAGCACCAGTTGGAAACCGAGTGCTCCTAGTGGTAGATTTCCAGTATGATTTGAGTTAATGTGGTTTGATATTTGGCACCATTTGTAACCTTGAACATTATCATAATTGTTTCTCTCTCCTGCAGACGCAATCCTCTGTGAATATGGTTTCACACAAAACCAGCAATTGCAAGATAAACAGCAGTTGATTGTGGTACTTTGGAAAGCCTATCTTGGCCCTAAAAGTCCTGTCTCTCTGTCTCTCTCTCTCTGGCAGGAAGGAGGGAAACATATCAAATAACATCTGCATTTAACATCTGAATATGGGTTTTCACCACTTGTCCCATGGAGAACTCTGTCCCTGATTTTCCTCCCTTCCCATGCGTTCTCTCAAAAACATGTTTTTTATTCTTCTTTTCTTTCTTGTTTTCACCCCACCTCCTTTCTGGAGAAGACAGCAGAATGTGTGCACACTACCTCACGCAATAGATTTGGAAAAGGGGCATTACACACCCAGTTGCCTTTTTTACCTGCAGCAACACAATTGCATGTATTTCTGCACTTGTGGGGTCTGGAATGTGTTTAAGGGGTTCGATGATGGCATAGTTCAATAGCTTTAAACCTTTTAAGATCTGAGGTCCAGCTTGAGCCCATGTTGTGCTTGGAGTTACATTTATTTTTATTTTTGAGCAAATATTCCTGTCCTTGGTTTTCTGTCTTTCTTCTTCCTATTCCCCTTCACTCGATGCCTGTTTTGGGACCCACTTTTATTTATTAAATTTCACTTTTACCTTGCCTTGCCTCCAAGAAACTCAAGGTAGCATACATAGTTATGATCATTGCTTCCTCATAAACAGCCTTGGTCACTAGGTTAAGCTGAGAGATAGTGACTGTGCCCAGAGTCACCCCGAAACCTTCATGGCTGAGTGGGGATTTGAATCTGGGACTCCCCATTTCGAGTCTGACACTATGATTCAGGGATGGGAAGAGCCTGTGGCTCTCCAGATGTTGTTGAACTCCAAATCACATCAGCCTCAAGCCAACATGGCCAGTGATCAGGACTGATAGGAGTTGGAGGAGTCCATCGACATCTGGACCAACACAGGTTCCCTATCCCTGCTATAAATGCTAACTCACACTTGACCCACTTTACTCATCAGGAGAATAATATTTCTGGTTTTGATTTTTTTTTTTTATGCTACAATTTGTTTTTCTTCACAAGCATTTCAAGAATGTAAAAAAAAAAAGTGTGTTCAACAAGGGGAAAGGAAAAACGAAAGACCACTGAGAGTGAAGGGTGGAGATGTAATCTATATTGGATAATTACCTCAAGGAATACAACAGAACATAGTGGAGAAATTTCACTCACCAGTGAGGCCCCTATGGTAAGGTTATATAAGGTTCATTAATAAATCTAACTTGGAGATCAAATAAAAGCTGAATCGTTTGCGTAGAACAGTGCTGCAAGCCAAAGAACCTCATTAGTTTGAGAATGGAACTGCGTAAAACTTCTTGAAGGTCATTTATATGCCGAACGGACATATACCAGGACCAGCATTTCTTTTTTTTTATCCTGTGCCCACATAAATCAGAGAAAGTAAAGCAAAACCAAATCAACACTAGGGTAGAATAAAGAATGTAAGCAGGCGGATGCTGCCATGTTCCCTTGCAGGATCTCATTTGTCATCCCACAGGCTATTTAGCAGGCAAGCCGCAAACTGGATTAACCTGCACAGCATACCTTAGCAAGGGATCTGCCAATTTGGACAGGTGCAGCCCAGGATAGCTTGCTCTCCTACGTAGCTTTGGATTCTGGGGTCCAACTTTAAGCTGAAGCCTTTATAGGGGATCCCGAGGGAGGCATCCCTCTAAGATCATGTGATGCCTTCATGGGCACCCCTAAAAAGATTTCTGCATCAAGCAACAACTTTGATTAGCCAACACAGCCAGTGGTCAGGTAGAATGGTAGTTGTAGCCCAGCTAAGCTGGACGGCATCAGGTTGAGGAAGGCTGGCTTAGGTTGATTTTGTAATCTAGCCAGCCATGAGTTTGGAACTATCTACCAAAGTGGTCTCTCCTTATAACACAACTATTGCTTACTAAACAGTTCTGCCTGATAATGCCTGAAGGAATAAATAACGCAGCTTCAGTGCTTTTTTGGCAACTTTCCCATCACCCCTCCTATAGGGGACAGTTTTTCCCCCTCCTTCTCCCAACCTGGAGAGAAGTTGGGTTTTCCAAAGATAGACATTGGGATGAGATACAGATATTCCAGATTACTTCTCTCTTCAGCCCCAGTCAGCATGGTCAATGGAGGGCACCAGGTTGCTTATCCCTGGTCTATTCCATTACCAACTGCACCATCCTGAAGTCCTGATTATATAATAAAACAGCATCTGGAAGTGTTCAAAAAAATTTTTTTTGCATTTGACTGCAAAAATTCAGAAAGGAATTGATCTAGTCTGGTATTAGATGTGTAATGAGCCCCTCCTATCTGTATGGTCACTTCTCCATGACCTGACTTAAGGGAATATGTGAAATTCATTTCAGTTAGTAAACGGTATTCTGTGGCTTTGCGCCTCAGACCACACACCCAGAAAGAAGCATCCAGATTTTTGCTCAAAATTTACCGTATTGGCTTTGCTTCTCACATTTTGCCACATATACACTTGCAGACAGAGCTCACAGCTGATTCTGCTTATGGAACAGGAAGTGTTTTGCAATGGCAAAAGGTTCACAAAGGGAGGAGGAGTAGGAAAGAGAACGAGGGCTTCTACAAAGAGATTATTTTGAAAAAGGCAATGTTCCCTTCACCACCAGTGAATAAGGCTCAGACAGGATGGCCTGTCTTGGGGTAATAATAATAAAAAACAACATTCTGATGTGGCAAAGGGGTTTGAAGAGGAATGTGTTTCCAAACTATTTCCAGTGCACCTTAAGAATCTTTTTTCATACTAAGCCATAGGCCATGCTGTTAACATGAGAAGTCAGCATATTCATCATTCGTTCACTGCATTACAGCAATTCACAATGGTGAATCCTGGAGCTGGAAGCGACCTCAGAGCTCATCTAGTCCAACCCTCTGCTGATATAGTGTATCTGCTGCTACAGCATTTTTGATTGGTGGCCTCCTGGGCTCTGCTTAACAGTCTCCAAAGGAGGATGGTCCATCATCTTCCAAGGCAATCTGTTCTATTGTCAAACAGTCCATACCGTCAGGACATTCCTCCTAATCTCCTCTCTCACAATTTCAACCTTTGTTCAGGTCTTAGAGTTACAGAAGACAAACCAGCTCCATCATTTTTTGTGACAGATCTTCAAATATTTGAACATGGCCATCATATCACCCTGTAATGGAGCCTTATTCAGGCTAGACATACACAGGCATACCTTATAGAAGTCAGTCTCCAGGACCTCCAGCCCCACACCATGATGGTGACATAAATGGCCTCTCACCACCTTTCTTGCAATCATCCAGTACTGATGACGCTTGTTTTCTGAGCAAACCTTCGTACTAAAAACGTAACACGAATGAGGGCAGAGATACACCAGAGAAAGAACAATGCATGCCTGTTCAGCCTTCAAATGGGTATAGGATCTAGAACTGGCAGCAACTAGGAGCCAGTGTGTGTATGTTTATAGGGGAAGCAAAATACATGTGCATGGGATGAATTCGAAATATAATATCATGTTGACCAGAGCTGGGAACTTGTGGCTTTTCAGATGTTCCTGGCTTTCAGCTCCCATAATCTCTGACCAATGGCCATGCTGGGTGGAGCTGATGGGAGCTGGCATCCTACAAAATCCGAGGGCCACAACCCTGACTTAAAACACAGCACCAGAAAATACACTGCTTGTGAAACTGCCCAAAACATGGTCACTACCAGCCCTAATGTGTTTTCCCCCCTTGCTTGTATCAAAATATTCCTGCCAAGTAATCATGCTCACTTTGTAAGGCTACATGGGATATAAGAAAACCAGATATGCTTGCCTCACAGCCAGCCAGATCCTTACTGCTGCCTGAAGGATGTCTTGTTTGAAGGAAAGTTTTGCAATCCTGGTTCAGTTGATCTCAGCAAACTGGCTATCCAGCAACTTGAGTTGGCCAATGATTTTGAGCAGCTGCAGGACCTCTTGCAAAGAGGCCATCTGGGAACTTAAATTTGTGTTGGACTAACAGTGGTCAAATAATCTGGGGCTAGAGAGACGGTGTTGTTGAGCAGGTGCAGATTATCCTCTCCAAAATTCTTCAAGACCGGATTGATTGTGCACAAAAAATTGTTCATGTTATGCTTTTAATGTAAAAGGGGAGCCATAAGAATGTTACTATATAATTCCTGTTTGCTGTGTAATATTATTACCCGCTTTGAAGGCAGGTTGAAATTTTCTTTTGCAAATATTGTTTTCTACAGCTCCAGTTACGCAATAAAATTAATCAGATATGCTTAAGGGCCTTTGGCTGTTTACAACACTTGCTATTAACTACAATCTGCAGAGTATTAAGGGATGTGGTGGGGTGATCAATCTAATAAACTAAATGTGGCTGGGCACATGAATGTTAAAAGTTTTCTTTGGTGTGTGTTTTTGTTTTTTGTTATGGAGCTTGGGAAGACAATTTGTTATATCCTGTGAAGTTACATCTAATGCTATAATTGGCACAGTGCCTCTCTATGATGCCATTTTGGGTTACTTCCTAGCAGCCAATTCATAAAATTGACAAAAAGCAGGAGATTTTTTTCACCACAGTTTGGCACAATCCAGCAACAGCAAGCTTCATTTGGAAGCAGTCTCTTTTCTTCATGGAACCCCTTATTGACCACACTCTGTACATGTACAGAGAGTGATGCAAATGGTTAACAGCAATAAATAAATAGAACTGAGTGCTATTCATGAGTGGTAAACATGGAACAAGCATTTGTGGGGTTAATTTTCCAAGACTTTTTTTTTTTCCAAAGAAAGAAATAAAGAATGTCTGAGAGATTTTGGCTCAGTTGATGCTGTTTAAAACTCTGTTGCTATTTCATATTGATGAATAATGGAATTAATGAGCTGAAAGTGGAGGACTGGTAGGATTAGGAGACAATCCTATTGCTTCCTTCAAGAATATTTATATAAGCAATATTAAAACTGGACCCACAGTTACACCCAAAATTCATGGGTGGTGAAAGTCAGAAGGCTGTGTTGCAAAAAAAATAATTTTCCAGACAAGGACTGAAGTTTCCCAACAATTGAAAAAGAGCTCATGAAGGAAGAAAATTCATGTGTGTGTGTATTGTATTCAGTCCACAGAGTTGTGTGCTCAACCAAAACACAACCTTGTCTGTAGCACCTACTCCTATAAGTCTGACAGCTTTCCCTACAGATAAGGATGTAAGTACGCATTGTTTTTCATTCCATCCTGTGTTTGTCGCATGCAGCTCTGTTTCTGTTCCGCTGCAATCCATCTTCTGCCAAAAGGTACATTATTGGTTCTTGCTGTCTGCCCTTGGTGAAAATACACAATTTAAGTAATTTGTGTAAATTACGTTGTCATTATGTTAATCCACCCCTTTCATTTCAATGCAGAAGAAACGCAATGCAAATGTTGAAAAGCTATAATCAGTTGCATATTGTTAGCAGACTGAAAGCAATAGCAGTTGTATTTGGTGGATTGATTTCCATTCCAGACATGGGACAAATAAACGAACACTCGCAATTTCTGTTCCCACTTCTGTTTGTGTCTGAATTCCCCAAGTACCGGACTCCTAAGTTTCATCGCCTATTTACAAATCTCTTTCTCTGGGACAATTGTAAACTGGCAGAAGGTTCCCCACAAAACAAATACTTTGCACATAGCAGCCATACACTCAACGTAATCCCAGCCTTAACATCCCAAATCAAACCTCACGTTTGCAAAACTGGTCTGGCGTGAAGTAAAACCAATCATGAGCAGGACCAACTGGGAGAGGGTTGAAAAATGGCTAAATGTCTTCTGTGATGATAGAAGCCTTGTTCACCCTTTTGACGTAGAGTTTCCCCTCCCTCATGGTAGAATGGCTTCATGTTTGACAGATATTCCACAGATTTACAGGATGTCTAAAACTAATCCCAAATTTCATTTGGATAAAGTCTTTTCCTGTTTCAGCAAACGCCTTGTTAATGACCTTCCCTCTTTATATCAGTTTTCAGTAATTTGCAACTGAATGTTAGCATTCTGTGTACAAATGGTAGATTTGTTTTTTCTGGCGTGCGTTGAGTGGGCGGATGGGGGGCGGCTGGTACTCACAAATCGTATGTCAGAAGCCACTAAAAGTGTCAGAATCCCACAGCAGGCTTTTGGTGGCTTGTTAATATCTTCTCCTTTCAAGGAAACAGCCTAATTCACTTAAATATAATGAAAGCCATGCCCTCAATGGTGAAACCTCTAAACAGCGTCAACGTTTACAAGTCCTGCCTTCTTTTTGCACCTCCTCCTTTTCTGGCTTCAACCATTTCAACATGAACTATGATGTTTTTCTGTCTGTGGTCTCTCAGATGTCACACATGCGGAAAAATTGAATCTGTAGTTATTGGAAGGGGGGTTCATATACAACAACAAAAAAAGGCATTCTGTAACTGGTTTCCTTCCACCCTCACCTCCCTGCTATCTTCTAAACTATTATCTGCACCAGGTAAAAAGAATAATCCTAAATGCAGTCTGGACAGTTAGGAAAATCCAAAGCTGAAAGCGCAGAAATATTTACCTAAGGCCACCCAGTATATTCATGGCAAAGAGGAGATTTCAACTGGGGACCCGTCCCAAATATATCCAGCCCCCCAATGATGATACTACAATTGGAAATTTAGTTCTTTATTGGCAAAGTACATCAGCTCCTAAGGTGCAAGAACAGCAGGCACCGTTTCTGCTAAATAGCTATCTAGGCATCACCTTCTTCAGACCTGTGCCTCAACCCAGACGGTTGGAGCAACAGCACAACCACAGTTAAAACCCTCACAAGCAACAAGCAACTTCTGTGCATCAGTCCTTGGGGACAGTGTTGGAGGGGGGAGATTTTAATGGTTCAACTCTCTCTGGGACTGTATCTTCCACGTCTGCACCTCCCTCCTCTTCTCCCTTCTCTGCCTGACCCATTCCCTTCCTCCCTGCCTCATGGGTGGCACAGAACCCCCAAATCACTGGCCCCTTCCTCTGTATTCTCCTTCTGCCACCTCTGCCGCCTCCTTTGCCCACCCTTCGGACTCCTGCCTGTCCCTGACATCACCTCAGATCAGTTACTTCACTTCTGTTTTACAGTAGCTCATTCTGACACCCCTATGTTGCAAAGGTGTTGACAGCAAACACTGAACTTGAAATCTTTAGGGCATCTCTCATCCATCAGTCAACATGTTCCTTACACTCTGTTTTCAGTTTTGGATGGCTAATCAGTTTGATCTGTTTTAAATATTTTAGCTATTTTGCCATTTATTACCCTGTTCCATAGATGGCATACCTTGCAAAGCAATTATCTTTGCTCATTATTCGGAATTTCCTAGGTATGCCTTGGGAATTACTGATTCTAGTTTCTGTGGCCAGTGCAATAGACCCATTGGCTGAGATCCCGAGCTCCACATGACTCTCTGCACATCTCTTTCAGTGTGGGGAATGTTCCACATATACAGTCAAGAGAATTAGGCAGGTCTTGCTTCTACAGAGCTATATTCCTTTGCAATAGAATCACATCTGTTTGCCTGTCTGTTTCTCTATCTATGGGTGCTTCCAGATGATGTGTTTACCAAGCATTCAGCCTGATTTGTTTGCATGTAGATTTGACAACATTGGCTATTTAATGAGCATTCATTCTGATTTGTTTGCTGTATGATGTCAAGGCAGGTTGTCATCCTATACTTTCCAGCACATTTCACTGTCACTTTCCTTATTGCAAAAAGTTTGGAGAAGACCTGCTTCCCTGAAAAAAAAATCAAACAGTTTTAATTGGGCAACCTGGTTTGCTGGTATGTTATTAAATCCCACCAGGGAGGGGAGCGGGGACAGGCAGGCAGGCAGATTGCTGTGCCAACTTGGAGCTACCACAGTGATTGGGCTAAATTCTGTCACATGACAGCACCTAAGCTAGCATGGGATCCAATGGCTAGCTGCCATCGACTTGGATCCTACCAACTGCAGTTCTGGCTGCTCACGAGTCCAGTGGGCAGAATGAGCTTGTGTCACTCCATAGGCAACAGCCAACTGAACGCCAACGAAGGCTGGCAGGGGCATTTCCACCCATTCCAACCCCATGAGCCTGCCATAAAGGGAGGTTGAGATGCTTTGTTGGCTAGCAACCATCACCTCATCTTGTTTCAGTGAATTGTGTAAAGGAATAAAGAAGGCACATGCCTAGTACACTTTCAGAACTATAATAATATGCTAGTGCTCGTTTTTCAAAATCAAACATTTGGAAGGAATTAATTCCTTCATGTTTAGACTCCAAAATGGCTCCTAAATAAGAAGTCAGGGAGAGGGGGAATTTTCCATGCATACAGGGCATTCCATCTCTCTCTACTTAACATCTTTTTTGGTTATGGATGCTGAACTCCAAAACCTTAGGCTGTTACACTGACAACTTAGATGCTGTATTAGTTTGACGATTCTTTATGGCATTTCCTGTTTTTACCAGTGATGGATTAAAACAGGTATAAAAGGACCCCAGGGGTAGAAAACAAAAACTGGGCTGTGTGGTATGTTCAGGTTAAAAAAAATCTTAAATATTACTCCAGCTTTGAACTGAGAGGGTGGGCTTGGCCCTAAATTTTGGTGTTGCAAGCCAAAATCTCAATCTTTCTTTCTTTTTTCAAGAAATGAAAAAGAAAAAAACAAATAAATAAAAAAACCATTCCTTTGTACTTTACACTTGGCAAACCCAGGGAACTAAAGTGCTCATGCTGTGAGTCTAGCATCTACCCAACATGTTTTTATAAGGCTCTAGGAAGAAAGATAATATACTTTGGCCCTATTTGACACATGGGTGGGGGAAACATTCTGAAATCCCAAGAGTAACAGAACAGAGTGGCCAGCAATAAAGGTAATGGCACGGCATGTTGTAATGTGGCAATGTAGGGGAAAGGAAGGAAGACCAGAAGGGATATGCCATATTGCAAATTATCTGCCCCTGGAATGTTCTGTACTTTGGAGCAGCCTATCATGTTTATGTGTATTTCCCAAAAATGTCCAGGCGTGGTCAACATCTGGCAGCTCCAAGCCAATTGTGGCCTTTAAAAAATGTCCTCCTCTGTGTCCCTGTGCTCCCCCGCACCGGATTGTGTAGCCATAATTTCTATAACATTAGAGCCAGTTTCATGTTGGCATGGAATTACATTCAAGAAAGAGGAAGTAGAGAACTGGGTACTTCATAGCTAATCCAGACCCTCCAAGTGTCCCTGTTTTCCAGGGACAGTCCAAGATTTACAGAAGCTGCCCCAGTTTCTGATTTGATCGAAGAATGTCCTGCTTTTCCTTAGGACATCTCTATTTTCACGAGAGAAATGTTGGAGGTTATGGTAGGACGTCCCTATTTTCGTGAGTGAAATGTTGGAGGTTGCAGAGTTATGCAACCCCCGAGCCAAGGAGATAAGTAACTATACAGCTTTTAGAAGACATCTGAAGGCAGCCCTGTATAGGGAAGTTTTAGTGTTTAATGATTTATTTTGTTTTTATATATGTTGGAAGTCGCCCAGAATGGCTGGAGCATTTATACTGCGGGGTATAAAAAATAAAATTGTTGTTGTTGTTGTTGCTATGGAATAGGACATCCCTATTTCTATCGGAGAAATGTTGGAGTGTATGCATAACCTAGAGGTAGCAAATGCTCTTGCTTGATAGACAGGCTGATTCCCTTTCCTCTTCCCCTCAACCTCTGATAATAATCTTCATACCTGCATGAAGTTGGCTATAATAATAGCAGTGCCCTCTACCTAATCAAGCAACAGCACCATCAATTCCAGGCTACTCTGCCATGGCCAGGAGAATGGAGGTGACACCATTGCTTGGTGGTTGCCTGACAACTCCCAGATCAAAGGGATCTAGCAAAGGCAGGAAGCCTAGGGCAAAGGACAGTGCCAGAAAATGGTGGAAATCTTGTGAGAGATGCAAAGCTAATCACCCACTTGGAGACCTCTTGTAGTTTGGGCCAATGCTATTGGAAGACCCTTCCAGAGATCTCTGAAAATGGCTTCCCTGGCACAGGCATTGCTAGCTGCTCAGCCAAATCACTTCAGCCTAGCTGCTTCCTTTCCTAAAAAAGCAAATCAAGTTTTCCAGGTGGAGGGATTCCAGGCTGCTTTTCAGAGTTCAGGCACATTATGTTAATGGTGCTGCATGGAGCTGCTAATCTTCTGGTCGTGAATTGAACTCACACATGCAACAGTGCATGATTAGTGCATGGTTTCATAGAAGATATCCAAGTTAGGTGGGGTATAAATATTGTGGTGATGATGATGGTGATGAGTTGAGATAGGCCATGAGAGAAAAGCAAAACACTCCAAAAATACTCAACATAAGCCATGTATAATCCTTTCTGGAAAACGGCTGAAGTTTTAACAATGATCATTTCTAGAACACCCTTCACTCTACTGGCTAGGGCTGATTGGAGCTGTAACCAAGAACATCAAAAAGGTGCCAGGTAATGCATTAGAAAATGAATTTGTAGGTTTAAACACTACTGAAAGGTATGCTGTACGTTTGAAGTTTAAGTTAAAGAGTCTTTGGTGATTTATTAATGATGTATATAAACTCTTATCCTGCAGCAATTATTACTAATTAGTGCTGTGCCCAAACCAGTTGTGCAATTTTCATAAAGTTTCCTTATGCTTTTGGTTTTCTATGTCATTCGCAGGGCACCTTAGAATTTCTTTAGGGTTTTGGTGCATTGGGTGGGTTCCTCACCACCACCACTTCATCTTTCCATTAAATGTTTTCCCTGCACTCTGCAGCCTCCCTGGCTGCCTGTACTTCCTGATGTGAAAAGGCCCAAGGATGCACCTGCCCTGGTGCATCCCTTTGAGATCACCAACACACCTTCCCAATCTTCAAAGGGGCATGCAGAGTGAAGACACTTCACCCTGGCGTGCCTCGTTGAAATTGTCAGGAAGTCCAACATTCAGGTGGCACCTTGTCCCCATGGAGTTGGTGCACTTGACCCCATGGGCACCTGGTTCTCCACTGTGAGAACAAAGTGCTGGACTAGATGAGCCTTTGGCCTGACCTAGTAGGTTCTTCTTATATTCCTATGTCCTTCATGTGTATTTTGGATATGCCTGGACAGAACATTCAGTGTTTTTTCAGCCACACACACATTTTTGGAATAAAGTTTTAAAGTCCAGTATTAAAAGCAGCAAACTCTATGGAGTGCTCATTGAATACATTTCTTTGTTGTTCCATGCCTTTTGCCTCATTGCTTCCATCTGCAATTGCTTTGACAGTCTGCTGAACATATTATATCTGAAATGTGCAATGCATCAACAAGAAACAAGGAATACTTTCTGGCACACCCCATACTGGTGGCAGTGGTGGTACAGGATGAAATTTATTATCTCTTCCCAAATATAACAGATCTCCTGAGATCTGCATGGAATCCATGGCAGGAAATCATTGATTTAATGGAACATCTCCACATATTGTGCCTCTGCACATATTCTGTAGAAAGATTGATTGCAAAAATATATTCAAGCAGTTTCTCAGACATCGTAAAATCATCTCTTCCTTCCCTGCCTCGTCTCTTCTGCACCCCCTCCAAGCATCTGATGCCGAGTTTGGAAACATTATTTTGTTCCAAATCAAACCTGAAACCCAATGATGGATATATATTTTTCTTAAGCTTTTGAGTCCAGCAAAAGAAAGGGTTTGGGCAGAGAGAAAGGAGGAAATGGCAAGCAATAAGATCAGAAGATCTACACAAATAACCTAAAATGATATGTGCATAACTGTAAGGTATGTCATTCCTTTTAGCTGCTCTTAACATACGGTTCTTAACAACAAAAATTTAAACTTTCCTCGGTTTTTCTTTTTTCAAACTCCTTCAGAACTTCAGTCCTTCCTGGACAATATTCAGTGCCTCCCCAATTTCACCATCCATTAATTTTGTATCCAGGTGTAATATTGATTAATGTTACTTTAATAGTATTGAAGGAAGCAATGGACTTGTCCCCAAATCCTACCTGCCTTCCTCTCCTAGTGCATTGCATCCTTCACCCACTAGAATGAACTAGCAACAGAGTTTAACTCAAGAATGGTTTCTTTTTGGCCTCTGTCTGTCTCGAAAGACAGTGGAGTGCACCTCCGGGGGTGAAGTTAAACCACTGTGTTAGCAGCATTGAAGTGATCTTCCTGGGGCATAAGCCTGGGCAGTGTATATGGAGGTCTTGAGCTGCCTAGACACAAGATCCCCCACTCTTGGCCTCACTCATGTGGGGCAAAGGAAAGCACAGCAGTATGTTTGGCACCAGCTTGGTTGCAGAAGTTGCCAAAATGACGCCTACAAGGCACCATCCAACTGTCTTAGGCATTCGACTCCAGATTTGTGAAGGGTTTCCTTCCTTTTCTTCTCCTGAGGATATCCCACAAGGCAGCGGGGGTTTAGTATCAAAGTTTTCCTTCTCCTAGATGTGCTACCTTCCTAGGTTGATGAGCCCCACACCAATGAAGAGATGAAAACTGAATTATAGAAATATTCTAACACCCTAAAGCAAACATCAGCACCGAAACCTCCTTCATATATTGAGTGGGCCAAAATCTTTCAAATGACAATTTTCTGAGAAAAACTGTTGGCAGATTCCTCTTCCCGCTCTTGCTGACCACAAAGAGCATGGAGAATTTTGGGAGGCAATTTTCACTTGTCCCTAGATTCTATGAGGTGCAGATGTATCCTAGACTGTTGTCATTTATGAGACGGTCTGGGAGATGGCTGGCTCCCATACCTTATTGCTCAATGCTTTTTTTTTATTTATTAGTCATTTATTTTAGTTATTTATTATATCCCAAGTTTCAGGACCAAATCTTGTCAAGGCAGTTTAATCAAATTATTGTAAGCTATATCAAAAAATAACAAGTCATTGTGATTTTCCTCAGATGGTAATTGGTGGCAGTGGCAGATGGAGTGACGTCCCAACAACTGAGCCACTTCTGCTTACTGGGGCAGGAGGAGGACAGTGGGGTGGGGGGTGAGGCAATGAGGACATTGGCACTGTGCAAGCAAACCAGCAGGAGTGCCATATTAGTTTGCTGCTGCATTTTCACAGCACTGAATTGCATCTTCATTACCTCTCTTGATTTACAGCTGAATGTGTGAACTAGTGTCATGCACAATAAACTGAATGAGTTGATGTGGGGTAATCATAGCATCAGTGATAGCTTCTTCAAACATACAGTCATACAGTTCACCATTTAATGCTCCAGGAATGATATGCAATTTTGGAACAGCTTACCAAGTAGATGATTTAAAAGCATGCCTCACTGAGTTCAGTCGGAATCACTCCCAAGAAAGTTGGTATAGGGTTGCAACAACTACAATTGTTTTTGTAACTTTGCTTCATGTTTGGGACTCCTATCTGCAATACCAATAGATAGATGATAAAGGTAAAGGTAAAGGACCCCTGACAGTTAAGTCCAGTCGCAGACGACTCTGGGGTTGTACAGGCCGAGGGAGCTGGTGTTTGTCTGCAGATAGTTTTTCTGGGTCATGTGGCTAGCATGACTAACCCGCTTCTGGTGAAACCAGAGCAGCGCACGGAAATGCCGTTTACCTTCCCACTGGAGCGGTACCTATTTATCTACTTGCATTGTTTGGTGTGCTTTTGAACTGCTAGGTTGGCAGGAGCTGGGACCAAGCAACGGGAGCTCACCCCGTTGCGGGGATGCAAACCGCCAACCTTCTGATCGGCAAGCCCAAGAGGGTCAGTGGTTTAGACCACAGTGCCACCCGCGTCCCCTAGATAGATGATAAATATACATAAAATAATGGATACATGGTATAAGAAATCCCTAGCTTGCTAATCACTCAAGAGCTGTTAAGATGATGGTTGGTGGGAGGGAGGTTTTGGGTCTGCTATTACTTTTATTATTGTTGATATATTGTGAGCAGTTTTTTTGTATTTTATAATGTTGTATGTTTTATGGATTTGAAATCTTAAACATTGAATATTATTCACATGCAAGCCTCATGCTTGCTCCTGAGATCCAACTCTGTGTGGTGCATCTTAAGATACAGATCCAGAAGTTTGTGGAACATGGACAGAAGCTCTGAGCTACACACTGTTCTGATCACAAAGTTTGCATTATTATATATTTCATTCATCGTTTTACCTCTAGAAGTTCTCAGAAACCTTTAGAAGTTTTCCATCCAGTACTATGCAACAGAAATAGGATGCCAGACCAAAATATTAAATCTGGTGTTCCGAAAGCCTAATCTAAGCATTTAATCTATCGGAACCCAAATATTGCTACTTGGCTCCTTAGCCAGAAGCCCATGGGTTTGGGGCAATCACCAAACACAACTTGTTTGTACCACACAAATCCACCTTAGGTCATGAAAAAGCTCCTGGAATTTACAAACCAGGATTGAAGCTGACCAGTCACCATCACTCCTAAAAAGCAACAACCACATTTTAAGCAAATAACAGTATTTACAATTATCTGCACTGTGTAAACATATGGAAATGAGTAACAGGCAGATTTTTATTCCAGGAGAGGATGGATATAATATTGTAGCTAATTTTGTGGTGCAAGTATAGTCCATGCTCTATACTGTTACTCCACTCAAAAACAGTAGCATAATGCATTTAATATCTGGTACTTGCATGAATTAACTTTTAATCACTGATAGCGACTTATCCACTAAAAAGTGCCATTTCTTTCTCTCTTTTTTGAAAGGTGAGATATGAAAGATCCAGAATCTTATACAATATCAAAATGTACCTTTATTTTAGTATGTAATGTGGCTCTTTGAGTATGTAAAGCACAAAGAACACATTTTAGCAAAATTTAGTAAGATCATTCTATAAACACCTCCTATCTATGATCCACCAATACCTCTGTTTCAGGAGCGTTTAAAATAAACAAATGAATAGAAACCTTGATAGATGTGTTTTCCTATTGTGACAGATCTTTCTAATATAATATTTCCTGGGGCCAGTGTGCGCCGTTTTATCTGTTCATCACTTTTCCTGACAGATGTATCAACAGGGGATATTCTCAGCAAACTGACTTTTAAAATATGTCATGGCTAGAGTGTTCGCCATTACAACTGATGTATGCAGATAATGTACACCACATGGTTGGTTGGGCTTTTTGTTTTTTCCCTTTAAGAATCCATCTTCGCGTCTGGCTTTAATCATTGACTAATCCATGAAATGTTGCAATCTTGGATTGGAAGAGCCATTACACTCTTCTGTAGAATATAACTGTGGATTATAGGTGAAGCTGCATTAAGAGACTACAGGAGTTAATTATGCCTGAAGGTTTCCAGTGCTATCTGCATCAGCTGACGCTCTCGGAAAGCTATATAAACAATTGGGGAGGTGTTATTAGTGGAAGGAGAAATCAGCCAGCATTTTCCTTAACTGGCGGCAATATCTTTGGGAGGGCTGCCGAAGTTCTGCCTCTGACTGTACAAAGCCCACCCCCACTGTCTTTTGCACCTCCTGACGTATGGGTCTTCCATCCCTCTGGTTATCCCCTTTGCCAGTGGCTCTGAGACCACAAGGGAGACTCAGTGAGCTGCCGCCTTTCTAATTTTTCCTGGCAAGGGCAACGCTGGGCACCGTTTCTTTCATTATGTCCCTTTCGACAACCCCTTCCCCCTTTCTCCCTCTGTCTTCCTCCTTTTTTTCTCTCTCCCTTTCCTTTCTTGGAAGGAGTATTCTTGGGGGCCAAGTCATCAGGCCAAACTGTAGAAAATGTAAATTTCTATATGTGAAAAAATAAATAAACTACAGCTAGGAATATAAGGACGTGGAATCAGACCTCTGGGCCATCTAGGTTAGTATTGCCTAGAATAGGGGATGGGGACATTTTCAGCCTTTCTCAGAACCCTTCCAAGAGCCACATACCAGAGACAAATGTGGACTGAGCAACAATTGTAATTTTTACCTTTGTACAGTAAGCTAGTTTCAGCATACTCAAGTACTCCACTCTGTGTCTTCCACCTGGACGAGCAAGAGTAATTATCAGAGTTCAAAGCAGGGATAATGAGGGGTGTGGACCAGGGAGAGTTCCAAATACCAGGTGGAGAGGTCTGGAGGACCACATCTGGCCCCCAGGCCAAACAAACAAACAGGCTGTTTTCTACAAACAGGCTGCAGTTCTTCAGGGTTTCTGAGAGGGGTCTTTCCCATCCCCAACAGGAAGTACTGAAGGCTGAACCTGGGACCTTCTGTATGCAAAACATTGGCTCTATCCCTGAGCCATGTACCTTCCCTTACTGCTGAAGCTATTAGGATTTGAAAGAAGAGAAGATGTCAGCCTTCTTTTCTGGCCAATTCACACTTGCTAAGAAACTCAAGCATAAAGGTCAATTTAAGGTACCATCAACAGCAGTCGTGCATCTCCTTCATCCTCTCTGTGTGTCATCTAGAGAGGAAATAATGTGGCATCGTGCTGGTGTCATCATGTGGTGTGTTTCATACACATCAACTGCCCTGCAAAAATAAGGGACATGTTGCTTTTTCCTGTGGGAACATGGCTGCCATTTTGGGTACCTTGCTCTTGGGGACTGAGCTCTCACCCTGAAAAAGCACTTTTCCCAGTCCACAGTCACCTGGAAGATGGTGTTTCAGATTTAGGACATGTCTTGTTGGCGGGTATGCTGTCTCCTTAGCAGACTTTATTACAGAGGGAGATCTTCGTGATAACTGTCATAGAAGGCTGTCCACACAATAGCAAACATCAATTCATTGTGTAGTGTGAAACAGTGAATGTAAACTTAAAGACTTTAACAAATGATTCGCTACATATTACCTTAGCACTGTCTCCCCTCCACCCTGCTCTTATTGGGGAACCTATCCTGAAAGAGGCAGGATTGAGAATTTTCTTAGGCTGCATCTGAACTGATCACAGGTGAATGACTAAGGCGTATGTAAACCAAAACGATATACTGCCACTTCAGATTCCTTGGAGAGATGTGGCTGAGATTCTCTGCAATCTCACTTGTTGAGATTGGTAATTTAAAAAGTTTATCAGTCTTTCCTCCCTGTCAAATGGTAAATCGTGTTTAAGGAAGTTAAGAACAGATACTTGTGATTTTAAGAGGAACATAGACCCTTCAGCCTAGGAACTGAAGACAACATAGATCACCCACCCTATTTTGCCTTCACAACAGCCATGTGAAGTTGGTTAGGATAAAAATCCAAGGCCTCCCTGTGAGCCTGATGGATAGATGGGCATTTGAATCCAGGCTTCACCAGCTCAGCTTCAAAACTCCATGTACAACTCCATTCAAAAAGTGAATGGAAACCCTCCTGGTCTCTTTGAGGGAGGCAAGGTTAAAGGAATGTCATGTACAGTAGATATGCTCAGGTCCTCTGTATCTGCAAAGTATGGGATTAATTACATAAGAGAGATGCTATAAAATATCTACAATATCCAAATACATTAGAGAATATTTGAGAATCCAGACCTGGCCATTGCCCGATTAAATAACTATGTGTTTATCAACTTGCCATTATCCCCCTGCCCCAAACCACCACTTTCATCTCTACCCCTTGGCATTTTTTTCTATGTATTCCTGCCCCCTCCACCTTACCATTCATCCCATTATTCTGTTTCTTTCCTCTTTGGCCTATACTTTCTCCTCCATTTGTATTCAGCCAGGAAAGACGGGTATGAAGGGAGAAAACTGAAAATCTCCAACCCAGCTGCTTGATGCTGATACTTGGGGAAACAAACAGTTTTAGTGGGGATAGGGGGTGAGGGGGAAGTGCTGCTATCTCTTCAAACTTGAGGGATAGCCCTTAGGAATTTGAAATATTCATTTTTCAGCCTGCCATGAGGAATGGATGAAGAAAGGTTCCCTAGGCTAGTATATATACATCGATGAGCTGAGCGTATTAGTGCAGCTGTTTCAAACCACTTTGGCAGATGCTTGAAAAATTAGAGCTCTTCTGAAATGTTCAGACACTGGAGGATTCCCTTTCCCCTTCTTATTGATGTAATGCAGGCCTCCTAAACCTGATGCTCTCCAGATATTTTGCACTGCAACTGCCATCATCCCTGACCACTGGCCATGCTGGATGAGGTTGTGGTCCAACCCCAGGTTGGGAAAGGCTGTCCATGCACCCTTCGGCTTTTCTTTCAGTCTTAACACTAGCCCAACGAGTGTATCGTACCAATACTCTTTACATGTTTAAATAGTTTAGCTACAGGATCAGAATGCACTGATCTGACAACACTGGAAAGAAAGTTACTGTGCTGTGCACATGTACCAACAATTAAAGTAAACTAAGGGCTTTTACGGGAAGTGAGCTACTGCTCATGATGATTACATGGTACCTCTATACTCTTTACTTCACTTTGGGCATGAACATCCATGCCATCTTCAACCACAGCAAAGCAACCTTTTAAAAACATGGGTGATGGGCAGTGTGCAAATTACAGGGTGGCGGTGCCCTTCTTCCCCTTTGTAATGGCCCCCTTTAGCTATTGGTTTAGATCAGGGGTCAGCAAGCTTTTCCAGCCATGGGCCGATCCACCATCCCTCAGACCATGTGGGGGGCTGGACTATATTTTTGGGGGGGCAGGGGGAATGAACGAATTCCTATGCCCCACAAATAACCCAGAGATGCATTTTAAATAAAAGGACACATTCTACTCATGTAAAAACACACTGTTTCCCGGACCGTCCATGGGCTGGATTGAGAAGGCAATTGGGCCGCATCCGACCCTGGGGCCTTAGGTTGCCTACCCCTGGTTTAGAGTCTAAACTTTGGAGTGCTTGGGGGAATGATTTCCCATGCACACATCCCACATGTCTCTCTGTGGCTCTGTTCTTGGCTGAGGTAGGCAGTCTGGTCTTCAGCTCAGTCTCATTTTGTTTACTCATGCTATCTATCCAGAAAGACCCATGTCCAGTGCTCGGATTACAAGAGGGCCAGAGTCCGTTTGCCCTTGCCTTCTTACCTTTTGAGATGCCTTCCCCTTAATTACTGTTTTTAGAAAGCTGTAGGGAGCATGAATCAGCTAAAACTGGGAGGAGGAGGAGGAGGAGGAGGAGGAAGGGTGGAGGAGTTGGGAGACCTGCCTTTCCCCCCGCAATTTGAGCACTGTTGATGAGCTATGTCAATCAGTCATGCAAAGGAAAGAGATCGTAGGCATTTAATTAGCTGGATAAGTGAATTTGCTTGCTACGTGAGCACTGATGTTCACTTGATGTGTCTAGAACCAGGAGTGCAGTTCATACCTGCCTGCCAGGGTGGAGACTGAGGCCAGTACGCTGCCTTCTCTGGACATAGGAGGGCTGGATTGAGTTTTTGCTATAGGCTGGCAAGAAGTTGGTTTGTGAGTCATGCTGTGGACTGTTGCTGCTCCGAAGATGGAGAAAGTGGTGTGTATGTTTTCCCACTAGAGAGTTGAAAGCAGTTTGAAAGAGAGATCGCAGCTCACCATGTGTATTCTCATTTCCCTTTTCTACTGGCAAACAAGTTTCTGTAAGCTACTCTTGTTTCAAAAACCTACAGAGCCTACAGTGGGATAAAGCAGTTAGGTATTTTTGTCGTGTTGTTAGCCACCTTGAGCATGGTTTGAATTATGGAAAGGCGGCAGACAAATAAAATTATGTATGTATGTATGTGCTTCACATGGGTAAGGTCCTAGGCTTAGTTTCCAACATTTCACACTAAAAAGGGATGAGGCAGCAGGTGTTGGTAAAGTCCTCTGCCTAAGGCCTAGCATTCATTGTAAGTCACAGCAGATAGCTCTAGACTAGACAGTCAAATAGTGTAACCTACTGTAAGACAACTTCCTGTGTAGGGGTGGGTAAATCTGTAAATTCTAGTTTCCCTTGGTTTTTCATTTTTCCAATCTTAAGTTCAGTTCTCTACATTTCCCCATCAGTTTGTGATAGTTTTAAGGCCTCATGAAAATTCAACTGCTCTTTAGTGTGAATTTCTCCCTATATAGACATCCTTGAATGCAGTTTTGTTCAATCTAAACATTTCTGCAAAGCAATTTTATCTTACATTATGTTTTTTCATATGCCATTTTCGTATGCGTTTTTCTATGTTACTTCGCATTGCAAAATTCAGAGAAGAGTCCATTTCAAAGGATGACTGTGTATCAGTTCACATGTTGCTTTGGAACATGCCAGTTAAGAAGGTTCACCTATAAATGCAAACTGCACCAAATGTCTCCCCCATCCCTATACCTAAGTCCTTACATCCTTAGCTTGGAGTTGCCTACGTACCTGCAAGTTCTTTTCTTCCACTCAACCCAACTCTGCCTATATTATATGTTCTTAAATAAATTTGACTAATTACTAAAGGAATCCCAAGCCTCAGAGGTCACCTACCTTGGCAGGGGTGTGTGTGTCCTGTTGCCACATTTCCCCATGGGATAAACTCTCATCTCCCAAGGATACTTGCCATGGCTGCCACTGTGCAGTTGTTACTGTCTGGGGACAGCGGATATAGTTAATGTGCAATTTTGCATAGGTCCCATCTTCACTCTACATTTAGAGCAATATCATACCACTTTAAACCAATATGCATTCTCCCAAAGAATCCTGGGAATTATAATTCCCCTCACAAAGCTACAGTTCTCAGAGTGTTTTAACCATCAGTGCCTCTTCCCAGAACCTTCTGGGAATTGTAGTTCTGTGAGGTGAACAGCATTTTCCTCAACTCTCAGCACCTTTACCAAGCTACAGTTCCCAGGGTTCCTGGCTGTGGTTTGAGACTGCTTTACATTTATAGTGCAGAGGGGGCCCTATTAGTTTTCCTGAAATAGCTTGTGGGCCAAGAGTGCCAAGGCACATACAATTAAAATCTTTTCCCCAAAGCATTCCTTGACAAAAAATAATAATAATGGATTTCATTTTAAAGTTAGAAACGAAAATGCATGTGCAAGTGTGGAGATATAACGCAAGACATTTCTTGCTGTCAAAATGTGCTTAGAAATGTATAGCAGAGGCCAGCAGGATGTTGCGGGGGGTTGGGGATGGGGAAAGAGGTACACAGTTTGCTGGTGTCAGGTGCCAGTAAATGTCTGCATTTGTTTATACATTAATACTGCATGCGAAATCCAAGATGGTCAGTCGCCAAATGTTGCGCTGTGCTGTCCAACTTGGTTCTCATTCTGAAATCCTCTGTGCCAAAAGTGATGTTTATAACATTTTAATGTGTTGTGTAAGAAGAGAACTAGGTAGTTAAGCTGATTGAATAATTAATCTTACTGTCCTGGGCTGCATGGATTTAAACCGAGTGTACATCTCAGACTATTCATGGAAAAGCATTTCTTTCGAAGTAATTGAAATAGGCTTGGCGAATGCTGCAGTTTAAAATCCTCCAGATCAGCATTTTAAGAGCTGATTCTGCTAATAAACAACATGTAAGCTGCTGAATACCAACACCCACACTCAGGCTTCTGAAATCCTTGGCCGTGCTTATATCAGAGCAATCTTTTTTAATAAGGAAAGAACCAGGTATAAAACAGTGTGACTGCAAAGGAGGTACACATTTGAAAGTGACAACTGAGCTACACTGCCTTATCTTATTTCTTTTTCTCCTTACCCCATATTTCATTTTCCTGGCTCCTTCAAACCTTGTTCTTTTTCCAATCTTATCATTTTTGAGAATAAACAATGTCTATAATGAGTTAAATACTAATATGCTTTATGTGACATATTAAATTTGATTTTTCAGCATTTTGATTTATGATTCATACAAGTCACTGGATAAAAACTCAGAAAACAATTCAAAAAACACTGGAGAAAAACTCGGGAGAAAACAACTCAGAAAACATATATAAGCATATATGCTTAATACAGCCATTGAAAGACAGTCAAAAGTGGGAGGTCTTCTTATTGCACTTCCAGAAAATTCAGGATCCTTCTCTGTACACTCTTTCCGCACAGTGCATCATATTCTCAAAGGGCTGAACTTTTGGAGTCAAACTGATTTTTTAAACAAATCATAAGAGCGTTATCTAAACTGCAAATCTCAGGAAATTGAAGCATTTCTCTCTTTGCGCCTAGGGCAGTTCCTGCTCTGAATAGACCATATGCCCCTAGTGACTCTTTTTGTGATGCACAATTTGGGAATTAGCCTCTACAACCTATGGGGATTTGGAATTAGTGAAAGACCTTTCCCAGTGTTTCTCCATACATTTCTAGTGCTTTTTATGCCACATGGATTAGAATCGGGACAAAGAGTTGGGCACACTAGAAACAGCACAGGGAATGTCAGAATGATAGTGACAGGCAGTCAGGGCTTAGTTAGTTTTAGACTTGCAGGTTTGGGACAAAAAAGATCCTAACAGAGTTTCAGCCCGCCATCTCCTCCAATATGGGCATTCATGCTCCCTGGCTCCCATCACCTTAATTTTTTTTTCTTTTATAACTATTACTTTGAATTCTCCAACCAAGTAACCTGTGCAAATATACATACATTAGAGGGAAGTGTGCATAGACATACAGCAATGCATCATGTTAGGGAAAATTCCTTATAAAAAATGAGAATCTGCTCTAAAATGCTGACAAATGTTCATGAGGACTTCTTTAAAAATGGAATTTGCAAGCTGGAAATGTGGAGAACTGAATGTTTTGATGATCTGCAGTTTGATAAACAAACTGCCTGCTGTGGGAAGTTTTTAAAAGATTCAGATTGTTATTTCACATTTGTGCATTGATAGTTCAGCAATGGTATGGGGGAATGGATATGCAAACTTTATAATGACTCGAAATACACATTTCGAGGGGACGTTCTCATCATTTGCTCATCCGTGCAAAAAAAAAACTTCCCCTTGCACTGTAATATTTTTCTAACGTCTCTCAATTTATAACCTTCTTTGGAGGATCTCTCTGTCAAGTGCTTAAGAATGTGTGACTTTCTGGCAAGGCACATCCATTCAACAGGCTAATTATATCAAGCATGTGCACTTTACATTTGCAAAAGCTTTGAAAATGTAAACTAATTAATGTTCCAGAAGCACAGGAAGCAATAAAGTTTTAGTAGGGCTTAGCATGGAATGGAGCAGTGCAGCTTTAATCAGTCTGTTGGACTAAGCGGGAAATTGGCTCAGCTGAACACCCTGGTATTGGGCTAGTTGGAGCTCAGTGTCTGAAGCAAAAACTAATTGGAAGTCTTGGCTATGTGCAACAGTCCTTCATGGGTCCTTCTTACCCCAAAAAAATATGCCCTGGCTTTTTCAGGTGTCCAATCAACATGTTTAGCCTTAGGATGTCCACAAAGTAGTATATTCATAGAGCAGTGTCTCAGTACTATACAAATCTACTAGGAATTGAAGTCCCATTGAGCTATCCCTGGCATCTCTGGGTAAGACTGGATAAGACCCACTGTTGTCAGTCAGTGTAGACAATATTGAGCTAGATGCACCAATAGCCTGACTATTATGGCAGGTTCATGTGTTCCAATTCCCAGATAAATAGATAAAGAATAGCACCACTCAAAACTACAAGCTTACTACTTCAGTATATTATATAAGAACATAAAAAGGTAAAGGTAAAGGACCCCAGACAGTTAAGTCCAGTCGCAGACGACTCTGGGGTTGCGGCACTCATCTCACTTTACAGGCCAAGGGAGCTAGTGTTTATCTGCAGACAGTTTTTCCGGGTCATGTGGCCAGCATGACTAAGCCACTTCTGGTGCAACAGAACACCAAAACCAGAGCAGCACACGGAAACACCGTTTACCTTCCCGCAGGAGCGGTACCTATTTATCTACTTGCACTTTGGGGGGCGTGCTTTTGAACTGCTAGGTTGGCAGGAGCTGGGGCCGAGCAACGGGAGCTCACCCCATCACAGGGAGTCAAACCACAGACCTTCTGATCAGCAAGCCCAAGAGGCTCAGTGGTTTAGACCACAGCACCACCCGCGTTCCGATATAAGAACATAGATACTTATTTATTAAGGAAAAAGGCATATAAATTGGGATCGCGTCTGTGGGGTTGGGGGAGCACAGCCAGTTTAAGCTAATGCTGAAAATGGGTTTATAAACTTGGCAGCCCCCCACAAGTTGGGAGCAAGGGTGGCTGCTTGTTGGCTCTCGTTGCATGTGTAGAGGAGCAGATTGCATGGAACTTACAAATTGGGCATGTGACTGGCACAATTTCTGAAATCATGGCAGCTTGGAAGAAGCTGTTTGTCTACTGCCCATGGAGATGCACCACCTGTACAGTGGACTCAACTCAGGGTGAAGATGACTGTAAGTGTACTTTATGTACTGAGCACTAGAATGCCACTGTTTCATACTTTGGATTTGACAAGTACACCTGTTCTGAAGAAGGTTGACAAACAGGTATATGCCAGAACATTTATTTATGGAACATGAATTGGTTCGTTATAAGCATTTCGAATATCTTCTCTATTGTTTCCAGATAGTTTTTAACTTTTCAAATTTGTATGATTTCCACCACGCACACCCCTCATTAGAGGAAAGTTTTATGTGCCAGCTAAATATATCCAGCCAATGACAGCTCTTAATTGTACAAAAGAATTTCCCCATGGGGCAAATAAATTTTCTTTCTACTTTATTGCTTATTGGACATATGGGTCTGTAGTCTACTAACCAGTGCTGCTACCAGAAGCTTGTGCAATGGGACTTTCCCCACTTTCATTTCTGTGCAACCCACCCCAATGGTTCAGGGAGGTTGGAAGAACCCTGTTTCCACCACCGCCACCAAAGAACAGAGGAGGAAAAGGGAAGATTGTTCCATCTGTCAAGCAGAGATTATTTGTTTTCATGTAGACTTAGTAACTTTGGCCTGGCTTGGTGATGTGATCTCGTTTCAACTGAGAATCGCACATACAGCACATGCATTTTACAGTCAGTGCATTTCTACACAGTGGTTTGAGATTCATGGGAGAACAGTTTGGAGAAATCGTGAGTCAAGAAAAGGAATAGAGGAAAGATTTTCTTCCTCTCTCTTAACACTAGAACTTGGGAACACCCAGTGAAGCTGAATGTTCAGAACAGATTCAGAACAGACAAAATAAAGTAGTTCTTCACACAGTGCATAGTTAAACTACGGAATTCACCCCAAGAGCCCACTGACTTGGATGGCTTTAAAAGAGGATTAGACAAATTAATGGAGGGTAAGGTGATCAATGGCAACTAGACATGATGGTTTTGTTCTGTTTCCAGTTGCTGGTGAACACTTGTGGGGAGAGTAGTGATGCACTCACAACCTGCTTGCAAGCTTCATTTTGGGTCATTTGGTTGGCAACTATGAGAACAGGAATGTTAGACTAAATGGACCTTTGGCCTTATGCTCGTATGCCATGAAAGAAATCAGGGTGAGTTTGGTATATGGATGGTAGTGGTGCCATACAGTGTCTAAAACTAGCAACTCACAGGCAGTATCTGGCTTTTGGGTGGCTACCATCTGACCAACAAACACTGAACAATACTGTCCTACAGTTTCATCATATGCTGCCAGAAAATTGGTGGACCTATTGTTTCCCACATGAGGCATCTCAGATTTTGTCCTAGGCCTGACCAATGGGGGAGGAAGGGGGTGCGGTGGGTGCGGTCCACCCCAGGTGTCATCCGTGGGGGGGTGACATTGCTAGCCCCGCCTCCAGGTGCACAGCTAGCTCCGCCTCTGGGCCCGACTCCTGGAATTCTTAGTAATTCAGTCACTCACAATCATCACAGCTAGGATTGCAATGTGATGGATGTTTTCTTTTGCCTCTTTGGATCTTGCTATTTTCTGTCCTGCCAGGATAGTTGAATGTGTGACCCTCCCAAGCTGAAGACAGCACATGAGCCCAGCCAGCAGAGCTCATTAAACCGCCTGTTTTTGATGACTGCCAGTGACTGGGCGGGGAGGGGCAGCTGTTATCAAGCACATGGTAGAGCGCAAGGCATGGCTGCTGCTGAGGCATACAGAATTGGGCCAAGAACATTTAACACGTGTATGTTGTTAATGACTTAGCATAATTCTCTAAGAAATCTGTGAGAGTAGTGTTCCCCCACTTCTGTTCAAGAAATACTAATCCTGGGTCACATCCACGCCATACAATCAAAGTGCATGACACGTCTTCCCCAAGAAACCGAAGAACTGTCATTTTAAATGTGTTTTAAATGCATCGTGTGGTGAAGCAGAGGTCTGCAAGAACTAGTTGCAGGAGGGCATTCCATTGCTAGATGGTGTGCTTCCATCTTCATTTGATTGGAGTGTTTCAAAGTAGGTGGTATGTACTTGTCAGTCAGCTTTTGCCAACTTCGCTGCTTGCTAAACGTTCTCCTGCTCTCTTCATAAGTATTTATGTCCCAAAAGAATGAGTGAGAGCTGCTGAGTGAGACAGTTGCTGATAAATTATTGTGCCAAGTGCAATTCAAAATAGGGAGGTGCCCAAATAAAAAACAAATGTTTCAGCAGATGGGAATTTTTTCAGCTAAGGATTCAGGGTTTTTGTTTTAACAGGGCTCCATGGTTGGGATCTGCTGCTAATTCTAATCCTGCTGTTGAACGCTGAAAAATATATTTGCTACACTCAATAACTTCTAAAGAGCTGTTTCACACATTTCGCAAGGCAAGCCAAATTTGCCACTGCGTACACACTCAATGAATCCCCGTAACGGGGTGAGCTCCCGTTGCTCGGTCCCTGCTTCTGCCAACCTAGCAGTTCGAAAGTATGTCAAAGTGCAAGTAGATAAATAGGTACCGCTCCAGCAGGAAGGTAAACAGTGTTTCCATGCGCTGCTCTGGTTTGCCAGAAGCGGCTTAGTCATGCTGGCCACATGACCCGGAAGCTGTATGCCGGCTCCCTCGGCCAATAAAGCGAGATGAGCGCCGCAACCCCAGAGTCGGTCATGACTGGACCTAATGGTCAGGGGTCCCTTTACCTTTACACACTCAACAGGGAGCATCACGCAATCCAGTTTCCCCAAAAGTATAATAGACGTTTGTCACATTCATGTTTTACATTTTTAGCTTTGCACTTATGCAACTACTGCATGACAACCCGCAGTTGCTGCTTGTTGATTTAGATCAGGGATTGTGAACCTGCAGCCTTCCAAATGCTGTTGGACTTCCAATTCCTTCAGCCTCACCCAGCATAATTATTGGCTAGGGATGATGGGAATTGTAGTCCAACAAAAACGAGAGGGCAATCCCAAGCAGGTATGAAAAACATAGTCATTGAGCCCATGATTGGTGAGTAGACCTTAGCTGATCACAAGTAGTCCAGGCCCAAAAATTACAAATAACAGGACCCATCTGCACTATACAATTAAAGCAGTATCATACCACTATAAATAGTCATGACATCCCACAAAGAATCTTGGGAACTGTAGTTTGTAAAGGGTGCTGATCATTGTTAGGAGACTCATATTCCTTCCAGAGAGCTACAATTCCCTGAGTTCCCTGGAAAGAACAGGTGACTGTTGGCAACATAGGGGAGCCATGATTGTTTAATGTGGTGTGATACTGATTGAAATGTATGGTGCAGATGGGGTCTTAGTTTAACCACCATGTAAGCCTTGTGCGAGCAAGATGAATGCTCCGTAAACATGTCACCTGGAAGAGCCCTTAGCTGTGATTCTTTGAGAGAAGCCATAATGGTTTAAAGTGGTATGATACTGCTTAAAATGTATAGTGCAGATAATGTCTAAGACTCAAAGCATTCCATTTTCGGTAGTATTTTCAACGTGACCCTGAACTTGCCCTTGACAAATCAGAAATGTTTGTTTCCTTATCTCAGCAAAAGCCCTTACACTGGTACCTCGGGTTACATATGCTTCAGGTTACAGACACTTCAGGTTACAGACTCCGCTAACCTAGAAATAGTACCTTGGGTTAAGAACTTTGCTTCAGGATGAGAACAGAAATTGCGCAGCGCCGCCGCGGTGGCAGCAGGAGGCCCCATTAGATAAAGTGGTGCTTCAGGTTAAGAACAGTTTCAGGTTAAGAACGGACCTCCAGAATGAATTAAGTACTTAACCCGAGGTACCACTTGGACCCCACTTGGATTACGTAGGGTTTACAGATATCTTGAGGCCTGGTCACTAGAAAAAACCCTTTTTTTACTCATATAATCCACATTTCTTAGGTCTTTCTCACTCCAGTCTCTATAATGAATTGTATCTCATGGTGATAGATGGATAGATAAACCAGGATCAACCTTGACACAGAATTTCTTGGTCATAATCCACCTATTATTTAACTCAACTCCAACATGATAAATACTGAAATCATTCAGGTCATTAGAGCAAATCTGCCAACAATTTGAGTGCTTATCTTATATTGATCCATTACTAAGATAATTAGTGGTCGGCCAAAGTATACAGACCAGACTTTTATCAGCGGGCAAAAAATGGATTAATCGGAGTGGGGGGAGGGTTGGAATATGAAATCAAAGAATCTAGGATGGGAGTGACAAAGTGGAGAGGTTCTCCTTTTTGACCTTAAAAAAGTGTGTAGCAATGCTCACCAAAAATGACTAGCTGAAGTCTTATTCATTGCCACCTTCATTGCAGCATTAGTGTTCTGCATTTGAACATTCAAAGACTTCACATGACCCTGTCTCAGTAATCAGTGACATAGTTTGCGCCTGAGCACAGTCTCAATCATCCCAGAAATCCTGTTGGGATTAAAAAGCAATTGTCAAATCCCTTCAAAGAGTGTTAAAAACATAGGAAGCTGTCTGCTGCTCGGTCAGACTACATGTGGCAAGCCCTGTAGTTTCTCTCCAGAGTCTCAGGTGCTGCTGCTGATGCTTTTAGTTAGAAGAGTAAGAGGTTGTACATGGAATCTTAGTGCTTTGGCACTAAGGTGTGGTCCCTCCCCAAATATTATACTATCTCACCTGAGTTATTGATAGTAATCTAAAGTTGCAATAATTCCTCTAGGCTTGAATTTTCCAGGGCTTGGGGGATAATAATCATGAGTTAACTTTGGTTACACACGTTCTCCATGCCCAACAGAGTTACAACTGAGACTGCCTTCTGACATGGGTTTATTGCATTGGTTTTGCTGGTTATAACAATAGGGCATCTGTCCTGGTTTCCAACATTCATTTTACACCACAGTAAGGTAAAGGTAAAAGTACCCCTGCCCGTACGGGCCAGTCTTGACAGACTCTAGGGTTGTGCGCCCATCTCACTTAAGAGGCGGGGGGGCAAGCGCTGTCCGGAGACACTTCCGGGTCACGTGGCCAGCGTGACGAAGCTGCTCTGGCGAGCCAGCACCAGCGCAGCACACGGAAACGCCGTTTACCTTCCCGCTATAAAGCGGTACCTATTTATCTACTTGCACTTAAGGGTGCTTTCGAACTGCTAGGTGGGCAGGAGCTGGGACCAAAAGACGGGAGCTCACCCCGCCGCGGGGATTCGAACCGCCGACCATGCGATCAGCAAGCCCTAGGCACTGAGGTTTTACCCACAGCGCCACCCATTTCCCATAACCACAGTAGCTGTTTGCATTATGGACCTGTGGCTTTTTCACCTATATATTGTCTCGTCGTGCTACATTTTAAATGACAGGAAAGAACTGTATGCCGGAATACTGCCTCAAAACTCCTCTGATTTTCAAAGTTAAGATGGGTTGCAAACATTTTTTTTTTTCTGGAAACAACAGGGAAATGAGAGCTAAGTTTCGACTAGGTTCCACTAGATTTCCAGAAGTGGCCTTTTACAAAATGTAAAAAAATCACATAAAACATGAAAATGAACAGATATTCCATGAAGATGGAATAAAGTGACACCTAAATGCAGCCAGAGTGCATATTCTGCAGAACACACATTATTGACCAGGTTTTATCATGTACAATTAGCTTCCAGTGCCTTTGTTCCAAAAGGACCAGTTTCCAAAAGCTTAGTAAAAAAGAGGGTTCGTTTTAATTACCATGCAGACCACAGATATGCAACAGGTCTCCTCCGTACATGCAGGAAGTCCCAGGTCCAATCCCTTGTATCTCCAGTTGAATAGATCTCAGAAACAGCAAGTAGAAAATACCTCTGCCTTAAGTTGTGGTGTGCCTCTGCCAGTTGGAGCAAGTAATTCTAGCTCTAGCAAATCCAGCTCAGTACAAGGCAGCTTACTGTGTTTGCTCTGCTGCAAGCAGCTTATTCATTGCATACTTGTAACACAAAGGTGAGGAACTTTTTCCAGCCAATGGGACACAGTCCTTTGTGGGCAACCTTCTGCACCCCACATGCTAGTAGTGGGGCAGGGCCAGGGGCAAAAGTGGGTGAAACAACTGGTGTGACTCTTTCCTTTTGTATCAAACTAAGTAGCGCTCTGAGTACACCCACTGAAATTGGCCACGTCCATTAAATTCAGTGAGTCCAATCTGAGTCAGACTAAGACTGGATACAATCCTTCGAATCTTTCTTTACATTTATAACATGACTTTGCAACATTGTCTTCTACGGGGTGTAAAACTGGTGCTGCAGGATACAAGGACTGCGAAAAATTCATGTTATCCTATTTCTTGTAGTACTTCTAAATTTTTTAAAAAATATATGATCTTGCCTTGTTTTTGCCACACTCTAGGAAAATATGTAGGAACACATTAATCAGTTGGACCTCAAGAAACAGCTGTCTTTTAGAGCAGGGGGATTTTGTGAAGAAAGATGTTCCATCACCCACTTCCCTACTGAATTCCATGAAACTGTAGAAGTTATTTTTCCCAGCTCCCCCCTTCCCCCACCCCCCGCTGCTGAAGAGGAAGTTGCCAGGAGAGCTTGTCATAATCCTGTGCTGGGTAGTGTGGCCCCACACACTGTGACTCCTATCATCATAAATTTCTCCTTCCCCTTCCCCGCTTAGACACACACACAAAATCTATTGCATTAGAGTTAACCTTTTCAGTTGATGTAGTACCTGGCAGCTCACATAACTCTGACAGATAGAGAAGGTGTCAAATGCTCAAAAGCACTTGAGAGCAGAGGCACTTTAATCTGTCAGCGGGTGATCATTATGCTTATGGTGTGTGACATACTTGTGATCACAGCTCTTGCTTTAGAGCTAGTTGTCTGGCCTGTGGACAGCCATTTATAATTGGTGCAGGGAGCTCAAAATATTGTTTTGCAACAAGCAGAACCTGTAGCTCAAGTTCAAGATCCAATGCAGAGATTTTTTTGTCCTTGGATACCCATACTGAAAAATCTTTCCCCAAATTATTGATAGAGTCAACCAAGTTTTACTCTGAGTAGACCCAACTTACCATAAATTAATGGCCCTAATTCAGTCGTGTTCGTTAATTTCAGTAGGTCTACTCTGAGCAAGACTTAGTTGAATACCTCCCAATAATTGCAAATGAGAAGTTGGGAGGAATTCAACATTGCTTGGATGGAACTGATTGTTCCATCAGTGGAAGCATTCTTGCTTGCCAGACAGAACAATATCCCTTCTCCTCTCCATCCCTTGCACTATTCTGGGAGTTCTCCTGCCCCTACCAAGCTGTTGGGGGGGCATGTGTGGGGAGGGGAGGAGAGAATGTCTCATTGTGCTAGTGGCTCCCACTAGCACATCTATTTAGTTTGGCCCAATGTGTTTTGACCATAGCTGAGCTTCACCTCTGACTTACATTTAGTTCTTAAAATTACATTGCTATTGACAGAGTTCGGCACAAGTAAAATGATCACCTTTATTGACCAACTCTTGAATTCCTAAGTTGTCCTTCAACTACAAACATGCAACTGACGTGTCATGTCTCATGCATAGTCCTTCTTCATGCAGACTGCAATGTGTAGGTGTCCAGGGGTGGGGACCACCAGATGTAATCGTGTACCCAGTCTCAAGAGTGAGTCTTGGCATTCAGTTCTACAGCCGGCTTCTGTGTGCAAAAGTTGATGGAGCTGGGAACTGCCGCTTATATCCCAGGTAAAAAATTATTTTTTTAAAAAAAAAACCAAAGCATTTATATCCCACTGTTGGACTCAAAAGATCTCCTGCTGCTGCTGAAATTGGACTTGAATGGAATAGGCTGTGGTATTTGCTTGGCTGGGAAAGGTGTGAGTGTCCACATCCATTTCTCCAGTTTGCAAATGTACCCACAGGCTGAAAAACATTGGTGACTCCCAACTTTGGTGAATTTTACTGAGCTGAATGGCTCAGCATGCATATCGTCCCATTTTGAAGAGGTGACTTTTTATTGTAGCTGCCTTCTCTTTCTAAGATCTCCAGCTCCTGCTCTTCATTCCCTCTTCACTCAATATGGTTCCTTCTTTGAAACAACCACATGCAGCTGCAGTGGCCCTTTCATTTCAACAGCACATGCACACATTCCAAGCAAGGCACCTGGCAATGGAAAAAGAAACAAGGAAGGTTTTAAAACTGGATAGTTAAGAGTATCAGATTTTGTGGATGTGTATAAATAAGTTTAAAATAATGGAACCAGGAGGGAGAGTTGGAGGGAAGTCACTTAAGGTGTATGATTTTGATTGTGATGTTTGGTTTTGGTTTTTTGTTATTATAAAATTAATAAATTGTATCTTTAAAAAAGGAAAAAAGAAACAAGGGAGTGATAGGATTGGTCTACAAGAAAACAGTAGCAACGTTTATTGAAATGCCTTTAAAAATATGTCCCTGGTGCATCTTCCTTCAAACAGCAGTGCAGGCGATTCAGCTCCTCTTGAAAAAGTTGTATGGGTTGACTTTGGCATGCATAAATAAAATGGCCCATGAATTCTCCAGTTCTCCCTTAAACAAATCCACAAATTAAAATAACACACAGTTTATGTTAACATGTATTAGTCTAATTATTGTTCCTATATGTGCAGGTTGATTTCAGGTTAAGATATAGATATTGCAAGGGCAAGTATGGTTGGCAACAACCCATGGCCCTCCAATATTCTCCATGGGGACTTTGTCCCCTGCTTTGAGTAAGACTGTAATAACTTCACTATCAGGATTTGACACGTTGCAGCCAGGTAAAAGGGGAAGGTGTGAAGCTGGGCAGGTGTGTGTCTAGAGAGTGAGGGTGGCCTTTAGGGGGACTCCTGGGGGCCAGATAGGCCACAGGGATTGGAAGGCTATAGGGAGTTCCCACCCTATTTTACAACTTGCTTTCCGCCCTCCCTCATATTTTAAATTTCAGCTTTAATAATCAATAGGGGGAATCACTGGATTCCCTTTATTCACAACATTCCAGCTATAATCTTTGGAAACATCTTATTGGACTTAAAAAGTGAATGGGGGGGCATATCCTGGGTTCAAACACCTCCCACACGCACACCAAACTTTTTTATATTATCTTTGTCTCCACACCTGAGGGAGGGAGAGGAGGTCCAAGCAGCTCTTTCGGAGTGTGCTAGATGAAACGGAATGTACTAATCATTACACCGCTCACTAAAATTAATAGGCTACATGGCTTTGACTCAGATGTGGAGGCATTTCTGATAAATAAAGTTATACTGATGCTTCTTTGGTGTTGCAGCAGTTCAAAGCGGCTAGGAAGCTTTGGTTACATTTAACCTCCTTGTAGTTCTTTGAACTTGTACCTCAATGAGGGGGAAAGATGAGAAAAGGGTTTTCCTGAAATTCTAAGCACATCAAAGGCTTAAGAAACCAAACACGTTGGACAGATGCTTTTGTCGACCTGGCGAATATCTCCTCTTCCCATCTTCCGCAGCACAATCGTTCCCGTTTCCTACCAATAAGAAGGGGGGAGTGCTAGCACAACGCCAGGATAATAATACAGGGCCTCAGTCAATATCCATCGTGGCATCTGCCAGTTCAAGTGACGATGCCCCACAGAAACCTGCTGAAACAATGGTGAGAAGAGGAGGTTGTGGCTGAACTTTACCTCCGTGTGACAGTGCTGGCCCTCTGTTCCGCAGCTTCAGCATCTTGCACTCTCCTTTCCTGTCTCTGCAGCCCTAGAGCAAAACAACATGATCAGAGAGGCATATGGAATGTGTTTTAAGCTTCTGGCCAAAGCTGGAGGGTGGGCGGGCTGGGGGGGGGAGAGAGAGAGAGAGGAATTTGTTATTTCTGGGAAACGGGGCTTTGGCTCACCTCATTTCAAGGAACAGGTGCATCAGTTGATCTGTGTCCGGTAGACTTTGGCCATTTCCTTAGACTACAGAAACATGGATACTTTTGCTTTTCTTTTTCATGCGGCAACTTATCCGACGAGCAATGTATAAAGTGGTCCTCAACCCACCCACCCCACCCCAACAAAACTTACTGCTTGTGATTTGGTAGTTTCTGAATGCAGGAATTGAGCCCAATACAGGATTTAACATGGGCAGAGGGAGAGCTTATATATAGCAATTCTTTGTTTGTTTCTCATGCTAAACCCTGCGTTGTCACTGCAAGGACCTTTTGACAAAACTCTGACAAAACAGGCATTCCCAAAGGATTGTGTGGGTGCATCCAATGATCTCATAGGAGAAATGAAGTTGGAACAGCACAATGACATCACATTATTGGCACTCTTCCAAGTTAAGAGGATGCATAGCTTGTATGTTTTGGTGTGCAACAGAACACCAGCCAAAGAAGTATACCGTATTTTTTGCTCTATAAGACTCAATTTTTCCCTCCTAAAAAGTAAGGGGAAATGTGTGTGCATCTTATGAAGTGAATGCAGGCTGCGCAGCTATCCCAGAAGCCAGAACAGCAAGAGGGATTGCTGCTTTCACTGCGTAGCGATCCCTCTTGCTGTTCTGGCTTCTGAGATTCAGAATATATTTTTTCTTGTTTTCCTCCTCCAAAAACTAGATGCGTCTTGTGGTCTGGTGCGTCTTATAGAGCGAAAAATATAGTATATAGTTTCTGATGCTTGTGAGTTGTCTTGGTGAAACTATTTGGGAGTTAAACATTTTGATATCTATGATGAAATATGTTGTGATTTTAATCGTAACATCCAAGATTAAGTTTGAGGCTTTTTCACTTAGAGAAATGGTGAGCAAATGGGGAACATGGAATGGGTGTGTAAACTTTTGCAGGGTGTGGTGAAAAGTGTGTAGAAAGAAGTTTCTCTCTTTCAGGATACTAGAATTAGCTCATCCGATGAAGCTGAGTGTTAGAAGAACAAGGGGACTTGTTTCTCCACACAGTGCCTAGTTAAACTATGCAAGATGTGGCGAATGCCATCAATTTAGATGGCTTTAAAAAAGGATCAGACAAACTCACAGAGGGTAAAGCTATCGCTGGTCATCAGCCATTATATTTATGTACATAAGTACTTAAATACTTAACTATGGAATTGTAGAGTTTTCAGGACACACCCCCCCCAAGACAGCTAACAAAAGAAAAGGATTTTCAGATATTCATAGTAGGATAAATATGCTTCAAATTAATAGCAGAAACATTGTGTTTCCAAATGATTCCCATTACATTTCACTTGCAATGGTCCAGACCCCTCAGTTACGTATCTTCCTTCCCCACATCCACTTGTGATGCATGCTTCTGTGTCCGTCCACCAAAGTTGTTCCGAACCCTTATATTATACCTTCCCCTTTTGGCTCCAGCCCCCACCTCAGATGGACCCGTGCCCCTGTCTGTGGATTTATTTTTTGTTCTAACGCTGAAAAGATTTTGGAATTTGAACATCATGGTTAGACCGTCAGGCATGGTTTAGACCATCTTGGCTTCATCTCCAAAGCCCTTCACATCCGCGTGACAGGCAGAAATTGAGCAGGTCATGGAACTGGATCCAAGCGCAGTGGAAGAAGGGCTGCTTCTTATTCTCCCTCTGGCAGCCTCAGCATTACTGAGCTGGTAGCTAGCAGGACAGGGAGCTTTCTGATGGAACTGTCTTCAGGCATGATGATAAAGGGATATCTGCTTGCTGGTGCTTCTTGCTCTGATGCTCCCCAGGAATGGCTATATGCTACATTCAGGATCAAAGGCATCGTGCCTCTGAATACCATGGGCTTCCAATGAGCACACTGGAGAGCTAGTGTGGTGTAGTGGTTAAGAGTGGTAGACTCGTAATCTGGTGAACCGGGTTCGCGTCCCCACTCCTCCACACGCAGCTGCTGGGTGACCTTGGGCTAGTCACACTTCTTTGTGTCTCTCAGCCCCACTCACCTCACAGAGTGTTTGTTGTGGAGGAGGAAGGGAAAGGAGATTGTTAGCCACTTTGAGACTCCTTCGGGTAGTGATAAAGTGGGATATCAAATCCAAACTCTTCTTCTTCTCCTATGTGAGGAGTAAGACACTGGACCAAATAGGTCTTTAGTTTCATCCAGCAGAGTTTTAATCATGTGTTTTTAAGTTTGATCCTATGGGGAAATCAGGGGTTTTTTTCTCATTTGCTTGTGTAAATGCATTTAAACGCTTTATATGTGGTGCTGAGCATTTACCAGGAATGGAATTTTCTGAAAGCCTCATGTCAGGCTTCCTCATATATATTTTCTAATTTCTGACTACAGTCCTAAGCAAATTTACCACCCCCCAACCCCTGATTGTACTACTTTTTTGGAACAAGTCTCCCATTTTATGTTCATTATTACACATACAATATTATATGCATATATTTAACTCCAGGGCTGGATCTAGACACGTCAAAGAAACATTTCAGTTTAAAGGGTAAATGTAAACAGGGAAAACAGGCAGAGAAAAACAGGGCTCCATGTCACCATCTGGTGGCACAATGTTATATTGCATATACAATGCATATAAATCGCTTTTTCTTAACCAGTCTAGCTGAGTCCCAGGTTTCCTAAGTAACTAATACATAAGCAGAAACACAAAACAGTGTGTGTAAGTGTGTGTAACTCTGTTTTATTAGCGTGATCTGGCTTTAAAAAAGAACGAATGAACATCCTCCCGCTTTTTATTGCACTTCCAGTTGCCTCATAACATGGAATCACATTATAAATATGTGAGTTGCATTCTACAGTATGAATGGGTGTGGGAGTCATAAAGCCACGGTAAAGGCTTGTAATATTGCAGGGTGCCCCCTGACCTCGGCTGACCAGCACTCTGAGCTTTACAATGTATTGGAATGTAATGCAGTTGTGTTTCCTCTGGGCAGTGTTGCCCTATATGGTGAAGGGGGCAATAAAAGCCTTGACCGGATGAGGTAACGTGAGACACTGGAAAACAGCCATGCGGCTGGAGAGGGACAAAGGAATAAAGAAACTGCAGGAGGAGAGGGAGGAGGAAAGGGATTAAAAAGTGACCGGAGGAGAGGAAGGTCCGAAGGGAGCTGCTCCTACCATCATGAAAATATTGCTGGCTCTCTGTGTCATAATTTTACGCTAAACTTCGCCACTTTGTCACGGCTGGCTCCGACAAGTGGTGCCCCGTGTGAGGCTGAATAAAAGAATACATCTGAGGACTAAGAAGAGGCAACTTAAAGAAAACAGTCTGAGGCAGACTGAGGCTTTTAAAAGGAAACCGTGTGAGGTTTATCGATCCTAGCAAAGGATATCATCGGCTCACCACGCCCGGCAAGGGTTGCAAGCGCTAATCATCTTAAAAAGATCCCGGTGAGTTCCGATCCCTTATTTATATTGATTTTAGAAAAATGGGCAGCTCTTTGTCTGCTCCCCAACAGAAGTTTTTAAAAGACTTAAAATTTCTCCTCTCCTCCAACAAATTGGAAGTTCCGGATGGTGATTTAATCCAGCTCATTCTGACTATTGGAGAGCATTCCCCCTGGTTTCCTGCAGATGGGACTTGGGAATTGAAACATTGGGACAAGATCGGGGAACATTTTCATGGGCACCCCAGAATAGGTGTTCGGATTTTAAATGCATGGTGCAAGGTTCGTTACGCCATGGGCTCTTTATCACCAAAAAATATCTCCATGGCTGCATTGCCCACACCACCTTCAGCTTCTTTAATTCAGCCTGCTGTGTTAGAGACTGTTCCAATACTTGCTTTGCCAGACCCCAAACCTCCAGACCCCAAACCTCCGGACTACAGTTCCTCACCTGAGGACCCAATCCTGCAAAAATACCATGGTCTGGCTGGCAATGATCCTAATCTTTCAGTGGCAGAACCAGCTACTCCTTTTCAACGTGCAGTCCTTGCCTCTTCCTTAATTCAGGATACTATGGCATTCCCTGTTATTGTGCCCCCTGCTGGTGCCCCAGCAGGCACCCAAGCCCAACACCAACCTTTTGACTTTAAGATTCTGAGAGAGCTGCAACAGTCAGTAAAGGCCAATGGACTCCAAGCCCCATATACGCAGGCGCTTTTAGAAGCCACATTAGCCCTGCTATTGGTTCCAGAGGACATCAAGCTTTTGGCCCATACAGTGTTGCCCCCATCAGCTGGTGTTTTGTTTGCCCACGAATGGGAAACTGCCTGCCGTGCTTATGCTCCAGCCTTGTTACAACAAGTCAGAGGAAATAATCCAAATGTTACCCTCGCAGACGTCTTAGATGCCATGTTGGGGCGTGGTCCCTTCGCTCAAGCTTCAGTGCAAGCCACACTGCTGCAAATCTTATTGAGGGACACTGCTCTTGCTGCTAAACAAGCAATGAGAAAAATCCCAGAACCCAGTATTCAATCAAGGTGGGGTTCAATCAGGCAAGAGGCAAGAGAATCATATTCTTCCTTTATGGACAGGCTGCTTACAGCAGTGAGTCGCCAAATTGAAAATCCTGAAGCCAAACAAATAATTATCAAACAATTGGCCTTTGAAAATGCCAATGAGGATTGTAAACTTGCATTGCGACCGATAATACACAATCCTGCCACAGACACAGCAGCCATGCTTCGCATTTGTCAGTCTGTAGTTACAGCCACCCACAAGGCTTATCTGCTGGCAACAGCGCTAAATGAAAACCAGCCTGTAGCCACCGATGCAACTTGTTTCCAGTGTGGCAAACCAGGATCACCGATACCCCAGTGGGGGTAGAACAGTGGCCTCTACCAAAAGAAAAATCCGCAGCAGCGGCACCAGCTATCTCTGAACAGCTTATTTCTGAACAATTGACTTTCGACCACATTGAACCATCTTCATCCCACTGGCTCCAGCAGACAGGGAACAGTTTGCTTTACATTGCCAGTATATAACAATTCGCAGCCCACCCAGCGATATCAGTGGGTTGTCCTGCCTCAAGGCATGCGGAACTCCCCTACACTTTGTCAACATTTTGTGGGTGAAGCATTGAAACCTTCCTGCATGCGCCACCTAGAGGTGCTGCACATGAACTGCATCTGGCAGTGTTGCCTTCCTAACCATTTGCCTTGCCATCCTTTGCTGCACCGTTATACAAGGAAGAGAAGCAGACGACCAGTCCAGTTGAAACCACCATATTTCACCTCATCGGCTGGCAAGCAGCTGTCGCCAGCTTCCTACTCTGGCTGGCAGTATCCACGGCTCAGCCACTTTCGAACTAGAAGAACAGCGTTGTTGAATAAGACTTTTAGGGGAGAAAATTATCATAAGATATGGAGGGATGATATTTTTGTACAAGATATGATTATGTTTGCCAGTTTATTGCATGCTTCTAAATGTTGGGTGTGTATGCCAGTCATTCAGGCATAATGCTTCATGGTGTGCCTGTCAATGGATCTTTTCAATTTACTAATATTATATCCCCTAAGCCTCCAGTACAATTGACCCTCCATGAGCCTCCCCCCATTTATTTTCAAATTAAGGAGGGGAAAGAATCATGGGGCATATATCCAAACTGTCAATATACATTGAAATTCACTTTTAATAGCTCTTGTTCTCTTACAGGAACATACAGTGACCAATCTCAGTGCTATAGGAGTGACACCAGTGCATGGCTAATAAACTAAAAGGAAGCCTACCATGCAGCTTGGAATCAGAATTCTTATATTCTTGGCTTCCGGACGGAAGTTGGCTTCGACATTTATTGATTTTAGTGATCATTATAGTAGTTATTGATTTTAGTGATCATTATAGTAGTTATTTGCATTATTTTGTGTTGCTGTATCCAATGTATTCTTTCTATAATCTCTATATGTACTGCATGGTTCTCCAGTCCGCGGCCCGCTTCCGGTGTCAAAGAGTCGCTTATCGTGTATTGACTCTGATATAAAGTAAAGAAAGAGGGAATGTGGGAGTCATAAAGCCACGGTAAAGGCTTGTAATATTGCAGGGTGCCCCCCTGACCTCGGCTGACCAGCACTCTGAGCTTTACAATGTATTGGAATGTAATGCAGTTGTGTTTCCTCTGGGCAGTGTTGCCCTATATGGTGAAGGGGGCAATAAAAGCCTTGACCGGATGAGGTAACGTGAGACACTGGAAAACAGCCATGCGGCTGGAGAGGGACAAAGGAATAAAGAAACTGCAGGAGGAGAGGGAGGAAAGAGGAGCTGCTCCTACCATCATGAAAATATTGCTGGCTCTCTGTGTCATAATTTTACGCTAAACTTCGCCACTTTGTCACGGCTGGCTCCGACAAATGGGAACCAGTTGTGGTGATTGTATTTGCAAGATATACCAGTACAGTGCTGACTTGCAGGTTGGAGAGTCGTCAGTGTGGATCTGACCTTGATTTAAAGAACAGGACTGTATGGCACATCCCTATTCAAAAGTAGAAATCCTTGCTTTTATTCACCAAGAGGCTCTACTGAAATTGACCATTTGCACTGAAAGTATCTGTCTGAGGCATGTCTGTGGGAACAATGAGGCGACTGAAAAATTACTTTCTTTTGGAATTGCTCATCTGTAGAATATAATACTGTCTTCTCCCTGTTGCCAAACTTCCACACACGGGCAGTTCATAAATAACTTTTACAAGTACCATCCAAAATACCTCTTATTTTCTGCAAGCAGGGCCTCAATTGCCCTCTTCCAGAGGAGAGAAGCCAGGAGGACCATGAGGTTCTTTTTATGTGGAAACTAATATAAAATGCATAAGTACTGGGGGATGAACACAGTGCTGTCAAATCCAGGCAGTTAAAAACTCAAGAGTCTCTCCCTTTTGAATTGTAAACTTTCCAAGACCAGGGTACGTAAGGGCATCCAGTCTCTGAAAAGAACTGCTGCTTGATGGCTACTTTAAAATGTCACCATTGTGTCAGCTGTGTGAAGAGCACTGGGTTTAGATTAAAACAAAGGGTGGTATTCAACTAGGTTTTACTCAAAGCAGACTCATGGAAATTAATGGACCTAGCTAAGGTCCCATCTGCACCGTACATTTAAAGCCGTAGGTATCAGACTGCTCTAAGCAGTTGCGATTTCCCACAAAGGATCCTATCCCCCTCACAGAGTGGCAATGCCCAGACTTCCCTGGGAAGAAGGGTTGATTATTAAACCACTCTGGGAATTGTAGCCTCTCCTTCTGGCCCTTTGGGGCTCTCGCCAGGCCACACCCCTTTAATGGTGCCTTTGTTGACTCATTCCTTGCACTCTGATCACGCTTCTTGCTTGTCTCAATGGGGAGGACAGAAAGCGGTGTGTGAGTGCATGTCAAAAGTGGCCTACTGTACAAAGCTTCATGTGCACACTACCCCTAAGTGCACAGGGCCCTTTCATGCTGTTGCCAAATGGATGGCCAGAAGCAGCCACAGGCATCACTGGCAGGATCCATGCATCCCTCTCACACATATTTTCAACCTGTGCAAACTCCCCTCTAGGAATGTGAAAAGAAGATTTCAAAATATCCCAGTTCACACACCATGGCTTAACAGGAATGAGCGAACGTGGCGGTTATGCAGAGCGAAGATCACAGGTGCCGCACTCCTCACACGGTCATGCTGCTGTCACAGTACCCCAAGCTATTCCATGGTTTTGGCTTAGCATTATGTCAGAAGAACCCAGACTCGTGGTTTTTCTCCCACAGACAAACCAGGAGCGGTAAACCAGCAACAAACCTTGGCTACAGCTTGTGGGGTTTTTCTGGAGCAAGACAAACCATGAGCCTGGGTTCAGATGTGACACAAAGCCAACTCATGACTCAGCCACAGGTGGTACAGCAGCAGCAGGAGGACCAAAGAGATATTAGCCACAATCACAATCCTATGCTCCAGAAACCTGCATGTTCCTTGTTAAGACTAAACCAAGGTTTGGCTTACCCTAATATGTGAACCAGGTCAAGTATAATTTTATCAACTTTTGTAATTCTATAAACCTAAGCCGTTTTTTCTTCCAATTCTTTTTTTCCCACCACCACAGATTGGTTACGCCACTCCACTTTCACTGATTTTTTATGACTGCAATCTTTTTATCTTTTTTAATGCCCTTCTGTTCAAGAACTACTCATAACTGCATCCCCCCATGAGCATTTCATTCTCATGCCCCCACCCCCACACTTTTGGGATTTCCTTATCTTGCTTTAACAAAAAGAAAGAAATGAAGAATGTCAGCTTTGCTTTACTCTCCTATAATAAAAGTTCACAGCCTTTAATCATTACCAGCAATATTAGTGGCACACCAGTGTTTACATCCTAAATATGCTTCTAATTTTCCCAGTCAAAGGCAAGTTGTTGGTGATATCTTAATGTTTTGTTCGTTTTAGGCAGTTAATGCCAAACTTCAAGGTTATGATCTTGAACTGAATATTTCCCAGATGTGTGGTAAAGTGAAAGGTGGCACACCTAACAGAACCTGACTTCCTATCCATGTTAGTCTAACTTAGGTGAATTTTAAGTCAGGCTTAATTAAAGAATGAGCCCCGACAAGCTTTCACCTTTGCAATGGCTTGAGATGAAAGGTTCAAGATTGTGTGCATGGTAACATAATCCACATGTAGGAACCAGCTGTCACAGTCTGCATAGTTTATAGCGCCCCCTTAACCAGTCTCTTGTCCAAGCTAAGTTGTCTTGGGAGAGCTAAACTATGCACATATATTATTGGATTCAGGGCCTTTCCTTCCTCTTGCTAAAGTGGCTTGCAAAGACCCTATTAACTTCCGTGATCTGTGTGATTCTGGAATATGCTCAGCATCTTTCAATAAATGTCCAAATGACCCAGTCCTAATCAAGCTTACCTAGAAGTAAATCCCACTGAACTCAGAGGGCCAGCCGGAACCCAGTCAATTCTGAACAATAGCTATTGCTGGGAAAAGTAACTAAAAATTTAAGGTATATAGTAGAGGACAAACAAAAGGCTTGTTTTCGACTGCATGGCAAAGATTTATGAATGAGGACAATTTTGCTTGCAGTAAACAAGTTTCCTGTGCATGTAATATTTATTCAATTTATATCCTGCTCTTGCTCCTGAAGGAGCCCAGGGCAGCAAATACGTCAGTGCAACTTTTTAAAAAGCATTCTAAAAACAATTTCAAATATTTTCTCATCTGATGTTTCCAGGGTTGCCGGGAACTGTATTTTTCAGCCATCAATAGCCTGAGTAAACAGGAATGCTTTGATTTTCCTCCTGAAAGTCAGTAATGTGGGAGACAGAAACATTTCACCAAAAAGAGAGTTCCATAAATGGGGAGCCATCACTGAAAAGGACCTGTCACAGGTCAGTGCCCACCAGGCACCCACCCCCCATTAATATTTATTTAAAATCACTTTTTTACCACCTTTCACCAGAATGGCAGAAACACTATGAAACCACACATATAGAAATGTTTTTAAAGTTTGAAATTAGAAGCCTGGTTCACTGTGTGCAGTTGGACTTTATCAGTTCTGTTCCAACAACTTCTGCAAAGCCTCCTAGCATACAGCAGGCTAAAAACCTAAATAAGTAAACAAAACTTGAGTTTGGAACTGAAAATGTCCCCGTGGCATTAGCCAGGGACTTTCAGCAGAAAACATATTGTTCACCCTAAATTTGCTGGAGAGCCAAATACGTTCTGTACAAATCATATTCTCCAAATCATAGTGTTGACATAATAGGGATCTTGAGCTGAAATGGATTTAAAGTGACTTGGGGTGAAACCACTCACTTCTGTATCCAAGAAGATAATGTTTACTCTGAAGTATTCAATGGAGATATTTTGACTCAGAGATTCCAGTATGGCAGTGTCCCATCATAGTTGATAATGAACAAAAGAAGAAATCTTCTGGATCAGGCTCAAAGCCCATCTGGTCCAGCATCCTGTTCTCTCGTTGCCGACCAGATGCCAATGGGAAACCCTCAAGGCAGGACCCAGTCTCTTCTCCTGCAGTTTTCAGCAACTGGTATTCAGAAGCATTACTGCTTCTGACTGCTGAAAGAAAAGCAGACTTGGGGGAGAGCTACATTTGGTAAAGAGACGCGGGTGGCGCTGTGGGTTAAACCACAGAGCCTAGGACTTGCCGATCAGAATGTCGGCGGTTCGAATCCCCGCGGCAGGGTGAGCTCCCATTGCTCGGTCCCTGCTCCTGCCAACCTAGCAGTTCGAGAGCACATCAAAGTGCAAGTAGATAAATAGGTACTGCTCCGGCGGGAAGGTAAACAGCGTTTCCGTGCGCTGCTCTGGTTTCACCAGAAGCGGCTTTGTCATGCTGGCCACATGACCCGGAAGCTCCCTCGACCAATAAAGCGAGATGAGCGCCGCAACCCCAGAGTCGGTCATGACTGGACCTAATGGTCAGGGGTCCCTTTACCTTTACCTTTTACATTTGGTAAAGCACATTGGATTACACTTTTTCACTGAGGCTAAGCTAAATTAAGTTCATGCTTAAGTTCTATGATACTCAAAGTAAGCGTGGATAGAACTGGGCTTTGTTTTCCATGTAAATGCTTGAAATCTGTGTGAAAAGGTTCTGTATTAGGAAGAGGGTCTTCACCTTACTTCTGAAAGGAGGAAGTAGAATTATTGTGGCTAGCCGAGACATGGGGCAACAGGCTTGCGCAATCAGACCATGAGGTCCGCTGCGCAGAACGCAATGACTGCCTATCATCTGAGGCTATTGGAAAGCAAGCTGGTGAAGCGATACAGAAGTAGACTGGCGCATAATGAGATCTGGAGGGGGCACAAAACAATTGTGCTCTTCAGACAGGCCTTCCAGATTTCCCAGCAAGACTTGAAACTTTGCCGTCCTGCTTTCGGTTCTGGTTTTTTTGTTTTGTTTTGTTTTAATGAGGTGTTGAAAGAATGTTTAGGGAAATGGTACTTATTGTTATTACATCAGAGTGAATGTTAAAGCATTTGCTCCGGGGAGACAAGCCGCATGATCCAGACAAGCGGTTGGGTATAAAAGATGAAAATACTGAGAAAGACATATGTCAGGTGCATGCAGTATAGTGCGCAATTGTTTACATATGTGTCCGAGAGTCAGCGGTCTTGGGTTGTTTTTATTACAATTGCATAGGGAGCGTGGAAAGGCACCTTGTTAACCAAAGTGTAGCAACGAGCAGTTTTTTTGAACCACAGCAAGTTGCCTTTGGGGTGCAGAGATCTCATCAAAGGTGAAGAGGAAGTCAATAAAAACTACAGCCAAGTCCACTATGTCTCCATGACCCGTAGAAATTCATTATGCTCTTATTCTGATTGAGATAAAGGATATTTACTTTATTGGAAGGCGTGTCCTGTCCGAATAAAGGCAGCTGCCTTATACTGAGTCACAGCATTGGTGCATCTAACTCAGTGTTGTCTGCAGTGACAGGCAGAGACTTTCCAGGATTTCAGAAATGGTTCTCTTGCAGGCCTACCTGGAGATTCTGGGACATTCGGCCAACAAAGCAGAAGCTCTGCCACTATCATGGACCATGCTGAGGAGGGCTGCAGTGAGGAGGAATGGTGGGAGCCTCCCCCTGCTCCTGATCAGGATCCTGAATCTTCCCAGGAGCTGGAGGACAGTATAGATTTGGAACAGCGGTTTGCAGAGGGACATAGTTCAGAAGGCAGAAGCTGGGAAATACTGGATGGGGAACAGCTAGGAGAAGCACTGGGAGAGAGAGGGTTAACACTGTCTCTGGAAAGCGTTCATCCGCTCAGCCCAAGGTCAAAGAGCAGCTAAGGTGGCAGCACAGAAAGCACAGTGGTTACGAGATCAGGTTACAAGACGCGGTAGTGACGTGGGTGACTAGGGAGGAAGCGGGTGGAACCCTTAATTGGGAGCACCTTCATACCTATGAATAGATTCTTTGTTCTCTCGCTGTGATCATTAAAGTTTCTAACTGGTAAGAAGACTCCTTTCCCTTTGTTCTGCTTATCTACCGCCAAAGCGGGGAGGAAGCTGATTCCCTGAAGCCTGACAGCCATTGAGCTGCAGCCCTTCCCCCAAGACATAAGACCCTAGGAAGCTACCAGCCTTACACTGAGTCAGGCTGTTGCTCCATCTTGCTTCGTATTATCTACACTAACTGACAGTGGTTCACCAAGGTTTCAGACGGAAAGCATTTCCAGCTCTAGCTGGAGATCCTAGGGATTGAATCTGGGGGTTTCTGTGTGTGAAGCAGGTGCTGTACCACTGAGCCACAGTCCTTCTCATACAGCCACACTTCCTAGCAGTTTCAAGAAGATATCAACAATGCAACCAGGGGATGAAAACCCATCTCAACAAAAATGGAGTGTTTCAGTTCAGTCATTTCTAAATGGTTTCATGTCTTATCACCTTTTTTTTGGATGACCAGTCAGTCAAGCAGAGAGAGGCAAAAGAGAGTAGTGGGCTGAGTTCACAACCAGACACTTGGCATCATTTTGAGAAAGTGATAGCAAATTGGGCAATACTGAGTTATCCAGGCCTTGTAAATGCTAGAACACAATCTAATTTAAGTGGCAGGAGAGATTTGCGCCTTGTGTGGGTCAAGGGAAAGAAGACAGCAAAGACGGCTGTCTTGCAGCAACAGGCAAAGGATACACTAAAAGTGATTCAGAGGACTGGAATGATTTTGCATCATTAACTTTTAAGTGGGGCACAGCCGGAGGATTAATAATGCAAGTTCCAATAACCCAAAGGCCTCAGTTTTTAGCGTTGCCTTGAGCTCCTGAAATATTTAACTGGTAGGTGACCATCTGGTAAGATAACATAGTTTTGACTAAGTATGTAGCGATCTAAGAGAACTGATAAGAAGCCCTCCCTGAAGTAGCTTTGCTGCAGGGAACCTGCACCCTCTCAAACCAATGCCTGTCTTTTGACTTCTTAACACAACAGCTGCTTTATCAGTGGTGCTTGTCACCCAGTTGCTCCGAAGGGAAGGGAGGGGAAGGGGGTTTCTGGTCAGACTCCTAATTGGATTACCATTAAGTTGCGCTAGCCCACCGACCAAATGGTTCATAGAAAGGGCTTCAGGAATTTTACAGCCAGTGATGCAAATAAAATATACATTGGGGTTAGGCATGTTTATGTTTGCAATCCTTAGGGGTTTTAAGTGAGCTGATAAAAAGGGAGGAGAACAATTGAAAGTTGGAACCATTTGTGAATGTTGCTCCATAAGGAAAATTCAAAAATCCGTAAGTGGATTGCGGGGGACATGTCTCTAGATGTAAATCACTTTCCATCTTGTTTAACTCTCAGACTCAGAGCTGCCGATAAGGAACAAAGCATGGATGATGCCCAACTTGTAGTATGAGTGCAACATGTGTGATACATGGCAGGAGTGTGTGTCACATCTGAGTAAGAACCACACACCTGGGAACTGGCTGTCCCATTCTGTGCTGATTCCTGGCTCAGAAGACTTGGAGCACACCTAGGCAGTTTGGGGTTGCATACATGCAATTCATCATCATCATCATCATCATTTTATTTGTATTCCACCTTTCCACAGTTAAAACAATGCTCAAGGCGGCTTACAATATGAAAAGATTTACATGGTTACAAACATAGCAAAGTAGTCATAAAGATAAATAAAACACATCAAAAACTACATAACCAAACTGAACAATTTCCACATAAAAATAAAGATATAAAAAATTAATTTCAATAACAGCAAAAACTCCCGACAAAACTTCCCTCCAAATACCCCAGTCCTTGCTGGGTGGCAGCAGCAGAAGCAGCAGTTCTTATTAAGACTGTTAGGCCCCGCCCTGGGCCAGGTGGAGAGAGGCAGGAATGGGGCCCTCAATCTCCCAGCAGGTCAGACTAGATGGTACATTCTTGTGCTTTTGACTAAACTTAATGGGACACCTCCCAGCATACACCAAAAAAGGGCTGGCTACTGCTAAACCAAGGAAAGTAGTTCTGTGAAGGAGTTGGGGACCTTCAAGAGAGAATTCTCAGCATCCTCACCAGACTATAATTCCTAGGCTTATTGCACTGTGGGGAGGCTATGACAATATATACCAGTTGTAGTGCAGATGTGCCCTTGTGTTACTCATGACCCCTGAATTCATGAGGTGGCAAAGCTACTGGCTGCCTAATTTAACATGGTCTGATCTTACTTGCCCTAATGCAGTGGCAGCTCTTAGTACTTATTGCTGAAGAAAGCAAACAAGAAGTACCAAACATGGCATGGAGAATTAGTTGAAAAGTAAACCAAGGCAGATTTGTCGATTTGTTTCAGCTGGAAGCAGTGCTCATTCTTCTTCATCTGACAGTCATTCCAGCATGGAGTGACTAACGCTACTGGACCGAGTCACTTAAGAAATATTCACTTGCTTACTCAAATGAGCCCACCCATGAGAGTGACTGCGAAGAGTACGCAGCAACACTATTGAGAAAAGGGTGCATCTAATTTTGGACCCAGAATACGCTCTTGCTACTTTCCCGCTGTGAAGGCGAACAAAACAAATATATCCGACAAGTATCTTTGGTTCTGTTTCTTATTTGCTTTTGAAGCTCTCTCTTGCTTCATACCCAAAAGCTAACGATGCATTTAAAAACTACAAAGCAAGCCACTTGCAAGGGAGAGAGTAATACTTAACACATATATTGAATACTAGCTTAACCTCAGCTACCAAAAGCCAACAAACAGAAGAACACAGTGCTTTCAGAATATCCTCACATGCAAAGTCTGAAGTCTCTAGAGCAGGGCTGGGCAGTCTCTAACCTCTAGTCCTCCAGATGTTCCTAGACTGCAGCTCCCATCATCCCTGACCATTGGTTTTACTGGCTATGGCTGATGGGATTTGGAGTCTAACAGCATCTGGAGGGCTACTCTCCCTGATCTAGCAGAGCATTAAGTATAGCTGTGAATAAATTTCTCCACACTCTTGCAATCCTCACTGGGCAAACTGGTGGGCGTAACTATGACTCTTTAGAAGTCAAAAGTCACTTATTGCCATAACTACTGGGTGACCCTGGTGGAAACAAGTGTATCTTTTGCTACATGCCAGACAAACACTGTGTTTTCTTTCCAATATTAAACTAAACAGGCACTCTGATCAATCATCCTCCCATCTGTGGGTAAGTTCTAAACTTCCTTTAATGAAGTTGTTGGCATCCATCTGTCTCAAGAGACAATGGAGTGTTCCTTCAGGGGTGAAGTCGAACTACTGCATTAGCAGTGCCAAAGTGACCTCCCTGGGGCACAAAGGACAATTCTTGGTTCATTTTAGGACAAGTTTCCAAGCTCATTTCATAACCTGATGATATTCAATTGATTCTGCGAAGCAGAAATCCTGTTCCATAATATCTAATGCACTCCCAATTTTGCAAATATTTGAAATGGGAACTGAACTAAAAATGAAACCAGTTATTTGCAAGTTTCACCAATATTCAAATCATGAATGCATAACCATTTTCCCGTGGGCTCTGTAACATTTTCAAATATTGGTTTAAATGAGGAAGTGGGATCACCTATGAAAACGAACTGTTAATAATGTGAGTTGCATCTACTGAAAAGTTGAGAAATGGTTCATGCTTTCAGAAATATTCCAAGAGAACATTTATTCTACCCACAGTTGATAGTTGTTGGTTTTCTTTCTTTTTATCAGGGGGGGAAATGACACAACACAAAACTGGATTTATTTATGTGAACTTGGTTCCCTTTCTTGTCATGTATAAATGTAGGATCTGCTGAATAGCATCCTCCAAGCACTCATGATTTTGGAAGGGTATCCTGTCCTATTAGTAAGGAGAAAAATAGCAAATGTATTTTAATTACTTCTGCCTGTCAGACAAAATTATTAAAATGCATTGTGACACTTTGTTTTATAGAGATCAGGATTCATCAATGTGGTACTTTCCAGAAGTTGAAGCCACAGCCAGCATGGCCAATCACATAATCAGTCTTGGGTTAAGAAGCTGGATGCTAAGCAGGACTGGAGAGGTCCTGGAACTGTGGTTCTTTTTAAATGCCACTAAGAATAGGATGTACTAGGAGAAAGGACCTAGGTAGACCGGGGTTGTTTGTGTGGACCTACCAAGGACCTGTAAAGCTCTTTCTGAATCCCATACTTCCAGTTGAGGGACTGGAGGACTCCCGGAGTCCTGGTGCCACCCATGAACAAATTGTTCCTGGATTTGGGAACTGATCTTCCTTGAATGCTATAATTTGTAGATTTCCTGAAAATTCAGTTGATAGACCAGTAGTACTAGCCTATGTAGTAATTTGCTGTTTTAGCAAATTGCTGTTTCATCACCAACCTTTGACTCTTTCCACAGTTGCCTGTGATTTTCTCCGAATGCATTCAGTTTGCTTGTCAATATTTTTTGAAAAAATGTGAGCACAAAGAAGTTAGGAAACAATGCTCACAACCACATAGGGCTCTTGCTAATGATTCCCCTTTGTGGGGCAAGATGACCAGCCATTCTTTCTCTCCCTTGTCATTTTGTGTAATGAGTACTTGCTTTAACTATAAAAGGGCAGTTGATTTTAAGGTAAGTATATTTGGCTCCTCTGGGGAACATGCTTCAGACTTCAGGGACCTATAAAGCGAGCACATGTAATGTCCACAGGGCATATCTCATGTTGATATTTGGAATGTTTCTAATTATAATGAGTTGGGAATGATTCGGGCACTGAGAACCATGCTTTTACAGTGGATGTGGTCAAGTGGGATTTACCATAATTGTTGCAGTTTACAGAGTTCCGACTGCAAAAGAAAACCCTCAGTGTGCTATCTGTCTTAAAACAATTATAGAGACCACAAGTGTGTGTTCCCAAAATTCCACAGGGAGCAAACATGAATTGAGCAACTACTGACGAGAATCAGTAACATTGTTTTATTGCTTTTTTGCTTGTTGTCGATGTCGCCTTCTGTTTTACACATCTAGCAGAGGTAAATGCTTTTTATCATTAAAACCGTTGTTTCCAGCTTTTATTATCTGAACCTTCCTGGGGACCTCAGAGCCTTAGAGACTGTGAGCCTTCACAATCACTAAAATCAATCAGAAACACCAGCTTAATGCAACCACACTTGCACAGGTCAAATGGCAAGAGCCTGAGTAGATGTGTCCGTCCCCCTCCTTCTTCCTTGGTAGATGTAGAAAAACTAAGAAGGTGGAGCACCCAGTTAGCAGGGAACCAAAAGAACAGAATCAGTGATGATCGGGAGTAGAATTCCCCTCTGATGTACACAAAGCATTTTGGGATTCCCTTTTCTTTTCTTTTCTTTTCTTTTTTTAATAAATCCTGCTTTGTACCTATGCTAGTCTGTAAACTTTTTGGTTATAAGACTTCCTTGCATTGGAGGTTCATTGGAATCATTTACAATGGTACCTCGGGTTAAGAACTTAATTCGTTCTGGAGGTCCGTTCTTAACCTGAAACTGTTCTTAACCTGAGGTACCACTTTAGCTAATGAGCCGTGCTGCCGGAGCACGATTTCTGTTCTCATCCTGAAGCAAAGCTCTTAACCCGAGGTACTATTTCTGGGCTAGCAGAGTCTGTAACCTGAGGCATCTGTAACCTGAAGAGTCTGTAACCCGAGGTACCACTGTATTCATTTACCACAGTTGTATCTCAGCTTTCATCCAAGGAGCTTAGGACATTCAACAAGGAATAAGCCCGTTGTATGCATGCAACTACCATGAGAGCTACTGTAGAGTAGCAGGTAGAGTGTTGGCCAAGGGTATGGCAGATCAGGGTTCATATCCCTACTCAACCATGAAGTTCACTAGGTGATCTTGAGCCAGTCTGTCAGCCAAATTTACCTCACAGGGTTGCTGTGGGGACAAAATAGGGAGGAAGGGAACAATTTACAGCACCTTGAGTTCTTTGAAGGAAAGGTGGAGTATAAATAATAAATAAACCTGTGGTGACTCAACCCCCTTGAGTCCCAGACTGGGGAGGTAAATGTGGGATGTACTGTAAATAAATTGTTGACATCCAGCTGTCTCAAGAAACAATGGAGTGTGCCTCTGTGGGTAAAGTTAGCAGCACTGAAGTGACCTCCCTGGGGCGCAGGCCTGGGCAGTGTGCATGGATGTCCTGGGCTGCCCACAAGACACCCTCCCCCCTTTCTCAGCCTCACTGATGTGGTCCGAAGGAAAACAGAGAAATAGGTTTGGTACCAGCTTGGCTGCAGGAGTGGCTGGAAGGAGGCCTACAAGCCAACATCCAACCTTCTTAAAGATTCCACTCTAGATTTGTGTATGTTTTGCTCCTTAGCCTTTTCTTCTTCTTAAGATCTCCCGCAAGGCAGCAGAGCGTTAGGATCAGAGTTTTCCTTCTCCTAGATGGGCTACCTCCCCAGGCTGATGAGCCCAACTGCCTCTCACTTTCTACAGCACATGCAGAAACTGCCTTCTTGACCATTAGACCAACTATTAGCCTCATGCTCCATCCACCAGAGCCTGCAGGGGAAGTTGCTAAGTCACTTAGGATCTGAGAACAATTGACTACTCTTGCCTTGTTTAGCCAGCCAGTCGAAGCCATTTCCCAGGATGTGGCCACTGTTGCATGCTGTCAGTTTCTAGGAGCCACAGGTGAGAACTGAGTGCAGGGTAGGACCAAAGGTGAGCAAACTACCTTAGAAGGAGTATGACGTGTCCCCTACCAGACCTACTACTCCTTCCCTAACACCCCGTACACCCCAGTAAATAATGATAATAATGATGATGATATGTTAAGGTGAGAGTTGAAAGGTTAAATTCAGGGCAGGGGTACACATACAAGGTCCCAGTCTGGCGCTGGGTTGTTTATCAGATCTTCACGCAACTAGGGACCTTTCTTCACTTACCATATACAGTTGCTGCTGAACCCAGAGTTTTTAAGAATGAATTTGTAGCTGATGGTCTGTTCCTTTGGTCACATGTCACTGTTATTACAGAGTGAGTAAATGGCTTTCATTTCCATACTAGAAGCGAGTTGTTCCTAAACTGAGAAAAGTGAATAGGCTGTAGTCGCACCCCTTATTTACCCTCATATTCCTCCAGCCAGCAAATGTCAGAGAATGAAAACATGTGGTGTGTGTGTGTGTGTGTGTGTGTGTGTGTGTGAATGATGCCTAGCATTCTCAAATTCTAATCTTGTAGATGAGAAAGGAAACTGCGTACACCTCAGCTATGGTGAACTAGCTTATTGTGATGACATTTTGTCTGCAGCTAATGACTGATGTCACGGGGAAGCACTTTGACTCAGTACCACTGTCTCTTATCTACCAAATCTCTCCTCTGAACTGAGCTCACAAAGTGACAGCTTGCACTGGTCAGAGGGAAGTGGTGTCTTCTATGATACGCCCACCAGCCCCAGCTCCTTCACTCAGAAGCTGGGGTGATGCTTGCACACATGCCACATGAATTAAAATATTAAGCAGACCTTACAGATCTTTCAGAAAAGCTGTATTTTTTTTACAGAAAAAGAAAAAGTGGAGGTGGGGGTAGTAATGTCATTCCTGAATATTAGCTGAATAATGGCGACGTCATGCGGCAGCATGCCAGAAAATCTTGAGAATCTTTTTTAAAGCCCAGCAGCTATACCACTATAAATGATAAGTGCAGAAAAGTCCTTTCACAAAGGTGTTGGTTGTTTTTTTTTAAGGCAAGTCCAATGGAATGCTCTAAGAAACCTCCCTGCAAGCAAGAATTCTGGACAGAAATCTAGTGACTAAGATTCATGCCTGAAACAGGGTTTGAACCCAAGCGCCCCTGGATTTTTACTCTGCACTGTTACTTTCGCTTGGCTTGAATATTTTCCAGAAGTGAAACATTTCAAATATTTTGTTGCTTGGGTTAAGCAAGCACAGTGTTGTTTTCAACATCTATGCCGGGGATTCGACTCAGTTGTTGCAAGTGCAGAACGAGGTCCATTCACACAACGGCACTTCCCACCCCCTGAAAGGCAGAACAGAACAGGTTTAGGGGGTGCACAGGGTGCATGCAAGGAGGCAGTCTTGTTGCACACAGAAACCTTGTCCCCTGTGTGCATACTGCACTTTGTGCTGCATTGAATTCCAGCCAGTATTTTTAATATTTTACATTGGGTCCTATTATTCCCATTCAGAGCTAGTTTATAAATTACACAGAATGAGATGGGAGATCCTATGGTAGGAGAATGTTTGGTATACCACTACATCACACATTTTTCAATTATGTCCCTAATTCTTCTTCTTCAACAACAAAATTATCCATATGTAGCCAGCTAACAAACCAGACTGACAGGTTTAGCATAGCGCTCTGCCCAATCTGCTAGTTTATTGTGTGCAGGAAGTGTGTTTTTATGTAGGGAAACATGAAAAAATAAGACAGACAGACACACATGCAACCTGAAACGGTAGATCCCAGAATTTCATCACCTCTGGCAAGTACTTTATTCTGCATAATATGCAGAACAGCTGAGGTCTGGATCTGCCAAGAGGCAAGGAGGAGAAATGCCTTGTACATCTGATATTTTGTGCTATTTTCAGAGAGCTATTTGGGACCAAACTATATGTGACGTTAATTGCGTGGTTTTCTCTTGAGTGCAAGCTTTTTCTTTCATAAAATGGCAATCTGGATCCGGGCCATGACTTAGGAGGTAAGTTCACCCCTGCATCTGCTATTTGCATTGGCGGAGTCGGGGGGAGGCAAAGGTATTGAGGCTACAGGGGAGGCAAAGGGTTAATGCCCCCTATCACCCACATCAGGGTTCTGATCTGGATTGGGTCATCCCCACCCTGCCAATTTGTGAAAGAAAAACTGAAGGACAAATGCCATCTGTAGTTTGGACTTAGGAGCTTTTATTGTGGGTTTGGGGAAACTCTTGACCCTCCAGATGTTGCCGAACTACAACTCCCATCATCCCTACCCATTGGCTGTGATTGCTGAGGCTGATGGAGGTTGTACTTCAACATCATCTGGAAGCCCTGAAGTTCCCCACACCTGCTCTGCAGCATTATTACTAAGAGAAATAAAGTTTTAAGTGGATATCGTTACTTCAGGCATCAATATCTCCAGCCCTATTAGAGAAATAGTAAACTGACAACTTAAAAAAAATCAATAAGGAACCTTGTGGGAAATTGTGAAACTATTTAAGATCTGTCTTCCAAACCCATAGCTTATACAACATTGCTGCAGTCTAATGATGTGTTTTTATGTTCCATTTTTACAGAATAGTGTCCTCACATGCTTTCTGTTATAGTTTGTACTTTTTTAGACATGCTTCTTCAATCCCAGCCCTCCAGGCTTGGAAACTGACAAGATAAGGCCCAAATCCTGACTTTCCTTTAACATGCAGGCAAATGGCTCAAACACTCAGACATGTCAGGCATGTAGTTGCTTGCTGCTTTTCATGATTTATATCCTGTCTTTCATTCTAATGCCTTTTTATGGTGGCTTGCAACAAGCTACAATAGTACAAAGAACAACAGCCAAGATTTGCACATACATACACAGGCCAGCAGCCCTTACATCTCTGGCTGATGAATACAGCTTTCCTTTCTTTGGTTTTGCAGTCCCAGGGCAACTGTTGCTTGGAATCTTTCTTTCTTTCTTGAGTCGTATCTGCATCATGCTAGATGGACTGATGATTCCTTTGCGGATCCAACTAGTCCGGCATCCTAACCTCTTGAAAGAATACTGATGTTCTGTTTAAGGTATGGTCTGCCTTAGTGAAGAATTACAAATTCTCTGGGAAGAGTTCTTGAGTGATTCGACTAACTGCTGCAGATTCTAGAGGCTTTAGGGTTTCATGTATGTTGTGGTATTGTGAAACTGAACAGAAAATATCAACGATTGTCAGGTTGAGCGATATAGACATCACTCACGTAAGCCCAGAAATTCTTGTCAAGGTTCTAAGAACCAGTGAAGACTGTAAGAGTGCACACTCTTCAGGAGAGTAAGTTAAGAGTTTTGAAGCATGACTCCTCAGTTAGAAAGTGTTTGCCACTTTCTGTAAGCCTTTGTTATGCCTGTTGGTTAAAGGTCTGACATTACATAGGGAAAATGGAACCACACTTTTGTTCACTCTACTTTTATCTCTGCCATCTTCACAACACCCTTTTCCTGTTACTCCCAAGAATTTTGACCGAGCTAATGCAACCTATGGGGTTATAGGCAGGGATCTGAGTCCAGCTCTCCCATGCTGATACCTAACCTTTGAATTTTACCGCTCTTTGAGAGTTGGCCTCAGAAGCCACAATGCTCACAATCCTGACCCATCTCACTTTTTTCCAATTAAGCTAGAAATGCAGTGTAGCCTAACAGTACGTAGTGTGCACCTTGCAGCTTCTAGACCACAAACCAACACAGTTGATGCAATGAAACCCCAAGGTCAGGGCTTGTGTTTGGAGTAGAACAGGGTGGAGATAACTTGGAGTGTTAAGGTAAGCAGGAGGGGAGATTTGAAGGGAGTGTGGAGGGATTTTGTCAATGGACAGTTGGAAAAGGAAGACAGTGGCAGGTACAGGGGACTAGCCAGGTGCAGATGGGTTTAGAGCAAGGATGGGATGGGAAACCTGTGGTCTTCTGGATGTTGTTGGACTTCAGCTCCCATTATCCCCAGTCAACTTGTTCAATGGTTTGGGATGATTGGGAGTTGTAGTCCAACAACACCCGCTGGCCTTCAGGTTCTCCATTCCTTGTTTGGTAAATTGCTGGTCCTGATTGCATCCACCCCAGATTTCATTTTACTGTGGATTTGTTTTCATAGTTCATTAAAACTCTGCCTTTGTTTACTCTGGGGAATTGTGAACCCAGTCCATAAAGGGTTTGCAGTGTTGCTGGTGCAGCTAGACTGTGACAGCATCATATCTGGTTTGATTTAAACAAGCATAGTGGAACACATTCACATTTCATTCCTGTGGCACACAGTGTAAATGTGATAACTTCACTTCTGATGAGTTTCTTCTAGGTTACCTAAATATGGCTATAAAGGATAAATGGGAGGATGTGACCAAGTGTTTCTAGAAAAGTGTTGCATTATGATATATTGTACTAAAATGCACTGCACAGGCCAAGCGGCTGTATCAAAGCAAAATACATGGCTGGATCATTCCAGTCCTCAACACTCGCCAGTTTCAGATTTAAACAATCTGCTTTCCCACTCTACAGCACCCAGAAGTTTCACAAACATTTGAAAAATGATACTTTATTAGTCGATCCAACTGCAGTTTGTTTTAATGTGTTGCAATCCTTACAACTATAATATGATAAAAATATATAATTCAATTTTGAAACCATTTGAGCATAAACTAATAAAATTCCTTGAAAATGCTAATGCTGTGAGGAATTAATCCAACCTGGCATTGCAACAGAAGCCACAACAAACAAACATGTCCTTATGAAATAATAGCTTGTGTTCTTCCCCATTTCTGTCTAACAAGTGAAGGACCAAAAGCATATCAATCACGACAGGGAAAAGATGCCAGCTAAAGCGACAGTGGGAAACAACTAGGCCGGCCCTACCATTTGCCAACAGTGGATTGCAGCAGAGTGCACATAATCAGCCTGACCGCTTTCTCCTTCCTATTTAACAAAACTAGATTAAAATGGACAGAATTTTTTTGCCCCTTTCTTTTTGAGACTGCCATGCCATCTGTGAGTCAGATACCAGACGGCACCACTCTGTCTGTATGGCGTTTAACATGTGATGGGCTCCACACCCCATGACCATTGAACCACATAACTGTAGCATTTCCAACAAACAGTGGCTCTGGAGTCCATTTTTGGAGCCAGTCCTTTCTGAAGATTGAGTTCCATTTGATTCTAACTGGGGAAGTCAGCACTTGTCGTATTTATTTTCATTCTCACATTCACACTCCGCCCTTCCTCCACCCTTAACAAAAGACTTGACTATATAGGAAAGTTGGCTTTGAAATTGATGCAAGGGCACAATCTGATTTAGGAAGGGTCTCGTATATGACATGCCACTGTACTTGTCCTAATTCACACACAGTGTCTAGGACATCACAAAGGTCTCTTGAAATTTGTACCCATGCATCTCTTTTAGAAAATGTTACCAGCATTTAGAGATTTTGATTATATCAAGTAGTATAAACATTTTATAAATAAATGAATATGCAAGTTTTCAGACAGCTACTAAGACCAAAGAGGTATGTAGATTAGTGTTGATATATTTTGTGTTTGTGCATATATGGCCAATAAAGCTAATCTGCTTTTTTAAGTGTGTATTTGGAAGTGCTGGACATGTACGCACAGCCTATCCCTGTGAAATGCTGCCCGTAGTTGTTTGGGGCGGGTGAGAGAAGCTAAACATATTTTATTATGAACAGACTGGAGTGGTTTTTCTGTTATCTGACTGAGCGAGACAATGTGTGGCATCAGAGTTAGCCTAACTATACTCCAGAATGTCAAACACGCTTGCCAAGAGTGGATGTATCAGCTTTATATGGCTGGGAGATTTAGTTTTATCTTAATGTCCTAAAAGGAATAAAGTGCTTACCACTGTTTCTGTGTTTTGGGATGACTCCGCCGCTCTATTGCCATATGCTATAGATTTAATTTAATGCTGTGGTTCCTATGTCTCTTTTGATAAATTTCGGTGAAAATCTACGCTAAGAAGGGTTGAGCTATTTCAATATTTATGGAGTTTCAAATAGAGGAATAGGAAAGGAAACACGGTAATTGAAACAACATTTGTGTATATTCTTGCCGTGAAAGTTTCTGAAGCGGGTTTGTCAGTCGCTCTGGATATTAACAGGATTTGAGTGAGGTTTGAAAAGATCCATTTTAATTCTAGCTCTTTATCATAGTTATCCAAAACATCCGCCCTTCCCCGCCCCCCCCCCCCCGCACTCTCTCCCCCTGCTTTAATGATGAGATTCCAAATCTTAGACCTGAACCATTCTCATTTTCCTTTTCCTTTTCTCCTTGGATTGTAGGCATATTGGAGATAACATCAGTGGAAATTGGAGTTGTAGCAGTTAAATCCATTAGCAGCAACTATTATCTAGCCATGAACAAGAATGGAAAAGTCTATGGTTCGGTAAGTATGTTTTTCTGCCTTTATTTATTTAATCTGTTGTATACTGTTCCTACGCTGGTCCCATTGTTCTGAGCAGGACTGTTTTTGGAATTGGGCAGAAAGAGAGTCTGCTAACTTGTTTTCAGAAGCAGTTGGTTTTTTACACACACACACACACACACACACACACACATATCATGGAGTAATATATCATCTCTGAACAAGTTTTGGCATAGATTGTGGCATTTGATTTGAGGCCATGTTTACTGAAGTTTTAGACCACTCTTCTTCAACCTTTGGTCTCCAGATATTGTTGGACTACAACTCCCATCATCCTAAGCCAATGTACCAATGGCCAGGGAAGTTGGGAGTTGTAGTCCCAAAACATCTGGGGACCCAAGGTTTGAAGAATATTGGTTTTAAAAAATATATAAATATCCAATCTTGATCCTTTTATCATCTCACCTCAATCTTCTTCCCAAACCTTTTGCAGCCCTATTAAATTTCCCCAGTCTATTAATGCTCTGTATAGTTCAGAAAGCAACCCTTTTACTCTGTTTTCAGCCACCATTAAAATAGTTTCAAACATAGTGGTTTGAGAGTTCCTCCCCCTTTCTAGAATCATTAGATCAATCAATTTCTGATGATCTACAACTCAGCCCAAGAAGATGTCATAAATAGATATTTGTGGCTGTCTGGCCAAGCCCCGTAACTTGTTGGAATCCCCAGCTGGTTTCTTCCACTTCTCTCATGCCCAACTGTTTTAACCATATTGCCTCTTTAATGTAACGAACATTGCTAGGTTGTACCAGATGCTAAATGATACAGGACCGTAGCTCAGTAGTAGAGCCAACTGCTTTGCATGAAGAAGATCCCAGATTCAATCTCAGTGGAAGACCAGGAGATTCCCCCTGCCTGACACCCTAGAGAGCCACTGCCAGATGGACCAATGGCTTAAGGCAGCTTCTAATATTCCATATTCACTCTGCCTGATTCCTGAACTATAGGAAGCTTGCTTTATCACTTCACACCATACATTCTAAAGCTCTTTGAAAGCGCTTTAAACCATCATGGCTTACCCAAAAGACTTCTGGAAGCTGTAGTTTGTTTAGGGTGCTGAGAGTTGTTAGGAGAATCTTGCTCCCCTCCCAGAGCTACAATTCTGAGAGTGGCTTAAACGTCAATCCAGGGAACTCTTGAAACTACAGAAGTCTTTGTTGATGGCAAGGATTGGAACAGGGCCCTATGGCATCCAAAACATAGGCCCTTCCACTGAGCTATGGCTCTTTCCCTAACTATGAAGCCACCTCCTACCAGGTCAAACTATTTTCCTTCTCGGCAGTGGCGCCCTCCTTCAGTGGAATGCCCACCCCCATCAGATGTCAAGGAGATAAGTATAGCTTTTAGAAGACACCTGAAGGCAGCCCTGTATCAGGAAGTTTTATTATCTTTTTATGTATGTTGGAAGCTACCCATGGTGGCTGGGCAACCCAGCTGTATGAGCGGGGTACAAATGATTTATTATTATTATTATTATTATTATTATTATTATTATTTGATCCCTTTAACTGGTGATGCTAGGGATAGAACCTGGAAACTTCTGCCTGCCAATCATTCGTTCTACTACTGAGCTATTGTCCGTCCTTTCAAGGTAAAACTACCTCTTCACTCTTGAGTGGGCAATGATCCACTCATGACTCAAGCAAGCAGCTAGAGAATTCTCTCATCAGCTCGTTTCGCCTAAGAAGCTGGGTGTTAATTATTTCAAGAAATGCTTATATTTGCTTCCTGGATTAAATAGCCCCTGAAATATCATGCTATTTAAACTTCATTGCTGCCTATGAAAATAAACACCTGCCATTCAGTAGCTACACCGTTTGAAAGCCATGTTATGAAATCTCAAATAAAGCTGAAGCCCAGCTGCATTAATTTTTTTAAAAAAATAATCAAAAGCTTTTAAGTAATTCTCAGGTGTGTGTTCAGTTTTCTTTTCACCATTTTTGCCAAACAAACTTGCCGTGATATATCTCTCACAACTGTGTTGTAACATCACGTAATGTGAAAGCAGGACTGCAGCAGTGGGATTTGAGAAGTGGGATTTGAAATCAGCCCACCCCGTTTGCAAAAAAAGGGACAATGCCGGCCACTTGCAATTTCTAAAAATACTTCTATTTTAAAAATAATTTATATTGTTGCCCAACAAATCAGGCGTGCCTTTTCGGCTTCTTAAAAATGATTTAATTGATTGATTTAATCAAGCTGCAGTTCTCCAAGCTAGACATTGATCCATAACATACTTATGCCCACCTGTTCACAGCGCAATCCTGACAATGTCTCCTCAGAAGTAAATCTTATTCAGTTCATGGAGGCTTACTCCCAGGTAAATGTGATTAGAATTGCAGTCTCGACTCCAAACATCTAAAATTCACAAAATATTTAATGTTAATTTTTAAAAAATTAAGGTGTTCAACATTGATCTTTCCTCCTCCCATAAGTCAAAGAAGGAATGCCTGCCTGCAAAATAGGTATTTAAAAATTGCATATTTTTCCAGAGGCCGTCGTATAGTCAGAACAATGGAACCCACATGCTTATGATCCAGATTTGACTGTCTGGAATTGAGATCAAAATACCAGAGGGTCGAGAGTGAAAGTTCCCTATTGGCTCTGATATGCAGAACATTTTGTACCTTAGCACCAAACCCATGATTAACAGGTTATTTTATAACCTTTCCAGAATGTTCTAGTTAGAACTTTTATTCCCAACAAGACCTCCTATGCCTGGATTCAGACTGGCATAGAAGTTTGGCTTTTATAAGCAGATGGATATGAAAAATAGCCTCAATAAATTTTTCCTAAGGAAACCTCTCAAAGATTTCCAGCCCAGTTTTTTCAATAAGGTATGAGGCATGTGCACAACATGTGTAGAGCAAAGGCGAAATCAGTTCATAGACTTGATGCTCAACAGAACCTCCATGGAGCTATCCTCATGCAGGGAGAGAGACTATTCACTTCACACATATACAGCCATACTTTGAAATTTGCACTTCTCTGAATTTTGCAATGCAGTTCTCTTGGCAAGTAGTGTCTATGAAAATATACACTCACTAGGGTAAAGCTTGCATAAAAGTGCACATATTGGTGCAAATAGCATGCAAAAATGCATTCTATAAGGGGGAAATAATTTTCAAAAATGTGTATTAGGCAAAAAAACGCATGCAAATGTGTGCATATTAGGAGAAATTCACACTATAACACTGATAAACTGTTACGAGAACTTTTTTAAAAAATAAATCACAAACTGATGTGGAAATGTGGAGAATTTAAGAGTGGGAAAATGAAAAACAAAGTGAAACCAAAATTCTCTAATTTGCCAGTCCCTATCCTCTTGTTTGAGTTACATACAGTGGTACAGTGGTGCCCCGCAAGACGAATGCCTCGCAAGACGGAAAACCCGCTAGACGAAAGGGTTTTCCGGTTTTGAGTTGCTTCGCAGGACGAATTTCCCTATGGGCTTGCTTCGCAAGACGAAAATGTCTTGCGAGTCTAGAGATTTTTTTTTCGCTTTTCCCCCCCTTTATCTAATCTGCTAAGCCTTTAATAGCCTTTAATAGCCTTTTAGCAGCTAATCCGCTAAGCCTTTAAGCCTTTAATAGCTGCTAAACCGCTAATAGCGCTAATCCGTTAAGCCGCTAATAGGGTTGCTTCGCAAGACGAAAAAACCACTAGACGAAGACTCTCGCGGAACGGATTAATTTCGTCTTGCGAGGCACCACTGTACCTCGGTTTATGAACAGTCCTGTTTACGAACTATTCGGTTTACGAACTCTGCAAAACCGGAAGTAGTGTTCCGGTTTGCGAACTTTACCTTGGTCTACGAACAGAATCCAAAAGGTGGAAGGGCACTAGCAGCGGGAGGGAAAGCACACCTCAGTTTAAGAACAGATTTGGTTTAAGAACAGACTTCAGGAACGGATTAAGTTCGTAAATCGAGGTACCACTGTATGTACTACTGTTTAGGCCCTAAAAGCCCTAAACGGCCTCAGCCCAGTATACCTGAAGGAGCGTTTCCACCCCCATCGTTCAGCCTGGACACTGAGGTCCAGTGCTGAGGACCTTCTGGCGGTTCCCTCGCTGTGAGAAGTGAGGTTACAGGGAACCAGGCAGAGGCCTTCTTGGTAGTGGTGCCCGCCCTGTGGAACACCCTCCCATCATATGTCAAGGAAATAAACAACTACCAGACTTTTAGGAGACATCTGAAGGCAGCCCTGTTTAAGGAAGCTTTTAATATCTGAAGGACTACTGTATTTTAATATTTTGTTGGAAGCCACCCAGAGTGGCTGGGGAAACCCAGCCAGATGGGCGGGGTATATTATTATTATTATTATTATTATTATTATTATTATTATTATTATGTTAGCTTCCTTGAAAAGCAGGAGGGAGGCATTTTAAATGAATTAGATTAAATTTACTTTCCTATGCTTCTTTCTTTTTAAAAAAGAGGAAAGAAAAACCCACCACACAGGAAACACAGGGAACTACCTCATACTGACTGGTCCATATTCAGATCATTTGCTCAGTATTGTCTGGTGTGACTGACAGTGGCCTTTGAGGATTTCAGAGAGGAGCCTCCCTCAGCCCTACCTGGTAATGCTGGGGATTGGACCTGGGACCTGCAAGCTAAGCCAGTGCTACACCCCAGAGCTACAGCTCCTCTCCTTTAAGGACAGCAGTGCAGCTGAGAATGTGTGAGACAAGCTAGACACCAAGTCTGGTGTGGCTTGTGCAAACTGGCTGTACTGATCGATGCCAGAATGTGCCCAGCGCAGACGTGGCCTGAATCTTCTCTACTATCCTGAGTTTATGCTCATCACGCTATCTTTGATGGGTGGATACTTCTTCAGTGTGATCAGATCCCATGCCACACTCCTCTAATATTTGACATGGGGGAGAAATCAACTGGGTAGGTGGCTGGGTGAATGGTGCAATTGCTTCCCACATGAGCCAAGCTGCACTCTGAAGTTTTTCCCTTCTAGGCATGAATGCTGCAGTGTAGGGCACAACCCTGTGAAAGAAGTCGTGCAAAAATCAGCCCCGCAAAATGTACATGCAAGTTCATACCCAAATAATAATAATAATAATAATAATAATAATAATAATAATTTTTATTTATACCCCGACCTCCCCAGGGCGGCTAACAAGCAATAATAAAAACAAGTTGAATGAATACAACTTAAAAACAAGATTAAAATACAACATTAAAATATAGAAACATTAAAATATTAAAATGCAGCCTCATCACAGGAGGAGAAAGGAAAAAGAAAAAAGAAAGAGGGGGAGGGAATCAAATTCGCTCCAATCCAAAGGCCAGGCAGAACAACTCTGTCTTACAGGCCCTGCGGAAAGAAATCAGAACCTGCAGGGCCCTGGTCTCATGAGACAGAGTGTTCCACCAGGCTGGAGCCAGTGTTGAAAAGGCCCTGGCTCTGGTTGAGGCTAATCAACTTCCTTAAGGCCCGGGACCTCTAGGGTGTTGCTATTTATGGACCTTGAGGCTCTCCGTGGAGCATACCGGGAGAGGCGGTCCAGTAGGTACGAGGGTCCTAGGCCGTGAAGGGCTTTAAAGGTCAAAATCAGCACCTTAAATCTGACCCTGTACTCCACTGGGAGCCAATGCAGCTGGAAATCATGCATTTAAAGCACTGTTATATGACATTAACAGTTATGGAGAATCCTGGGAATTGCAGTTTGTCAAGAGTGCTGGGAACTGTAGCTCTTTGATGTCCTTACCCTACACCAGGCTTCCTCAACCTTGGCCCTCCAGATGTTTTGAGACTACAATTCCCAACACCCCTGAACACTAGCTAGGGATCATGGGAGTTGTAGGCCAAAAACAAATGGAGGGCCAAGGTTGAGGAAGCCTGCCCTACACAATCTACAGTTTACACCTTTCTCTATGACTGTTAAAGTGGTATAATAGGGCTTTGAATGTACAGTGCAGATGTGCCCAAAATTTACCAATTATTTCTTTCTTGTATCACATTGCATTCTAATCTTCTCTCTGTGCATGTGTTTCTTTTTTTCATGTGAAACAGAGGGAGTTTAACAATGACTGCAAACTAAAGGAGAGAATAGAGGAAAACGGATACAATACGTACGCATCGCTGTTTTGGAGAAACAACGGGAGGCAAATGTTTGTGGCCTTGAATGGAAAGGGAGCCACGAGGAAAGGACAGAGAACCAGGAGGAAAAACACAACCGCTCATTTTCTCCCCATGGTCGTCGAGCAACAGATGAAGGGCCTGTTCTATTGATAGCAGTTGAACCAAAGATCATTTGTCAGGAATACTTGGTAATCCTCTTGAAGAGGAAAGGCAGAAACAGTGCAGACGTCTGCTTGATTGAAAAGAGGGGGGAAGCCTTTGAAGGTTTTGTGCTCTCTGCTGGCACGTGAAGTACTGCTAATTAGTTCTGTGTCATATCTTATAATCAAGACACAAGCTGAATCAAATGGGATGGGAGCTCTTTCCAGTGTGAACAAAATTATTATTATTATTAATATTATTTTTTATCTCCGCGATAGAACTTAAAGGACATGAGACAATGTATGGAATGATGTTGGGGGAAAGTTATTTATGGAATACTAACTCATATCAAAGACCTTCATTGCTCATTCAAGCCTAATGATCCCATGAACGGTTAGGCATGCAAGCATTTACTGGAAATTCATGGATCCTCATATGCAGCGATAAAGAAGATTCTGGAATGGTCTTGTGAAAGAAATGAATAGGATTAAGAAATATAAGCACATTAGAGTAAAACTGTTCTAACAAAATAAATAGTATGGTTCCCCCGCCTTGTATGCTTATGCCATGCTTTTGTACTTCTCCCTAAGTTATTTATTTAATAGGATGTTAAATATCTTTCTTCTCTCTTTTTTGTTTGTTCGTTTGAAGGATTTTCTCAGTTGCTTCCTGTTGCGTTGTTGTTCTTTTTCCTTCTCTGTGTTTCATACAAGATTGACCAAGTCAGATGTCAAAAAGCTCACACAAGTGTCCAAGAGTAGAGAATAGATAAGGCTAGGGCTGTGGTTTTTGTTTGATCTTGTTTGTTTGTTTGTTTTTCCTCTTGAAACTGGGTTTCTTTTTTTCTTTTTTTAATTTTGCACTTAAAATCAATAGGATCAGATATGCATGGGAACTGCAACGTGACCTGTGTGTTTGTGTGTGTGTGTGTGTGGTTTTTGTCAGCATCACTGATAGTCTTTCCCTGCCACAGGAACAAAAGTTCTCATTCTGCATCATCTGAAGAGTCTTGCTGCTGTTTTGAAATGGGCTGAGTTGAACTGGTACCCAGATGTACATTCCTCTCCAACTTATTTCAGTTAAATGCCTGGTCCCAAAGATGCTGAAATTTAATCAGAGCTGTTCGGCAGGTTTTGTGGAACAGACCGTAAATGCATCCAACTGCATCTTATATTGGTGGGATTATATGTTTTCAGACTAAAGCTGAATTAAGTCTATGGAGTTGCTAACATCTGACAGAACAAATTTGCCTTCTCCTTCTCCCCCTGAAAAAAGTAAGACAGAAAAGAGCCAAATCAATTTCAGAAGAGCCGGGATGTATGTGGTGTTGAAAAATTGCAGCCTCAATCTGAATAATCCTCCCTTTTTAGCATAGGGTAGCTCCAGATGTTACATAGGACCTGAGGGAGAAGATGTAGGAGTGAATGGCTCTGCTAGTGTAATGAAAACTTGCCTGTGGTCCTCTGGAGAGATGCAGGTGCTTCATATCTCTATCTGTGGGAAAGATACTAACATTCCAACAAGGAGTGGGTCCATGCTGCTCCTATGTAACATTTGGAAGCTGGCCTACAGCTATTCATCATCATACTGGCTTTGGATACAACATACATACCACTGGTGTGAAACAGCAAAAGTTAGTGGTAGCCCCTATTACAATCATTTGGAAACAACAGGGAATATGCCCTTAACTGAAGATATGGGGTTGGGTTGGATGTTCGTTTGCTATCTGATGAGAGCATTGTGCATCAACTCTTGTGTTCTCATTCCCTTGCTTTTGAAAACCTGAGGAACAATGGCTGAGTGCAAAATGGCGGAACATGTAAGTGGGGTGGTCAACTTTTTGTGCAAAACGGGCAGCAGGGAGCCCTAGAAACACCTGGGAGTGATCAGCAAGACCGAGCAGTTGTCTCGTGCCTCTCTCATGTCAACACTGTGATAGTTTGGAGATTTAGCTGTACCTCTGAGATAGGAGCGGGCGAGAGCATTCTTTCAGCTTTATGCCATTTTAATTTTATCCCTTTCTTTGTTTCACTGAAAAGAACCAATGACATATAAGGCACCCCAAGCCAGCTTTGCTTTGCTCACCATGCACATGAGCCGGTGACAGGCCCTTGTGTCTCTGTCTGACTGGGACCTAACATGGAAGAACTGCATAGTCCTTTCTCAAACCAACTCGGACAAATAGGGATATCTGGAACCCCCTCCCTGCGAAGTGCCTCTGAATCACTGATAGCTTATACAAAGAGCAGACCATGTGATAAAACTATTCCTGGACTTTGCCATTTCAGTCCGTTAGGGAGGGCATCAACATCTACTGTATATACTCAGTGTAGAGAAATGAAGGTATCAGGGAGATACCAGATTCCCTTCTAGCATTCTTCCTGGTGGTTTTTTGTTTTTTGTTTAAATGTGTAGGGACTTTTCCATGGGAGAATATTCAAAGAGTGGTCTGAGGCAGTATAGCCTGGAAACAGTTTGAGCATGTGATCTGCTGTTTGTGTAGACTAGACGTGAGACTGGAGGTCTTCAAGCTGTTGGGGATGCTTTAGCTCTGGATTGGGCAACATGGCGTACAAGGTCCCCTCCAACTCTATGATTCTAACCCGAGAGCCCAGGATTTCCTGTATTTAGCAGGAAATGGGCTGTGTGGCCTACAAGTTCCCTTCCAACTCTATGATTCTGAATAAAGCTGTTTGCCCTCTTGCGGTAGACGTTTCATAACCCCTCACTGGCAAGGTGGATACTGCCATTCTTGCCCACTTTAACACTGACTAGAATAACCACACTAAAGTGAACAGATCTACTCTGAAGTAAGTGACTTGAGGATTGCAGCCACTATTATTCATATGTGTATATAACTTCTGAGAGCCAGTCTAAAAGCAACATCTTAAATGTTCTTCATTTATCGCAATATATACAATGGCTCTGAAATGCAATATTGGGCACATTTTTAAAATGAAGTGCTCCTATTTTCACAGCTTACACTGAGTAAATGCGATCTTCAGTTAAACATAATTATCAACTTCGTTCAATCTGAGAAAAAAAACACCTATATGATTTTTTTGTTTTACTTTTTTTTTTCCTTTAACGTTAGAAAGCTGTGGATAGTTCATCAATATAACCATAAAGAGATTCATTTTGTTAGAGCAAGTTAAGTAGAATACTGTACATCAAGCCAACATGTACCACTGTCTTCACATTGTATTCCACTAAATAAATGAATAAATGCGTATGTCTTCTTTGCAGTGTCTGTAGCGGGAAACAGAAGTAGTTTTGTTAATACTTTGATTTTGTTCAAAATACTTTAAGGGACTATGTCGATGCTGTGACTTTGATATTTCTCGTCACGAAAGAAGTCAGTTTGGTTTCTCATTTTGTTTGGAAATAGAATTTTGATACAGAGATTTGTTAATTGTGTCCCTTTTTAAAAAAACAAACTAATGTATAACCTCTACAAAGGCTGATGATTTTGCAATCTGTTATTATCTATTAGCTACATATCCGAGTCCCTGTTAAACCAGCATGAGGGGAAAATCTATATGCACAATCCATTATAGTGTGGAAGGGATTGGTATAGGGGAAACACAGCCTGGCTTCTGTTCGCCCCATTTTTGGCAGATGTGCAATGCGTCACCTGAGCCATGTGATATGAGCCATGGAAGGAGAGTGCATCAAACTATTCTCATCCGGCTTTCCCTCGCACCTGGTTGTGAGTCATTTGGCCAAAAGGGCCAGAACATTCCATTGAGCCCAAAGCCAGTTCTTTCCTATTTGGACTGTAGATGTGTGCTAGGATGGAATGTGCCTACAGCTTTCTCCTCGAAGTATGTATTTCCTGAAGTCTCCCTTTAAAAAAGCGCTTCCCTTATACATGGGATACACTAGGAAGTTCTTCTACACAAGACGCCCCCCCCTCCAGTGAAACACATGGCAATCCCAGTCTGATGTGGCCTGAGCTGACAAGGCAGCCATAGGACGTGTAGCTAACATGGTGTGCTCCATTTCTTGCTGGACTACAGCTCACATCGCCACTGGGCCTTGCTGATGGAAGCTGAGGTCCATCAACTTATAGAGGGCACCACACCACACTGACTACCCTGGGGCTAATGCATACTCTTAATTTCGTTTGTGGATGGAAAATAAAAAAAATATGTAAAGCTACAGGCAGTGGGTGTTTTGAGATGCTGGAGGTAAATCTAGTAACCTCAGACTGAATAACGAAATGCTCGTTGTCATATCAGGAGAGCACTTCCCTTGCGTTACATTTGCTTTTGTTTTGTTTTCAAAGTGATAATTGCATCTGACAAGGCACCGTGGACCACCCACAACAAAAATTAAATGTTTGTTTGGCAAATAAAGGATTGAATGACCACTCTTCTGAACAGCATGTAGGGTACAAACAAGGTTCTCATATCACAGAACCATTAACGTTGCTTTGGGGTCTGGGGGGGGAGGGGTGTGTGTAAACATTCAAAATTATAGCATTTCGGAAAGTTTTTTTTTTAAAAAAAAGCTTCTTGCAAAAAGAAAAAAGATATACTGCTGCTTGCAGAAGCTTGGAAGCAATAGTCCCCATCCCATCATGCAGAAAGACAAGAGTATGGATATGTGTTTTCTTTGCGGTGGGAGTAGCTGAATTTTTCTTTTATAGCCTTATAGAAATTTGTTTGTTCTACCCCTCCCACCTCAAAATCCCGCTGATGTTTCACCTGAGGAGCAAACATCCATATTTGATTTTTAGTTTGCTTTCAGTGAACTCAGGAGACAATCCTGGGGTGTGCTGAAAGTAAAACTCACTCCCTGATAAATTCTGCTATTCTTATTGAAATTCCTCTGGGGTTTCCTTTGAAATCCTCCAGGTAGCGTTTCACTTGAGGAAGAACCACCAAATTCACTTCGCATTTTGCTTTAAGCAAAATTTTGGGAATACCTCTTTAAGTGGAAGCTTTTAACCACTTTTCTGGTTCCTGGGGATTTTTTTTCTCCTCCCCCCGCCCCCAAAGCTGCCAAAAGCCTTTGTTCAGCTGACGTGCTTTGGTGCCCTCTGTTGCAGGACTGTGCTGCAGTTGGGTTTCCCAGAGTAATATCGTTCCACCAGAACACCGGCATGATCCGCAAGGAACTTCTTGTGCACAAATCTAATTGAAATGAATCTGAGCACTGGTAGGATTCTCATTCATTTCAAAGAGGCTTGGGCCAGAAAAGTTCCCAGGTAGACGTGCCCTAAGTATTTTTCTGTCTCCGTCATAAATATGAGACAAGATAAAAAGAAGGTTATTGTATGGTGTTTTTTATTAAAAAAAAAAGATTGAACATGTATAGTATATTTAAATAATAAAAAATAATAAAATTCTGGGAATAGAGAATGTTTTTGTACGTGTGTGTTTTTGTTTTACTACTTTGAAACAACATGAACTGTAACCCATGAATGCAAAGGAAGAAAAGGGCATTGTGCAATGAAAGGTGGGGTTTGAGAGCCTCCATACAAACACTGGGTAAGGGGGAAATCAAATAAAAAATATACTCATTTAATACAGGTTGGAACAGTCACCTTGACTGACTCCATCACACTCAAAAAAATAATAATAATTAGCTGAATTTCATGGAAGAAGTGCCATAGTCCATGGCCATTGATGGGTACAGAGAATTTTGATAAAAATTGAAACAGGAGTAGAAATTACCAAGGAATACAATCGGTATTTGCTGTTGCTGCTTTCAGTCCATAAATGATAGGTGGTAGTTGATTATGTTTCTTCCCCTTTTGCATTGTGTTTTCTTTCCATTGAAATTAATGGGGTGGTAATAACGTAATTATTAATGGGGTGGTAATAACGTAAGGGATGCGGGTGGTGCTGTGGGTTAAACCACAGAGCCTAGGACTTGCTGATCAGAAGGTCAGCAGTTCGAATCCTCGTGATGGGGTGAGCTCCCGTTTCTCGGTCCCTGCTCCTGCCAACCTAGCAGTTCGAAAGCACGTTAAATAGGTACCGCTCCGGTGGGAAGGTAAACGGCGTTTCCGTGCGCTGCTCTGGTTCTCCAGAAGCGGCTTAGTCATGCTGGCTACATGACCCAGAAGCTGTACACCGGCTCCCTCGGCCAATAAAGCGAGATGAGCGCCGCAACACCAGAGTCGGTCGCAACTGGACCTAATGGTCAGGTGTCCCTTTACCTTTTTATTAACATAATGATGTAATTTCACCACAGTGGATGGTGGTTGCAAAACATCACTTTTCATGGAAGATGAACTGCATCAGGGGCCCTCCAATGGTCCTTTTTATTATGTCATCAGTATGATTTTTGTTCATGGCGGTATATTGTTAGTGCCTGCAAAAGTTCTGGGGTGGACCTTTGGCTTCATTCCCATCTACCACATGCCCCACAACTACCCGTTGAATTCCTGTAGCTTTTTATACCACTAATGTTCCTGGCATGGTTGGGGTGTCCACTTTCGCTATACTATAGCACAAGAGTGCCCTTCCAGGTCAGGTAACACTAGTAATACAATCCCAAATGTGCAAGAACCATCAACTTCAAGGGTTTATTTATATACCAAAGCCCCCTCCCCCATTGGTCAACAGCATATTAATGCAAGAGAAATACAGTGGTACCTCGGGTTAAGAACTTAATTCGTTCTGGAGGTCCGTTCTTAACCTGAAACTGTTCTTAACCTGAGGTACCACTTTAGCTAATGGGGCCTCCTGCTGCCACACGATTTCTGTTCTTATCCTGAAGCAAAGTTCTTAACCCGGGGTACTATTTCTGGGTTAGCGGAGTCTGTAACCTGAAGCGTCTGTAACCTGAGGTACCACTATATGCAATAAAAGCACAACCAATCATTCAAAACAATAGCAAAGTCCCAAACTACCCATCAATCACACTGAATATATCTTAGGAATGCCACTTAACCCGCTGTTAAGAAACACAGAAACCACTCAACATGCCAGCAGGTACAAACTGCCCTCCTGTTCCACCAATGGGTTCTCTCCCTGTGGCAGATACTCCTCCTCTCTCCCACTACAACCTACCAGCCAGGAAAGAACATGCTCAATTAACCCCACATTGTAATAACCAGAGCCTGGAGGTAAAAAAGAGGGAGGAAATCCTACAAGCCAGGGGGTGGGAGGAACAATATCCAGCAGACTCTCATCCTAGAGCGTGAAACAATTTATTTCTCTCTCTGCTAAAGTGTCCCCACCAGCCCACTGGTTTGAAGCAGGATCAAAGTCAGCTCAGCTTTGGCAGGATTTGCATCAGTGCTGCACCAAAGCAAAGAAAGAACATCCTTCCATGGGTCTTTAGGATGTGGGAAAGGCAACAGATAGAACCCCATTTTGTACATTACTGGAGCGATGTTGTGAACTGGCAGGATGACAGGGAGGAGGAAGAGGAGGAAGACGATCCTGGCGAAGGGTATAGCTGGGACTGGGACACACTGGGGCAAGCAGGGGATGGGGAAGGAAGTACTCACAGGGTGATGGAGGATGGCAAGGGGATGGGGGGGTCGGTGCACAAGAACCAGAGCAGCAGGACCCATCACCAGAGCCAGAGGGGTCACTGTTTCCATAAACACAGCAGGCTCTGAGGGAGCATTGGGAGGGGTGTTCAAGGAGGCTGAGGCAGGTAAGTACCCACAGCCCAGCTCCCTAGCTGGCCATGTGAGGCTTGCTAGCTCTGGGAGGAGGTGTGTGATTCCTCAGCTGGAGTAGGCTCACAACTGGTGAGGGACGCATGTCTCATCAAGTCCAGATGCTGCAATCAGCATGCAAAGTAGAAAAGAAAAACAGCGCTGAGATGCTGTGTCTACTCAACTGCCCACATTGATAGATCTTGGCTTGGATGCTCCAGGACCTTTATGGGAGTGTGCTTTGTGTTTGACTCTGGACCGTATCCTGACTGCTGGACTTCAGACTTGGCTCTTTGGGTTAACCCTGTACTGTGTCTCTTGACCTTTGGACTTTGCTTGTGTGGATTAACCCCTGGACTTTGAACTTTGGACTAGGCATACTGACTTGCTGCCAAGTAGACCAGGGGTTCAGGACAAGCAGAGAGGGGTGTTCTTCCAGGTGGCTTTGTCCCATACTGCTGCGGCAACTTCTTTTTTTTTACTGTTTATAGAATTTATATCTTCCTGAAGGAGCCCAGGGTGGCAAACGCACAAGCACCCTATAGATCACCTTATGTACCCATGCATGCACGTAAAGGATGATCTTAGCCCAAAGGTGCTCTCTTTTGTGGTAAAGGATCTCCAATTATAGGGAAAGCTAGTTGGAATCCATTTTATACCATTATGAGAGAGAATCTTGTTCTAAGGATATAGATTCTGTCGGACATGCACCTCCCCTATTTAACTTTTAATGTTTTAAATTCTAGTTGATTTAGCAAAAGCAAATGCAAAATTGTATGGATTGTCTACTTTGGGTGTATACTTATATATGGATATATAAATTGTATATGTGGAGTCTATATGTATTTTATTTTTGATGTCTTTTGATATTCTACTTTGTTCTATGTACAAGTTGATGTTACTCATGAGGAAACCAGGCAGCCTTTTTCATAGGTTACTCCTTCTCCTTTGCAAACCGATTTCCAAGAGTATCTTATCTTTTAGTTCAGTCAGATGCCATTATCTAGCTCATACCTTTATTATTGCACTGGAAATGGACTCTTGTTGAATCTCTTAACTTGGAATCCCACAGGTAGTAAAGGAGCCCATTGTTACATGTGAAAATGTCATGCAATGGGGTTGGATGCTACAACATATTAATGCAACCAGATGTTAGCAGGGGGGAGAGGAACTGATGCAGTGGAAGGTAGGCTGTTAAATCATTTGCTCAGCTGTCTCCCCACTGAGAGGAGGACTTTGGCATGCCTACGGAGTATGACTCATATCTGACAGCTCCTTTTAAAGACTCAAGGCAAATACAATCGCTAACACACAAACCAATTTATTATTTCTGAACGGTGCCAATTTTCTGTGATTTTTGTCATCCATTTCTTTCAGCTCTTCTTGCTGATTTGGCTTTTTCTTCCCCTTCCTCCCAGGCTCTTAGGACTCCTTTGGCATCCTTTGCCTTGAGATCAGCATATTTGTTTGAAAATAAAAGTACATAGTCTTTGCCATTACAATCTCTCAGTTCTCTTTGCTGGCTTCCCTGTCAGTTCCAGAATGAATCTCATCACCCTTTCTTGTTTTACTTTACCCCACTTTCCACAGCCTTCAGTCTTTCAAAAAGAAAAAGAAGGTACTTGCCATCTTTTAGACAAAGCTTTTTAATCTGCAAAGTGCATTACAATCTTTATTGTAATTGGTTGCTCTTGTTGTGGGTGCGTTAAAATATTTTTATTAAACTCTTAACATAAAAATGGTTACATAACATTTGCAGTGAGCGTGTCACTTCATACAGAGTTGGCTTTGTTAAGGACAAGACCTCTCCAAAAGATTGTATGGGGTGGGACCTAAGTCCTGCTGATGGTTGATAAAATCAACAAATGGCTGCCTTATAGCCAGAGCTGTAGCTAGGTGATCTTGCACCCCTGGCAGAACCATCCAGATTGCGCCCCCCCAGCCACAGACAAATTAGCTCTTCTTTCTGCCTCTCCTCAAATCCTGCCCCCTGCCCTTCCACCCATTCAATCCACCCTCTATTTAAAACCATTTCTTATGATGCAATAATCAATATTTATATTTATGGATATATTTTTAGCCAGTTTTGCTCCCCTCCATCGCCTGCGCCCCTGGTGGGGGCCTACCTCACCACCCCCTAGCTACGGCCCTGCATATAGCATGGGACCAGTCCTTTTTTTGGTGGTGCCCCTTCCAAGCCAGGCATAGTGAGTTAGTTTTTCTATCAGGGCTGCCTGCCAGACTCTATTTAGCTACTTGCCATATGGGAGGCCTGCTGCATCCTTTCAATGTGATGCTTATTCCGATCTGGCTGCCACCAATAGCACAGAAAGGAGCGTTTTAATATGGGTGGGTATATTGTCTATTTCAGTGATTGACAGGAGGGCTGTGACTGGGCTGAGCAGTGTACTGTGTCCAGAGATGGAGAACTGGGTGGCAAATATATCCCTCCAGAGGTTGGTCATCTTTGTACAGGTCCACCACATATGAATGGTAGTGCCAATTTCAGGCACATTTCCAGTAGAGGGTTGATAAGTGATGTGTTAATTCTATGGAGGCAAAGGGCTGTCCAGTGTCATTGGAGTGGTTTTCTTTCTTTTCCTTTCCTTTCTTTTCTTTTTCCTTTTGGTGTTTTGTTTTTCTTTCTTGTTTGTATAGCTTTATTTTGGATTCAATGTTTGTAATTTTTGTTGTAACTTTGCACTGAAAATTAAAAAAAGAAAGAAAGAAACTGACAGGATG